CACTCATCTTCATATCAATCACAACCAATGAACACGGTTAACAAAGACAACACAATATAGTTCCAAATCAAGTTCATCATATTAATATTATTACATTCAATAAATACTCAGAAATGAGGGGGGGAATGTCAGGTATTACATAACCAGAATAACCAATTATGCACAATTCATCAATACTCAACATTTCACATCAACTATAAGAAGAATCAAGAATCCACTAATTGTAACATTATATGTATATTAAGAGAACATCGGAATTACCTTATATACACACAGTAGAGGATATTCTGTCAATTCGCGACTCTATCTGCCATCTGCCAGCAAAGGGGAAGAGAAACTGGCAGATGAAGTGCGATGTGTCGAATTTGATGAGGTTTTAACAACATTACAAGCCATATCCAACCATATTAAATATCCTGCTCTATTCTACAGAGACAGTACTCATTTCTTGACTAGACTGTAGCTAAAAAAAGTGGCTCAGTGCCAAATGAAACCCGCTAGATCATATATCGATATTCTGATTTGAAAGAACCTTCATGATGAATTGTTCAAAGGACTTCTATACTTCAACAAAACAACCTATATAATTGTGTTTGATGTTATGTTTTCAATTATAGTCTCTTCTGTGGAGGTTAATGCCGTTTCTAGTCATTTATTCGTTTGTTATAGCTACTTATTCTCGAATTAATCCTGTTCAAATTTCCAGTAACATCAAACATTTTGAAATGATTATTCAACATGATAGAAAGCCAGTCTACATCCTAAAGCAGGAGTGGAAAGTCAAAGAAGACACTGAAGAAGTGTATCAGCCTTTTCCTGATTTGAAGATCCGTTTTGTTTTGAGCTAGTAAGCTTTAACTAATCGACAGCAGATTTTGGTCAACAACGTTGGTTAATAAAGGTTCTTTTCCCACTATTTCATCATATAAAACTGATTTAAAAGTGAATTGATTATAATACCTATCAAATACTTACTATAGAAAGGGTTCAAATCTTCTCAATGCGATTTGTAGCCTCTTGTAGGCTACATTTTGGTTCAGTGATATATCAAAGCTTCCCTGGAGTCTCTGACAAACTGACGTCTCAGTTCACCAATTCCCTTAATTTCTTTCTATTTCTCTTTCCAATGGAAGCAGCAGCTTCCACTTTAGCCTTAACATTAGCTTGAAGGATTATATGAGCCCATGGTGAAGTGGTGTTGACGTTATTGTTGTGTAGAGGCCTTCTGTTTGATACGCTTCGCTACCTTTTTTTTCTCGATTTTCAAACTCCCAGCCAAAATTCAGTGCCATCTGCTGAAAAACATTTTTCATCTGCTGAACTCTGGCAGATGAAAAATTGGGCTAGCAGATGGGACATTTCGCGGTTTTGTCCCAAAAATTCCCATCTGCCATCTGCCATCTGCTCATCTGCCGGGGGAAAACTAGGCCTTAATGAAACTTTTTGACACAAATCTCTTGAAAGCCCCATTCGCCGAATGAACATATGCATCTTTGAAGTTAATCTATGAGAAGATTACCGTCCTATGAGGAGACACTCTTCCCAAACCATGATCAAGTTCACTTCTTGTTCTTTCTTTAAAGGACTATATCTTTCGGTTCAACATAGAGATCTATAGTACAATTGCCAATGATATGCAGTATCAAAACTAGAGTTAAGCACGTAGCAAACTTTTTTACAAAGGCCAAGAAGAGTTATCTATTGGAATAGAAAACGTGGTGAAGGATCAGGATGGTTGCAATTTGCAACCAAATGACAAGATAATATTTGGAAAAGTATATACAGATGAAATACACATAAAAGCCATGGCATAGACTACTTAATGCCCCTTCTACAACGTGGGTATGCTCATTGCTAGCATGTTGAAGTTGTTGATAAAGTTCAATTTCATATTTAGTGTCTTGCAAGGGCCACGACTGGGTGTCGTGTGAGTATCAGCCCCGTGACTTTTCTTGTATTTCCCATACAGTGTGCGGACCAAATTTTACTTCCCGCTAGAGTAATTCTTGGTATCATCCAATCCAATTTCTGATGATGGTGGGCTCTCCAGAGAGATAGCAATGCTGAATATTATGGTTCTGTTTAAGCTATTAAGACTCTTGTACACCGGGTTCTTGTCTTGTGTATATAACGTGTGCTTTGATGTCTTTCCACTGTGAAAGGTGTCAAACCGCCTGTAGGCTATTGTTCCTTGAAGGGAGGCTTCCAGAAAACAACCCAGCAAAATTTCTTTTTGGCGCAGTGCATCATGCGGTAGGGCCCACAAAGTCGTAGCCATGTCAACTTCACCATCCCGTCTGAGAGTATTATGGAGAAGTTTCACTACAGGTATCAATCTGAAAACTCTATCATCATCACGACAAGACTTTTGGCAAATCAGTTGCGGAAAACTATATAAGCAAACATGTTTCCCTTTTTTGATCAATGATATCCATCCTTTCTTGTGGAAACCTTTTATATACAAACTTTCTAGTTATACAGCCTGTAATAATAAACATCCATCCACTTGTTATATTATTACTTTTAATTGCTTAAGAACTAGAAATATCAAAGATTAGATAATGTCTAGTTTCGATGAAAGAAAGCTAAATCACTCTGCTACTATTGGTACAAAGAACACTTCAAGTTCTGATGACAACATTCAAGATCTCGATGCTTATAGGCAAACAATTCAAACAACTGAGAAATACTTCAGAACTTCTATAAATGAAGGTTTAACTGAACAGACCGCTGAGGCGCTATTGAAAGAACATGGTGAAAATACTTTAGGAGATGATCAAAAGATCAGTTTACCAAAAATCATTATACATCAATCATGTAATGCCATGATTTTAGTCTTGATCATTTCAATGGCTATTACTTTAGGTATTAAAGATTGGATCTCTGGTGGTGTCATTGCATTTGTCGTTGGTATTAATGTTGGTATTGGCTCGCTACAAGATTTTAAAGCTTCCAAGACTATGAATTCTTTAAAATCTTTATCTTCTCCAACTGCTAGAGTGTTGAGAAATGGTGAATTGAAAACTGTTCCAACTAAATACGTTGTTCCTGGTGATATTGTTTCCGTCAAAGTTGGTGATACTATTCCAGCTGATTTGAGAATTGTTGATTGTTTAAACTTTGAAACTGATGAAGCGCTATTGACTGGTGAATCATTACCAGTTGCTAAAGAATACGAAGCTGTTTATGAAGATATCATTGGTGTTGGTGACCGTTTAAATATGGCCTATTCATCATCTGTTGTTACTAAAGGTCGTGCTACTGGTATTGCTGTCAAGACTGGTTTACATACTGAAATTGGTGAAATTGCTCAATCATTGAAAAGTCAAAAGAAAAAACTAAACACTGACGATGATACTTCATTCTTTAAAAATGTTTTGCTTTTGATTAAAGATGGTATCGGCTCCTTTTTAGGTACTACTGTTGGTACTCCATTGAGTAGAAAATTGTCCAAGTTGGCTATCATGTTGTTTTTCGTCGCTGTTGTGTTTGCAATCATTGTTATGGCTACTCAAAAATTCAAGGTTTCAAGTGAAGTTGCAATTTATGCTATTTGTGTTGCTGTCTCTATGATTCCATCCTCTTTAGTTGTTGTTTTAACAATCACAATGTCTGTGGGTGCAAAAATTATGGTTAAAAGACATGTCATTATTAGAAAATTGGATTCTTTAGAAGCTTTAGGTTCAATCAATGATATTTGCTCAGATAAAACTGGTACTTTAACTCAAGGTAAAATGCTTGTTAAAGCTGTTTGGGTTCCATCAGGTGGTACTTATAATATGATTGATACTAATGATCCATTAGATCCAACTGTTGGTACAATGAAATATCATACTAAATCTCCATTAGAAGCTTCTCAAGAGGAAAAATCAAATGATGATGTTGAAGTTGATTCTGAAAATGAATATTTCCAAAAATGGTTATTATGTTCCACTTTAGCTAATATTGCAACTGTTTTCAAAGATGAACATGGTGATTGGAAAGCTCATGGTGATCCAACTGAAATTGCTATTCAAGTGTTTGCCCATCGTAATAACGTTCCAAGAACTTCTTTGACTAAAGGTGATGATCCAAAATATGTTCATTTGAATGAATTCCCATTTGATTCTTCTATTAAGAAAATGAGTGCTATCTATTCTGAATCTGGTAATGAAAAGGAAAACTTGGTGTTCACTAAAGGTGCTGTTGAAAGAGTTTTAACTTCTTGTAAAGATTGGTATGTTGATGGTAAATTGCAACAATTGACTGCTGAAGATCATGAAGTTATTGAAAAGAATATGAATACATTATCTGGTGATGGTTTAAGAGTTTTAGCATTTGCAACAAAGACTATTCCAAAAGATCATGATATTAAAACTCGTGAAACTATTGAATCTGATTTAACATTTTTGGGTTTGGTTGGTATTTATGATCCTCCAAGATTAGAATCTTTAGGTGCTGTTAAAAAATGTCACAAGGCTGGTATTAATGTCCATATGTTGACTGGTGATCATCCAGGTACTGCTAGAACCATTGCACAAGAAGTTGGTATCTTACCTCATAATTTATATCACTATGCTCAAGATGTTGTTGACAGTATGGTTATGACTGCTCAACAATTTGATGATTTAACTGATGCACAAATTGATCAATTACCTGTTTTGCCATTAGTTATTGCCCGTTGTTCTCCAAAGACTAAAGTTCGTATGATTGATGCCCTACATCGTCGTAAGAAGTTTTGTGCAATGACTGGTGATGGTGTTAATGATTCTCCAAGTTTGAAAAAAGCTGATGTTGGTATTGCCATGGGTATTGCAGGTTCAGATGTTGCTAAAGATGCAAGTGATATTGTTTTAAGTGATGATAATTTTGCTTCTATTATTAACGGTATTGAAGAAGGTAGAAGAATGAATGATAATATTCAAAAATTCGTCTTACAATTATTGGCTGAAAATGTTGCACAAGCTTTATATTTGATGATTGGTTTAGTCTTTAAAGATGAAAATGGATTATCAGTTTTCCCATTATCTCCTGTTGAAGTCTTATGGATTATTGTTGTTACTTCATGTTTCCCAGCTATGGGTTTGGGTGTTGAAAAAGCTCAACCAGATATCATGCAAAAAGATCCAAAACCTTCAAAAGAATCGGTCTTTTCATGGGAAATGCTTGTTGATTTATTCGTCTATGGTGTTTGGATGGCTATTTGTTGTTTGTGCTGTTTTATCATTTGTATCTATTATAAAGGTGATGGTGAATTGGGTATTGATTGTAACAGTAAATATAGTGACAGTTGTTATTATGTTTTCAGATCAAGATCAGCTTCATTTGCAACTATGACTTGGTGTGCATTGATTTTAGCTTGGGAAGTTATTGATATGAGAAGATCATTATTTGCTATGCAACCAGAAACTGAAACACCATATACTCAAGTTTTCAAAGATTTATGGGGGAACCAATTTTTGTTTTGGTCAGTTATTGGTGGTTTCCTTTCAGCATTCCCAGTTGTTTATATCCCAGTCATTAATAAGAAAGTTTTCTTGCATGGTCCAATTGCTGAAGAATGGGGTATTGCATTTGCTTTAACTGTTGCATTTTGGATTGGTTGTGAAGTTTATAAAGTTTTCAAGAAACAAATTGTTCATAATCCAGAACATGATTTGGAAAAGAAGAATCCATTTGAAAAATACACCAGTTTTTCAAGAGCTGCAACTATGCAAGTTTAATAGATTAATCCATTGGTTTTTTGTCTTTTTCAATTCTTTTGATTTGATAACCTTCTGATTAGAGTTATCAAGAAAGTTTTACTCATGCTGGTTTTATTGGTGTTTTCATTTTTCGTTTATTGATGATTTTGTTGTTTTCATTTTTTTTTTATACACTTTTGACGTTGATCGCGAATTTTGTGATACAATGCGGTTCAAGCATACTACTAAAACACTACACAATGAGCTATTACGTACTTTTAGTAGTACCAAGGGTTCGAATCCCTTTTTAGTTTACATTTGGTTTTGATTTTTAATTTTTTTTGTGTTTTGTTAATAAGATATATATATATTATTTACTATTATCTATAGATCATTTGCCTTTAGCTTCTATTCCTCTCGTAAGTAGTTTATAACTTCTTTATCGAAATCCTCAGGATTGTCTAGAAACACATTATGACCAGCATTTTCAATTATACCAAACTTTGCACTTCTATAAGCTCTTTGTAATTCATTTGTAGCAGCTAGTCCAGCATTTGAATTCATCCAATCATGCTGACCATACATAAAATAAACAGGGTTCTTTAATTGATTCAAATTATCTAGAATTGGACTAGGCGCTAATAATTGAGCATTAAGTAAAACTTTCAAAGCATCAAATGAATTGTTATCTTGATAGAAAAGATTCATAGTATATTGTAATAAATCTTTAACTTGTTCTTCATGACCTGGTTTGACACCTCTACTGAACCTTATACTTAGATATTTTGAAATCAATCTAATCCCTAAAGGACCTAGCATTTTCAATAATTTGAAACCATATTTTGTAACTATTGGAGGTAGAAATGGATTTCTATAATAATGTGGAGAGCTTGGATCAGGTATAACTATTCCTTTGGTTTGTGAATTATGAATTGAAAAAATACTGCGCTTGTCAATGCAAGAGAAGCTCTGGTATTCCGTTCTGAAATTTACACTAAGGATTGGAGGAGCTCAGCGTAAAACACAGAACGCACGGTTTCCCCAGAGATTGTTGATGTTTACTTTTCAATTCACTCTTTAAAAGGTATCAATAAATTGTAAACATTTATGAGCGTGGCACTTCTTCCAACTAAAGATCTGGGATATGAACGATGGAGAAAGGCAACAAAGACCGGCAAAAAGGTCTACACCTATTTCTAAGCTGGTTCCAAAGTCTGATAATGAATTGAACATAAAGAGTTCAAAACAAACAAGATCAGAAAATGGCAAAGTCAAAAGACCAATAAGCAAAGAAGCGCTTCAGAGTTTCCATACACCCAACAAACACAGAAATGTGCAAAGCATCAAGAGATCCAAGGTCATACCAAATATGCCAGACACTCCTGTAAAGAAGTTACTACTTTCTGAACTTGCATCAACACCATTAACTTTCAAGATCCACAATGATCAATCAACCCAGAAGAACAACACTCCAAAAATACCAATATCAGATATTACACCAAAATCCCACGTACCCAAAACCACTTCAAATAATATCGAGAAAGTCCCACTACAAACAATTTTGGACCAAGCACAAGTCCAACCTTTTGTTGAGATTCCAATGATGAAGACGGAATCAAGCAATTTCACTTCATTGGACTTGACCCATGATCCAAATTCGTTGCTATATCAAGCTCAATTACCAATAGTGCACTTAAACAATTGGTATAGAGTCACTCAACATCAGATTGTGGAGAGACAAACTCAAATTACACCTACTCATGAGGTGATATCTTTTCAAAAATTTAATGGACAAGTCTTGTTGGTTGATTGCATAAAAATTTCAGATAATACAAAAGAAACTGCACTTTTACTTAACTATAGACAACATCCTTTAGCATCATCAAAAGTTCAAACGATCCAACAGGGCTCTCAAATTTCATTGAATGAAGGTTATAAGGTTTTTCAATCATTAAGATTATATAAAAATTGGAAACTACAAACATGAGAAAGAGGAAATGATCATTCAATCAACTAGTGCAAAACAAAAAAGAGAGAATTAATCAAACCAACAATGCTCAAAAATGCTTTTTTTATATATATGTAAAATGACTCACTACTTCTCCCTCTTCAATCATTACATCTCCCATTTGACACTTTCTCCAGGATTTGGAAAAACCATTTCGCTTGATAAGCTGGTACCAGTTTAGTTCTTGCTTTAAGTCTCATGTTTCTGTCTTCAGTGACCAATATTGAAAAACTGATGGTTGTGTTTGTGTTATTTCCAGCTTCTGCATTTTTTGCACGGTTCAAATTATTTGCATTAATATCCAATAATCTTGAAGACTCAATAATACTATCATCAATACTATTCATCCAAGTTGAATTGTTTTCAAAATCTTTAATGTCATTCAATGAAGGTGCTTCAGTACCATTCAACTTCAAAGCTAATACACAACCTTCTGAAGCTAATTGTCTTACTGTAATAACTGCTCTAACGGCAGCATCTGCAATGTTACCATCTGGTGAACGTCTCAAAGATCTCAATTCTTGGAAAACAACAAGAGGAACTGCAAGTCTAAAGATGTGGCTTCTCACAGATTTGAAGATTTTACCACAATGTTTTAACCACATGTTTGTATCTAAAACAAAGAAACTTAATGAAGAATCCATTCCAATGCCAATGTTACCTAGTACTCTATTGTCATCACCAATTTGATTACTCAACAACTGTTCCCGATCATCCTCTTCTTCATCATAATCTGCTTCATTATCAGCATCTGTAACGTATGAAATACCACCACTTTGATTTGAATCATTCGAAGTTCTGGCACTTGAGCTCTTGGATCTTAACCAGCTAATAACATCTGAAGTTATATTAGCAGACGACGATTTTTCATAAAGCAAAGTTTCTGGAATTGGTGAATTTAACCCTTGGATTCTTGAATCTCTCAAGAAATTATGAACAGTACCTTTTATAACATCTGACCGTAAAATAGTATTTTCAAATGCATATTCAGCAAATTGGAAACCATCAACACCTCTTTTCAAACCAAAATTGAACTCATCTGCAATGTATGAAGCTAATAATAAAATTCTGGTATATCTGTCGTTATTCAACTCTTTATTGTAACGTACACCTCCAATTGGAACATCCAAAAAATCATCTCTTTGAATACCCGCATCTCTGAAATTAGCGAAATCTTCTTTGATTTGAATTTGATCATACCATAGAGTACCCCAACATTTCCAAACCTCAGTCAAATTCTCATTTTTGTTGAAATAATTGATGAAATTCCCTTCACTCATGATTGATGGTCTTAATTCTTCCAATTTATCAATAATTTCAGGCTTGTGTTTTCTAACATGATCTAAAACCTCATTCAAATAAACAACTAATGGTTTTCTAGGTAGTATCGCATGCAATAAAAATTCAAAAAATGAGGCAGCTGTTGGGGTTTCTCTTAATGCTTCACCAATGGAAATGATAAAGTAAAGATATGTAATGACATGTGGGGTGGATGTGATGATTGGACCGTTCAAATAGTTTGCAAACATTCTCATTGCCAACTCTAATGCATTTTTATTGATATAATCACTAGCTTGGAACCATTCTTCAACTGATAAGTCTTTGGATGAAATTGAATCTTCACTATCAATATCAATCGACCTAGTTCCATTGGCTTGATCTTGTTGCTGATCTCCATTTGAAACACTCTTTTTACGTTTATCTTTCTTTTCTTTACGATCTTTTCTTTCCTTTAAAGCTTCAACCAGACCGAAAAGTCTAGCAAATGGATTAGCAGAATTTCCAAACCCAACAACCTGACAAATATTAACTAATGCGAATGATGAACTTCTTTGGAACCAAAAATTCAATTTATTTTCATAGTCATTGTCTTGATTATAGCCTGGACTTTCAATATGTTCATTGACAACTCCCTTAGTTCTAACAAAAAAATCAACTTTATTATTATCAATACCAATATTTTGGGAATAATAACTAACAAGTTTAATCAATTCCAGATCACTGTTAAATTCAGATGATAACAAGATTTTATGAACTTTAATAAAATCCACAACTGGTAAATCAACAAAATTTCTTTGATTAATATTATCAATAACCATTCTCATATATTGAGGAGTTGGAACAAAAGTATCACGACAAAAAACACTCTTACCAATATTAACCAATGCATCTAGATTATCTTGCTGCACTGTGGCTATATGATAGTAGATTTTTCCAAATCCATATTGAGTTTTCAAAGCTGTAGTATACCAAAATTCAGAGCTGATTTTCCAATCAATATAACGTGAAGGGTATAATGCAATTGCCATTCTTGATAAATCTCCCAGCTTTTCACTAACCCAACCTTCCATTTCTAAATCTGTTAATCCACTTAAAATATTGAATGAATAACCAATGAAACTTGAGCAAATATCATGTTCAATGAAGATCGAAACAACATTTTTCAAAACATCTAAAAATGTAACAATACCATAAACCCATAATCTTCTTGGGATTCTATAAACTTGAACAATTTGTTTCCCAGATCTTCCAGAACTTAGGGAATATAATAAGAAATCATAATAAGAATTTAATAAAGTGATATTTGTATTGTAAATATCCCAAAGTTCAGTCATATCTAATCTTTGTGGTAAATTCAAACTTTGACATTTTCTTTGTAAATCAGTCTCCAATCTAATTATTGTTTTGTAAGTATCCTGGAGTTTGAGTATAAGAGCCTGCTCTTCCTCTGATAATTTACTAGTTTGAGTTGGTACTGGACCAACAGCACCACCTAATGAAGGATTTGGCGCTGGTTGTGAAGGTGCAGTAGTTGATGTTTCACTGATTGTAGAGCCTGGTGAATCAGGGTTAGCTTCTTTCGTTAGGATTGTTTGTCTAGAGTGTTGTTGCTGACTATGATTATGATGTTGTTGGTTTTGCTGACTGGGGAAAGGTTGTTGAATTGAAGCAGAGGCACCAGGTTTCGCTGTCGTTTGTGACATTCCCAGTGAGTTTGCATCAGTAAAATCATTAGTTTCTGTATTATCATCATTTAAATAGCTTGATGTATCAAATTTAGTCTTGTTGGCAGATAAACTTGGTGAATGTGGTGAATCAGGGGTGCGTGATTTTTGGAAAGTATTGTTAACAAATGTTGTACTGAATTTCTTATTCTTTGCAGGAACATTTGGGGATGGTGAAGGTATATTGAATGTAGCTTTAAATGGTGCCATCTGCTGCTGCTGCTGTTGCAATGGGTGTTGATGCTGTGTTGGATGATGAAATTGGCCAGTTTGATTGTAATGTTGAGTTAATGCAGGCGTCAGGGTTCCAGCCGTAGCACGACTTGAGTCTAAAGGTTGTTGATTTGGAGTAACATTACCAGGTATTAGAAATGATGGCGAGTTTGGTTGAGTAACAGATCTCTTTATAGCACCAGACATTCCCAAAGAATTAGAATTCTGTCTTTTTTGTTGATTTGTAGGTGGAGCAGCGGGTACATCTTTCTTTTCACCAATGTTGTTATTATTGTTGTTGTTGCTGTCTGTTAAATCAGTGGTTGTTCTAGCAATACCATTGATGAAACCATTATTGTCATAATCACTCCTCATAGTTGTATCATGATCTGCTTGATCACTTATATATTGATTCCCTATATTATGATTAGACATGATCCCTCCATTCTTTTTCCTCAGTTGAAGGTGTGATGATGGTTATGGGTAAATGATGGGAGAAGCTCAATGAAAAAGGGTGACTAGCCGAAACTTTATGACAAAGCCCGAAATGAATGATAAGTTCCAGTGATGCTTTCCACTTGTAATAACAGGAGAGGTAATTGTAGCACAAAAGAACAAATCCTGGATGATTTAGATTTGATGGTTGTTGTTTGTGTAGGTGGTCTTTGAATCAGTTGAGCTGGGTGGAGATATGGCTGCAATAAAGCTGATAAACGACCTTTTCCTCTGTTTGAATGGTGAGAGTAAAAACAGCGGCTTCTAGAAGACTTGATTTGTGTATGCTATGTGTGTACTGGAATGCGATGCTAGCAATTGGAAATGATGATTTGTGTGCTTGGGATGATGAATTGCTAATGTTGAATTCGAGTGGATGATTTGTTTTGTTTGATGATTTCGTACCAGTTTCCTTTTTTTTTCTTGAGACATTAGATGCACTGCTCGTTTTGGCAGACAGCATAGCAGACCCGCGAATTTGCGTTTAAACTGGAACAAATAAAGAGGAAATTACTATGGGGATAGAGATAAAAGAGATTGTTTACAAGACAAGTACAATGAAAAGGATGTAAAGAGATTATACTTACTAACTAGTTCCAGCTTTCTTGTGCTTTTAGAGGGCTAGAAACGTGTTAATTTTGCTTATGAGGGATGATGAGCCACTGATTTTCTGGACATCGAAATTATTACACATCTTTCAAGCCTTTGTGTATTTATGTGATCATACTACAACGACCTATCAGTGCTTTCAACCACAACGAGATATCATCCTTTACACCCATTTTATCCTTGCTAAAGTAGTATATTATTTCCCCCTTTATGATCGGTTCGCAGTAGAAAGCTGTCGGGAAAAATCAAACTGGGCCTCAGAAGACTACACAACGTACGATAGCTTACAACCACCTCCATAAAAATCTCAGAACAGATAAACAATAGAAATGCTTTCAAAATTTACCGTATACACAAACTTCCCTAGATCACAGATACTCATCAAATTTCCCTTCGAATTCATCAATAGTCTCTATAACGGTCTTTAATGACTCTAATACGCTACTAACAGCAACTCGCAGCACTCTATCACTAACAGCTTCGAATTTTGCTATGAAAATCTCCCCTTTTGTGGAGTATTGAACGCTAATGTCACTTGGTTTCAAGATTGGATCTGGATCCAGTGTTTTCTTAGCAATTGTTGCCTGTTGTGGTGTTTGAAAGGGTATTTTTACCTCCCTATAGGACTCAAACTGTTAGTTGATCAGTATCATAAATATTCAGTATCAGTGCGCTTACATGGAATGATCAAAATCCATCTTCTCTATTAGCTTTAAGCTCTATTCAACCGTATAAATTTGATCAAATCATCATAATTATCAAGTCAAACTGAAGCCCAATATTTTTTTCAAATCAAATTCGCGAAAGAACTTTACACGTGACACAGCCCGTGCTGTTATCAAAATTGTGTCACAACTGTGTCAGAGATTGATCATTTTTGTGGTTTCACCCTTTTAGATTCAACATGTTAATTGTACTTTTTGTGTAGCTTCAGTGATGGTACGGTTTATTAATGACAGCTCTAGTATTAGTGTGAACAAATAGTACTACATTTTCCATAATTACTTTTTATTGAGCTAACCCCTTGATCCCAGCTACGTTTCCATTAGATTTCATCCAGCTATATATCATAAAGAAGGCTATATTCAATTAGTTTCAGAAACATTTCTAACTAGCTGCTCAGAACGTTAGCTACAATACAGCAGATTTTTTTTTAACAACATTTCATCCATCAAGTTTCAACAATGCAACATCTTCAAGCTTCATCTTTTCCACAGGCAGCAACACCATCAAATTCAAGTCCTTTTAAATCACCAATTTTGATCAAACCTTGGGGAGATGAAATAAGCTATGGGGGACAATGGAGTTTGCCAGGTGTGTCTTCTAAGTTTGGCCAAACTAGAGGTGAGTTGATTCAAAGATGACATATTTGACATTTCTTTTACTAACATTATCAAGGCCCTATCATTGACATCAATGAGATTTCATTCCAATTGTTAGATGAACTTGATCCCTCATTTTGGTCACTTGAGAATTATTTGAAAGCAGTTCAAACATTTTCAAGTCCATATTATCAAGAATTGTCACTTGATCAATTGATAAAAAGTTATGCTGCCTCACTTTGCCTTCAAAAAATTCAGAAGGATAACCATTATTATGAAAAAAACACACTCTTTGAATCACCCAACTCATCAAGTGAATTGGGAAATTGCCAAAAACAATTGATGGAATCAAATGGCAAGTTTACAAGTAATGATAAAATGCTGCAGTTAATTTCAACTTTACATAAATTGAGTGAAATTTCTAATCAAATTAAAATTTTTCAAGGTTTTGACTTGTCAGCTTTATATCAATCAAGTGTTTGGCCTAATGAGTCAAGTATTTCAACTCTAGTTCATTTTTTCCCAGTTTTCAACGACCTCTTCCCATTGAAAAACACTAATGAGAAAGCTGAGATTTGTCTTGTCAATTTAAAATCAGAATTAGAGTCAGCTACCAATGATAAAGGAACTAATTTCTTATCCCTTGGTTCCCAAGGCTTTGAAGGTTTCATTAATACTGTTTCCAATGAAGTTAACTCATGGTATTCGGGGAATTTGGAGACTCCTACAACACCAAGAAAGAGATCGTTTGATCTAGTTGATGCTAACTTCAACAACATTGAGGAGACTTCGTCATTATCACCAATCGCAGCAGCAGCAGCAACCAACCCAGTCAATCTCAGCTCACCTTTAGTTACTAGAACCAAAAGCCAAATGAGAAAGAGAAGAAGATTTAGTGTTGCCTGAGAATTATTGTGAGATGATTCATTGTATATTACTTTTTGCATTAGTATTAAAAACTTCCAAGATAACAATTTGACACAAATTTTGCACCATTTTAAAGCCTGAAACTTGTAGTCAGGCAGTCCAATAAAATCAACTAATTCAACCTCCAAATTCTCTTGAAATTCACCCTTTTTCCAGTGACTTTTCTTTTATGCTAATCAATGCTCAAAAACACATCTCTCGGCAATCGGAACTAGCAAAATTCTGCCGAAAGCTAAGATCAACTGTAGCAAAAGTCAAAAGTCAATTCCACCAACAAACAAACAATCCTTTCCACAACTTTCCTCCTGTTGTAGAGTTATGAGTTAAATCAACAATGTCTGAACCAAAAAAGCAAGAGTTTCTATTCCAATTGAAATCAGGAACCCAATCCAAATCATATTCTTTGGCCTATGAAGAAACTGAAGCTGCGAATGTCAATTTTGAACTATTGAGTAGCGTTGGTGCTGATGGCAAAAAGGATGAATTAGTTATTTCAAAAGATAATTTACCAACCCATTTGAAACCTGGTGTTGACGTGACAGTTATTGATTCTGTCAATTCAGGTGTTGGTAGAGAGAAAAGAGAGTTTTATACTTCGGTTTTAGAACCAATCTTGAATGAGCTTGATATTAAACATACGTTGTTGAAGACAACTTCTGCTTTATCAATTACTAATTTTGCTAAATCATTAGATCTTTCAAAAGATCACACTGTGGTGCTATTATCTGGGGATACCTCAGTTGTGGAATTTATAAACGGTTTACCAACAGATGCTAATGTTTCAACAAAACCGAATATTAATTTAGTCTTGATACCTTTGGGTACAGGTAATGCATTAGTCAGTTCTTCAGGTATAACATCTGAAGCTAATGCTGTTCAAAAAATGTTCAGCAATGAAAAAGCTGAATTACCATTATATGAAGCTGATTTCCCAAGTGAATCATTTGCTGTTCATTTAGAAAATGCTCCACCTATTGGTAAATTACTCTTCACTATTGTGTTGTCTTGGGGTTCTCATGCACAAATGGTTTATCACGCTGAATCTCCAGAGTTGAAAGGCTTGGGGATTGAAAGATTTAAAATTGCTGCATACAAGATCTTCCAACAAAAATTGGAATATAACTGTGATATTATTATTGTTGATGAAAATGGCAAGGAGGAAAAAATGTCACATTCAACAACTCACAATTATTCTTCAATTTTGGCTGTTCCAAGATTAGAAAAAAAATATCACATTTCTCCAGATAGTAAGATTAGCAAAAGTGAATTACACATCTTGGATTTTGGTGATCTTCCAAAAGATGAATTCATGGGATTATTAATGGAACCATATAAAGGCGCTGGCCACGTGAACCATAAAGGTGTTATTTATGAACCAATTCAACCAAAGAAACAAATAATTTTAGAACTAGGCGAAGAAGATGAAGAAAGATCAATAGTTTGTGTTGATGGGATCTCTATAAAGGTTAAGAATGGGAAAGGTAAAAGAATTACAGTTAGATTTGTGAATTCTGAGGATTTAAGCTTCAAGCTAAACCTTGTTGGATTACAATAATGTACAGGTTACAATACAAGTAGATAATCATAACCCATTATATTTATCATAGCCTTTGGCTTTTCGACTGTGATAGTTTGAACTTTATATACGCATCTTTTGTATCTCCTCCTTCAACCTCAAAGTCCGAATCTGATTCACTATCTAGATTGACATCTTTGCCTTTTCTCTTCTTTGTAAACGTTTCTTGTAAGGATTCCCTTTTCATTTTTTCCTCTCTGTCCTTGAGTCTTTTCATCAAACTATCAGCTTGAACTCTTTGTTCTTTTCTTTTGGCAAGTTCCTCTTTGGAAAGACCTAGATTTATGTTTTTATTTTGCGTCAAAGAAGAAAACTCATTCAATACAGTTTCGTTTGCATCACCAACTTCATCTGAATCTAAAACACCTTTAGCGTTTGGTTTAGAAGTTGGATCATACCCAATGTTTTTCAACGTATCCTTTTGGAAAGCAGTTTTCAAAAGCGCCTTCTTCTTTTGCAATGCAATTTGTTCTTCCTTACTTATTGGTGCCTTTTTTTCAATTGGTTTATCACCAAGCCTTAGTAGCTTAGCTCTTAATGCAGATTCCTTTTTCCTTTCTTGGATCTTTCTTTTCTTTTCTTCAATATTTTTCAATATATCTGGATTTTGATATGAATCATTGAAAAAAGCCTTACCAGCATGTGGATTACTGAAATAAACCAAAGATTTAGAAATCCTATCAACTTTAGGTGCATATCTATCTTCCACAATTGTACTATTTGAATAATTTCCCTTGTTATCTTTACCACCCATAAGAAATTGTTGTTTCCTACCATTCTTGGTTGGTGATCTTAAGCTGAAACTTCCGTTAAGTTCAACTCTTTTACCTTGAGTCTTTCTTATTCTTAGTTCTTTATGATAAAAACAACAATCCTCTTTTGATGTATTTATTGGAGTTCCACATATAGTACCATCTCTTTTCATCGACTGACAAAGTCCAAAATCTCGAGCCTTACCAATTTCCAAAACACAATCATAAGAATGCTTAATAGACAGACTAAAAGACCTTATAACACCTTGACTATCTGGCTTCCAGATATAGATCTCTGGGTTCAAAATGGCAACTATATCTCCGACTCTTAACTTGACATATTTTTCAACATTTTTACCAAATATAAGAATATCAACAGTTAATTGGAAGTCCGTCAAAGCTATTGTCATAAATTTACTTCTATTATCACTTGTGGCTCTTGGTGATGATTTTTTACTTATTATGCCAATAACAACCCAATTAGCATAACGTGGTTCATCAAATGTTGGTGGTGCAACTTTTGCATACAGTTTAGGGAGTCTCAATATTTTTTTCTCCTCTAGTATGCTTGAAAGTGCTTCATGGGTTAGATATCTCTTGGATACATTCAAAGCAGAAAAATATTCTTTTTCATTAACTGCAAATGGCTCACAAACTAAATCTTCATCAAATGTATAGATTCTAGAACTTAACAGCTTTCTTGCTTCATCCTTTTCATTCTGATCATGATCTTGACTTTCATCGAGCATTTTGATGAAATATGAAGTTGATCCCTTTTGGTCAGTATCATTTGAATGTGTTAAATCTCGAGTTAGGTTCTTTGGTTTCACATCTTCAATATTAGATCTTTTTTGTTTAACTGGCGATGGTGATCTGCTAACTTCAGCAGTCGCTTTCTTCCTAGCTTGAAGCTCAACTTTTCTTTTCTTCTTCTCTAATAATTCCAACTTTCTTCTTTCAAGTTTCTGAAGCTCCTCATCAACCGCTAAAGTTGTTAGTTGATCTGTTGAGCACTAAATAAATAAAAGTTGTCATACATTCATCGCCACTATCTTCGGGCTCGATTCTTTCCTCGTCCGTAAGCTTGGAGAATTCATCATCAGACTGAATCTCACGTGGATCTTCCATATCGAATAGAGTAGGAGCTTTCAGTTCGTTTCGATAGTGTGTCAAAAATGAAATTGACTTTAAAAGGTACACGCCAAAATTTCGCGTATGTGAAATTGAATTCGCGAAAGCTCTCAATATAGACGTTCAAGGTCTCAAGTACTAGTCCAAACAAGACAGGTAGTTACACAGCAATTATTTTGAAATCAAATATTTTGAGATAAATCCAAACCCTGTGGCTCTATATAGCTTAGTAAGTAATTAGAAAATACAGGTAAATTTTTAGTAAAAAAAAAAAAAAAAGACTACAATTATCACAGAACACTATTATACATTTTATTAATAAATTCAAGCATTACTTTCATCATGGACATAAATCAAGCTTCATTCTTACTTTTCTTTTGGTTTGAACCGGCTTGCTTATCAGCAGGACGTTTTAAACTAGCTCCTTCATTTTTGTTACCACCTTGCTTTCCTTGGTTATTACTATTCTGTTTATTATGCTGTTGATTTTTTTGGAATTGTTTACCTGGATGTTGTTTGTTTAGATTATTATTTGTACTGTTGACACGGTTTTGATTGGGGTTCGCAGTAATAACAGGTTTTGCAGGAACTGATGAAACAACGGCAGCTTTGCCTTCACCACCAGCTAATTTCTCCTCCAAGGCCTTTTTATCTTTTGTAAGTTTTTCAACTTTACCTTGAAGTAATTTTGTACGCATACCAACCTCCTTCAAAGTTGCTTCGCGCCCTTCATCAAAAGAAGCTTTCTTTGCTGAAGCTAACTCTTTCTTCAAAGCAGTCAATTGTTCTTCATATTCAGCCTTGACAGTAGCAGCATCTCCAGAAACAACAGCACCAGGAGCACCGGCAGAGCTTAGTTTTTCCTTATATTCTTTCTCAAGAGCAGCAGATTTCTCCTTATATTGGGCTTCTAGCTTGTCATTTATATCTTTCTCTAATGATTTCAAGTTTTCAGCAGTTTCAAGTTTGTATTTTTCAAGCCTATCTTTAGCAATCTGTTCAAGTTTTTCTCTGCTAGCCTCACGAACTTTCTTTTTGTGCAATTCAAGACCTTCTTCAATTTTACTGGAGACGTGAGCATCAAACTCAGCACGAAGTTTTTCCTCTTGTTGTTTCAAAGCTTGGTCTTTAGAATCAATCTCTTCTTTTGAAAGTCCACTATTAGACTTTGCAGCCTCGAATTCCTCTTTTTGTTTATTTAGATCTTCTTTGGCCTTCTCCAGAGCTTTCTTTTCTTCTTCCAATTCAGATTTGGCTTTTTCAACAGCATCGACAGTAGGGGTTGCCTCAGCAGTTTGCTTTAATGTTTGAATTTGTTCTTCCAAAGACTTGATTTTGGCTTCCAGGTTAGCATTGACAGTTGAAAGTTCATTAAATTTGACTTCAAATTGCTTAGCATTTTCTAATTCAGTTTTCAAAGTAGTTACCTGTGAGCGTAGTTCTTCCAACTCTTTGATATTTGAGTCTGCACCATTTGAAGATTTCTTAGCATCATCAAGTTGTTTTTGCAAATCCTCAAGTTGTTTCTTCAAATCATCATTAGCACCTGATGATTCTTTCAATGTCTTCAACTCGTTTTCAACCTCTGTGAATTGTGATTTCAGTTGTCTATACTCTGCTGCTCTTCTCTTAAGTTTATCTTGTGCTTCTTCTTTAATACGAGAGAATAGAGATTTGGAGGATTCTTTTTCCTTTGCAAATTCTTCCTCTAATTCCTTATTTCTTTGAGTCAACACACTAATTTCATTTTTAATTTTTTCATGCTCAGCTGGGTCAACACGGTCATACTTGTTTAGAATATCTTGAGATCTTTGTCTCCAGCGGTCTCTTTCTTCCATTACAAGCTTGATTTCCTGGCCTTTATGTGAAATTTCAGCATTCAATCTAACGACATCAGTTTCTAATGGTTCAAGCTTTTGATTTGATTCATTCAATTGAGATTCCAATTCCTTTATTCTGGCAATATTGCTTTGAAGCTCATTACGTAAAGTTGTATTACTTTCTCTTAACAAGTTCAATTGATTAATCTCACTTAACAATTTTTCATGCTCTCTAGATAAACGCTCAGAATCAACATCTCGAGTCTGTAGCTTGGATAATTCTAGTCTTGATTGATCTAATTCACCAGTAACCAATGCTAGTTTTTGAGAAACACGTTTCAAGTCTCTCGTAGCAACTTCCAATTGAGCATCTGAGATATCCTTTTCACGTCTCAGCAAATTGATGAGCTCTCTTAGTTCATCATTTGAGTCATCTGGAATAATATCATCACCCTCTGCTTCCTGTCTTTGAGTAGAAGGTTGTTGTCTCTTAGACAATGATTCAATTTGGTTGTATAGTATATTGTTCTGTGAGGTCATATCATCAACTCTTTCTTTGGCAATACGGAGTTCTTCTTCTAATGAATTTCTTTGAGATTCCCAACTTTCTTGAGACTTAACCAACTCCTCTCTAGCTTGTTTAGCATCAGACGAAAGTCCTTGGACCTTTTCTTTTAATTGATTAGATTCTTCTCTCAATAAGGAAACAGCTTTAGCAACCTCAGCATGTTTTTGCAACTCTTTATCATAGTTTTGTTGTGCTTCCGTAGCGATGGCAACTTGTTGTTTATAAGAACTTTCAATAACAGCCACCTTAGCGTCATATTCACTTTGTAATTTAGAGCTATCAGTTACTTGAGAGCGTAAAGTTTCAATTTCCAACTTAGCAGCATCAATTTCTTTGACCGATGCGTTCTTTTGTTCTGTGATCTCATTAGTTAAGGAGGTAATTTGATCATTCAAGACAGAAACTTGATCATTAAGAGTCTTATTCTCAGATTCCAATTTGGCGACTTTAGAAGATGTGTTTTCTTTGTAATCATCAAATGTTGCATTCATGCTTTTCAATGCTTCTTCAGCTGCACCAGCTATTGATTTGAAATCAGCAGCACTCTTATTAGCATCCTCTAAGCTAGATCTAGCATCTTCCAACTCTTCCTTCAATTTCAATGTTTCTTGAACAAGACTTGATTGTGAATTCCCAGAACTAGTAACACTTTGGTAATCCTTGATTCGTGATTCAGCTGATGATAATTTAGAAGTTAATGTATCAATATGAGATTGAAGTTGTTCCATTGAAGATTTTCTTGTAATAAGTTCCTCTCTAGCAGTGCTTAATTCATTTCTCAAAGAATCAATTCTTTCTTGATAAGTATGCGAGTCTGCTTCCTTTCGAGTCAATGTTTCTTTCAACTCATTGGCATTTTCATTTAATCTGTTCCTCAAACTTGCAAGTTCCTTCTCCAATGATTCAGATTGTAAGGTCAAACGTCTTTGTGATTCAGCAGCATTTGACTCACGTTCTCTTTCCAAAGTTTGTAAATTAACCAAAAGACTGTTGAGTTTTGCCTTCTCTTCAATCAATGAAGTGTTCTCTTCAGCTAATCTTTTCTCGATTGATTTCCATAATTGTTTCTCAGCCTTCAAGTTCAAAGATTCTGAACGTAAACTTTCAGCCATAGATCTCGTTTGAACCAATTCTTCAGCAACTTGTTGAGTTCTCAAATCTTGTTTAGCCAAATTGTCTTGTAATAATTCACTTCTCTTGCGAAGTTCTTCATTCTCAGATCTTGCAAACTTAACGTTTTCTTGAAGTGATTTGTATCTTTCTTCAGATAATGTGTTGGATGATTTTTCTCTTGCCAAATTAACAGCTAACTCAGATTTTTCATTAGATAAAGAGTTGATTTGTCTATTCAACAAATTAATAGTGGTTTCAGATTCAACCTGAACAGCCTTTAATTGATCGTGAATAGAGCTTAATTCTTTTTGATATCTTTCATTTTCACTAGTTAACTTAATGACCTCTTCACTATCTCTGCTAGAAGCACCAACCAGTTCACCAGTAAGAATGTTATTGGATCCTTTGCTTGAAAGCATAGATCTGAACATATCACGTTCTCTAGTGACAGAATTCAACTTGGTTTCAGTAGAGGTTATTTCCTCTTGTAATGTCAAAATGGCCTCTTTTGCTTCATTAACAGCAGAACTTTCAAGGTTTTCCAATCTTGATTTTGAAGTTTGTTCCTCTTGTTCTAATTTAGCACCTAACTCTCTAGTAATTCTCAACAATTCTTCATTCTTAGTTTGTAGATCAACAATATTTTGGAAAACCACCAATCTTTGGGATATTAGCTTATCTGTATCAGACTCATTAACAACTTGATCTCCTTGAACAATTCTATTAAATGCATCTTTCTCAGCTGGAGTCAAAGGACCTTGTGAATCACCACGAATAGAAACTTGTACCAGCAAGCTTTGGACCTGGCGTGCCAAGTCAACTCTTTGTTTATTCAAAGTTGTAATTTGTGAATTTGATGCTTGTAGTTTGGCCTCTAGTTCCTTGTATGATTTTTCTATGGATTCTTTATCCTTAGATGTTGTTTCCAAGATGATTGATAAATCAGTGAGTTCAGTTTCTAACAATTCAACTCTTTCTTTAGTGGCATTGATCAATGGTGCTTTTTGTTCTAATTCGTTAACAAAAGCATCAATCTGTTGTTGCATACGTTCTTTGGCACGGCGTTCTTGAGTCAATTGTTTTTTCAATAATGAGAAATCAGAATATAGTTGGCTCAAGGATAAGCCAGGATACTTAGCAGCAGCAGCTTTAGCAGCAGGTGATAACACTGGAGTCCCTGGAACATTATCGTTATTGGTGCTTGTAAGGTCATCAATTGTTTCTTCAAGATGTTTTATCTTGACTTGATACTGTTCAATTTGAGATTGATATTTATCCAAAGTTGTTTTCAAAGAACCAGATTCATTAGCGACATCTGATTTTGATGATTCTAACAACTCCTCCAAGTGTGTGATTTTAGCCTTAGCACCTTCGTTTGACTTTGAAAGTAAATTAACCAATCTATCTTTTAAAGAGATTTCTTTGAAAAACTCTTCTTGACTTAGTGATTTTTCATCATTCAAGGTTTTAACTTGAACCAAGGCATTATCTAAACTGGTTGAGACTTGGTCAAATCTTCCTGATAAATTATCAAATCTTGCTTTTAAGGAATTAAATTCAACAACTTTATTATCATAGTCTGATTGTAAGGTTGATATTTCAGATGATTTCTCTTTTCTATAATCTGAGAAATCCGAACTGATTGTTTTTATCTCTTTGTTCAACCAATCATTATTTTTGGTCAAAAGATCCAATTGTGTTTCAAGGGATTGTAATTTAAACTTGGTATGAGTTAAGCTTGAGCTTGTAGTTTGGTTTGTTGTTTCCAAATCAATCAATTCTTTACGAAGTTTGCTGTTTGACTCTTGAACTTGATTCAACTCATTCTTGTAATCATCAACTTCCCTGTTTTTCTTCTCTAGAAGTTCAATTGTTTTTCTCTTTTCAGCTACTATTTCGTCGATCCTTGACTGACTTATCTGTGATGCAGAGCTCGACGATTTATATTCCATTTCTAATTCAGCAAGCTTTTTCTCTAATTCAAATTTTGTAGCTTCGAGCGATGAGTTCTTTTCTCTCAAATCACCAACATCGTTTGAGACTTTTGACAATTGTTTTTTAAACAGCTCAACCCGTTTATTACTCAAATGTGTGGATTGTTCTAAGTTCACTTCAAGAACTATCTTTTCAGATTTCAAATCTGTAAATTCTGTAACGCGTGCTTGCAGCTTTTGCAGAATGATAGAATCAACAGATCCCACCAGCTTGGAATCAACGTCTAAAAATGAAGCGATGGAATCAACATCTATGGCAGATTCTGCTGTATCTGATTTTTCTTGTAATGCAGTTGTGTTTGGGGCAGGGGTGATTGAAGGTTCATTTTCTTGTTCTGGAGTACCATCTTTTGCAACTTCAAAGGCTTTGACTGGGGATTGAACTTCTTGAGCAGTTTGGCCTTCAGAATCTTCAATACTAGGCTCAAAGTTCTCGACAGTGGACTCTTCAACAACAGGATTTTGCATAGTTGGTTGCTCAATGTCAGGTTCTTCAGATGTTGCAGGTTGAACTTGTTCGATTATTTCAAGTTCAACGGATGAAAGTTGGGATTGCTCATTTATTGGTTCCTCCACTGAAGTTGGTTGATCTGGTTTGGATTCCTCTCCTTCTGAAACTTGAGGCAAATCATCAGTCATTATAACATCATCAACATCAACGGAGGGTTCAGTTTGATTTGGAGTTTCTTGTGAAGCATTTTGATGGCTCTCGATTATCTGAGCTGAATTTTCATCGATATCATGAATTGGCTGTTCAATTTCCTCCTTATCACTCATTGTAATGCTCTCTTTCTTTTGTTCAGACCTTCAACACTGTAACTATCTTCAAAGGATACGATAGTTTTCCAACAAACTTAAGGAATCAACAACAATTGTTTAGATGATAATCCGTTAGTGTATGGTGTTTAAGTGAATCGATTCTAGATCTTCTCGGGAAAAGAGACAAAGGGAGGATGCTAAATGGTTGTAATTGCCATCTAAACAGTACTTCATGCTTAACATAAACATGTATTTCAGAAATCGCTGGTGGGCCCCCAATACAAACATCACAGCCGGGTATCACATTAGGTCGCGGAATTCGCGAAGATATTGTAGATATGATTCCTCAGTTTACAACCCATATAAAAAGACATTCAAAGAGAATGCTCTTAGGAAAAATACTAGTGAATAAATGAAGACTTCTAGGACTCCACCTAGTTAAAAACTATATGTGAAGAACCTTTCAATTGGGCTAATGACGATCTTGTTAATGGTTATGCTGCTGCGTAATATTAACAGGATTTCTTATGTAGTGCATCTATTGAGAGGTGCACTATTGTGAGCCCTATAACTGAGATATAACTACACATATTATAAATTCAGAGAACAATCAGTATCCTGGATGAACTTTATACTTCACTCTATGGTAAGCCTGTCAAATTCATAGTGATTTCCGACCCTCCCCTCGTATCTGATAGTGTAACACGTGATTCACTGGGTGGTGGTGTTTGGATGCTGAAATCGCGAACTTCTGGAAAATAGTTTGTGACTTGTTTTTCAGCGACCAAACAACCAGACACCAGTGGCCCACGCACAACTTTTCGATAGAGACAGCACAGATTCTTTATCGCGCACAACAGCGTCTTGCCTAAAACCATTTCAAAAAGCGCGACTCGCCCATAGTTAAGGAATTGGTTTGGGGGACACATTTACTGGACTCTCACAACAATTTGGAAAAACCAAAGTGAAAACTACAAAAAATCCATTTTGTTCTTTAACAAGTTTAGATTACCTAGACAGAGTAACGTAAATTACACCAAAATGCAAATGTAAGTTCATAATAATGAACAGAGGAGCACATATGGAAAGAGAATATCAAGCACATAGTACTATTTATCGTTCACAAGTGAAGAGTTTTCAATAGATTTTGTCTAAAGTAATTGAGGTGAAGAATTTGAAATGTATGAACCACCATGGAGTTTAAGAACAGTATCAAAGAGGAAAGAACATTATCAAACAAGCAAGGAATATTAATGGGAGATAACTTAAAGAGAGGTTGCACCAGAAGACTCAACAAATGAGATCCCTTTCCATAAATTCCTCCAAGTAATTTACTACATTCATTACAAATACTAACAGGCACATTTAGTTTCGTTAAAACTTTAACTGGTAAAACTATTACCTTAGAAGTTGAATCTTCTGACACCATTGACAATGTCAAGTCAAAAATTCAAGACAAAGAAGGTATTCCACCAGATCAACAACGTTTAATCTTTGCTGGTAAACAATTAGAAGATGGTAGAACTTTATCAGATTACAACATTCAAAAAGAATCAACTTTACATTTGGTTTTGAGATTAAGAGGTGGTATCATTGAACCATCCTTAAAAGCTTTAGCTTCAAAATACAACTGTGAAAAATCAATCTGTCGTAAATGTTATGCTAGATTACCACCAAGAGCTACCAACTGTCGTAAGAGAAAATGTGGTCACACTAACCAATTACGTCCAAAAAAGAAACTTAAATAGATTATTTCGCTCTATTTTTTGTTTATTTTGGATTCATTTTATGTTGACGTGTTGAATGAAATATTTTATGGGATTAATTATATGTTTGTTGGTCTCTATATTTAGTTTTTTTCTGGATAATTTGGAATTTGAAATAAATATAACCCAGTGTATATTTTGAACATGTTGTAGAGAAGCTGATGTCTTGGTTACATGGCTGTTGATCGATTGCACTATAAACGTTGCACCAGCGATCAAAGTAATCTACAGAATGCCTACAGAACAAATTACATCTTTTGAAAACACACACTCATTAAATTATATCATTAAATACATTACTTGTACACCAGAAAACTTTTATCCTATTAAACTAACATATTCCTCCTTTTTTTTTATTGATTATCCACTATTCTTTTTTTTGCTCTTGTTCTTGATTTGCTTGATCTCTGTTTTCTTCCGATGTAGACGCTGTAGTATTCTTCACACTCTTTGGACTATTGTTCTTACTATTTTTAAATGCATCTTCACTTGGTGTTGCAACCATATCTTTCAAAATAACAGGACAATATTCAGTCAAAACTTGTCTCAATTGTAATCTTCTAATTGGTTTTGACAAAAATCCAGTCATACCAGCATCTAAACATTCTTTAACGTTACTTTCATCAGCAAATGCAGTTAATGCCACAATTGGATTATCGTATTTCAGTTCATTTCTAATATGCTTTGTAGCCATTAATCCATCAACTTTTGGCATTTGAACATCCATAAAGATAACATCATAATATTCATCACCATTCGAATGTGCATTCGAGCAATCTCTCTTTGATTTAACTAATTCAATAGCTTCTTCACCATCAACTGCTAATTCGACATCTGTAAAACCCTCAAGGTTTAACATCCTTTTGATAACTTCTTGATTGGCAATATTATCCTCAGCAACTAAAATCTTCAAATTCTTTGAAGGTTGATGATGGTTGGATGTGGTACCTTGTGATGAATATGAGTATAACGATGACGGTTTTGCAGTACCTGTTGATTGTAAAATTGGTCTATCAAAATAACCATAGTTATCATTTGAACCACTTGTTGGAGTTTGAACTCTTGGTGTACCTGGTAAAACTTCACGACTGCTGTTATCATAACTATTATTTGATGATGTTTGCTCAGGTTCTGGGGATTTTTCAGGTTCCACGATTTTAACTTTTCTATTCTTCTTACTATTCACATTAAATTCATCTTCATAAAAAGTTAAATCATTTTCATCAATGATTAATTCTTTTCTTTGAATTAACGGAACTCTAAAAATAAATTTGGAACCAACACCAACAGTAGACTTTAATTCCATAACACCTTTCATCATTGTAGCCAATTGTCTGCAAATTGATAAACCAAGACCAGTACCACCATATTGTCTAGATAATGTTTGATCACCTTGAACAAATGGTTCAAAAACAGATTCTTGTAATTTTGGTTCAATACCAGGACCTGTATCTTCAACTTCAAATTCAAATACCCAAGTCTTGTGATCTCTCAAGTCTCTAGATTTCAAATTTCCGTCATCTTCATCATTTGTTTTGAATTGATTCTTAAACACTGTTTCATCATATGAAGAAGTTGAAACGGTAATCACAGATTTCTTATCAGAATCATCATCATCTGTAGTTGTATCATTAGAGCTTGTAGAAATATCATTATTATTGTGACCATTAACTGAAATCAGTTTTTCATCAGCTTCAGGGCTATGGTTATGGCTATGATGGTGGATTGAATTAGTTTTAACATAAACATGCTTATAATCTTCCCTGGCACTTCTTTCTTCATCATATTCACCAATATTTCTGATTGTAACAGAAACTTTGCCATCGACAGGTGTAAATTTCAAAGAGTTACTAACCAAATTCATGACAACTTGGATAATTCTATTTGAATCACCATAAAGAACCATTTTTCTAACATTATTTGGTTTTAAAGATATGGTTAAATTAACATTTTGATCTTTAGCCAATTTCCCAAAAATTGATTTAATTTGTAGAGCAACTTCAATAACCCCAAAATCTGAATTTTCCAATTTTGATCTTTTCAATGAATTTTTGCTAAAAGTTAATAATTCAGTCAAAATATGTAACAACAATTCACCAGATCTGAAAATCAACTTCAAACTTTGTTGGATTTTATTTGGATCAGTTTCAGCCATTGCAATAGCAGTCATACCCAATATACCATTTAATGGGGTTCTTAATTCATGTGAAATGTTTGCAATGAAAACGGTTTTAGCCTCATTAGCAGCCTCTGCTTGGATTTTAGCAGCTTCCAACTGTTTGGTTCTTGCCTTAACACGATCTTCTAAATGTGAATATTGACGATCTAATTCATCAGTCATTGCATTGAAAGTTTCAGTCAATTTACTCAATTCATCTTGGAAAAATCTTGTATAATGCGGTACTCTTGCATTGGAAATGTATGTTGAATGACCAGCAACACCTGAAGACATTGAACCATTTTCACTAATCATGTTATCAGTTCCACTTGATAGATTATGAGAATGGCCACCACTCCCACCACCACCACCATCACCATTATTACTACTAGGATAGGGTACTGGAGATCTTGAGCTATTGAAACTTGCCCTACTACTATTATTTCCTGATGATGGATCTCTATCCTTATCTTTTCTTCTTTTTTCATTCAAAGTCTGCAAACCTCTTCCTGCAGCTATTGTTTCTGTAGCTTTTTGTAATCTCATAATTGGCTGGACAGCCCAATGAGCCAATGGAAAAGTTATTAATCCCATAAAAACAGCTGTACCAATAGAAACACCAACGATTATTTTAGCTAGTCTGTTTGAAGGTTCCAAGAATTTTGATCTTGGTTGTTCAATAATTGCAGCCCATCTTGTCATTTTGAAATTGATTGGACAATAACCAGCAGCTACCACATTACCAGAAACCAATTTTGTTTTTGATGTTGACCCTGTTTTGTTCAATCTTAAAGCTTGATTTGCAATATAACTTTTCTTTATAGGTAATTCTGTGTCAATCAACCAATCTGGTAAATTTGGGGATGGTAATGCATAATAAAAAGTTGAATTATAACTTATCTCTTTTGATGTGTTGTTTGTAGCTATTATCTCCACAGCTCCATTAGTTATTGCTGTTGAATCATTTGTAATATAGGTTAAACTATCTGCACTCATCACAGTAGTCAAATAACCAACTAAATCAGTTGTATCATATAATATTGATGCACTTGCATATATGGGCAATGTCATTGACATAATGAACGATGTATCATTTGCAACAGGACCCGTTAATAACCCATCTTGATCAAAATTAGCTGGTAATGTCGAATTTTCATTCTCCATATCCAATGGGAAAAGTTCCTCTAAAACATCTTCTGGTAAATGCTTTCCATGTGTTGTATAATCTGAAGAATTCAAAACTAATTCAAATCTTGAATCATAAAGCCGCACATAACTAAACGTATTTGAAGAGCTTAGAAATTGTTGCACTGTATCAGCAGCATTGTAAAAATTATTAGTTGTTGTGTTACCAGCTCTATAACTAACCAACGAACTCTCTATTGTATCTCTCCCACTTAACCAATATACTTGGTAGTATAGATAATTCAAATTTTGTTCCACTTGAGAAGCTTTCAATTGAGCAATAACTTGTAATTTATCAGCTCTAATGTTTTTGTAATTTGCACTAAAATAAACCCCTGTGATTATAGCTAAAACCATTAAAGATAGTAACGCAACCATAAGAACAAGGAATATCAGCTGTTGCCTTATTCCTATCTTTAGAACTCTCATGATGATTGTGTTGTATTGTATTGTATCAATGAATGTACGGGAACTAGCAGCATTTAACTATGCAAAAAGATGGGGACACTATGGATGATTGTGAATGAAAACAAAGATATATGGGTTTGAAGGAATGCAAAAATGGGCCTCGAAGGTTTGGTAAGAATAAATAAGAGTGTTTTATGAGTTGAATCTATTGAGGTTCTGGTTGATGGATGTTGTTTTTGTTTGTTTTTCCAACTTGATGAAAAGGGATACCAAAGTTCTACAAAGAAGGTGATTTAAAATAGCAGCAAAGGAACCTTTAAAAGCAAATGGTGGTTATTCTGACACAGCGGCAGAGCGTTGTTGATGTGTTGTTGTTGTAGATGTTTAAAGCACCAAATAATGAGAATGTCTCTAGAGGGTTTTCCTTTGTTATTTGCAAGTATTTTCTAGGATTTGTGCAAGGCGCAACACTTTTTATTTTTTTTTTGATTTTTTCCTTCCACTAAAAAATTTCTGTTTTTTCTCGATTTCCAGATCGACCGTTTCCCAGTCAAGAAATCTACGGGCAGATCGATTGCAAGTGTAGCTCAGCTTGAGTTTGTCGTATAATTAGATGAGGATATATTGATACAAGTGTTGTTTTGTTGTATAATTGGTGCGTTGACAGGTAGTATGAGACTATTTGTATAGTGTTGGTAATAAGTCCTCATACGAGAAGATTATTGAGATGATTAGTGAAGATGATATTTTCTGCTCAGGAAGTGTATAAGAATACAGGCTTATGCCAGTTCTGAGAACTGAGGTCGCCTGTTGAGAAGTATCAAGCTTGCAACAGTCAGAAAGACCAGAGATACACTAAATATCTGTAGTAAAGCTCAATATGTCAGCTGGAAGAGATACATCTGATTCAGGTGCTACTGATGTAGCTACGACAGAAGAGGCTCAGGGTAGAGAGGTTTCAGGCCGTTCTTCGCATGGTAGCGCTGCAATTGTTGGTGAAGAGCCTGCCATGAGACCTCAAGGTAATGAATTGACAACCCCAGAAAATGTTATGAAGAATTTGAATTCTCAAGTTTGTGCTATAGAAGATTGCTGGAGATTCAAAATGAAAAAATGAATATTGATAACCCAAAAACTTCAATAGATCCAGAGGTGGTGAAAATGTTAAAAGATGTTGGGTATGCAATGATGAAAGTCATCTTAGTTTTAACTGTCCAAATAAACATAAGGAAAGTGAATGAAGTTGATGATTTAATAAACTGAATTTGCTGTCTTTCAAACTAATTGCTGTAACTAAGTTCTATGCTCAATCGCTGTTTTAGCAATAAGCAATGGTGGATGGACCCTCTAGAACTTTGAACCAACCTTCATTGATAATAATGTTATTGAAAGGTAGTGGAAATCCATTGTGAGGTGACTGAACTTTGAATCTTTTGAACAGACAAGTTGAGGTCGGTGATGACATAATCATCGCGAAATATGATTCAGAATTACAGAATTAAGGACTTTGTGGAATCATTATTGAACAAGGAGATGATTGAAGACTAGCATTACTAGAATTCAAGTTGGTCTAGTTCTTGGAAGCAAAGGTGACTTTGATTGTCAAATGACCTAACCTGGTAACAAGAGTTGCTATTCGAAAAGGTTTAGCAGGTTGTCAATGATCATGATGATGGTTGAAGTGAAGAAGAAGTCTACTCAAAAGACCATTAAGAAATTTGCTGGCAATTAGCAATTGATCGAGTGGAAGGATCATTGTGCTATTGTTGTTGTCCTAAGTCAATTCAACTGTTGTTAGAACTGACAGGTGCTGTCAAAATGAACTGCTGTTAGAATGAACGGGAATGGAGAACTCAACTAATAAGAGATATGAGGAGAATTGAAAGATCAGTATTCATGGAATTCCCTAGGCTAGTGTTAGAAGATTTTGACTGTGATTGGAGGTCTATGAAGATGAGAAAGTGGACTTGTCTGGAATGAAGATGAAAGTACTTGAGGTAACTGGTAGTTTAAATGTACTAACTAGTTGTGGGCAACTCGGAGTCTAGAGATCCTGGAGGGCTTGAACTGCCTTGGGTTTGACAATGAGCTGTGCCATGTGTTTGTCTGGATATCCTGAAGGGGATTTGACAATGGAAGGAAATCATCTGAATGAAAAGATTTGGAAACTTGATCCCTGATTTATGGATTGAAAGCCAAAGGAAACTCCGAGAAACGAATAAGGAAACTGATATCAATCGGAAATGTTCATTCTAATGCTGAATTATGATCGAATGGTCTGATTGTAATTATTATTTGACAAACATTGACTTGTTGTTGCTAGAAGGAACCATAAGATGAGAAGTATTTGACTTACTAGAGATCAATGTATGATCTTGGAGGTAAGGTTCATCTGGTATTGGAGCTAATCAAAGAACTATTGATGATGATCTATGTTGCAATGCTCACGAGTTTTGTGTTGAGCCAAGAAATAAAAGATTGTGAACTTGAGCTAGAGTCTACTTGAGTTAAGGAAGGATAAATGAAACCCAGGAGAATGGTTGAATGGGATCCTGTATCAAATTAGAACTCACTGGAAGTAGAGAAACTCAATGTTGTTGCTTTAACTAGTTAGTATAAATCCAAAGGACTTTCAACAGTTGCTCTTAATATGCAAGAAGGCTACAAACTAGATGTTGATTTGATGTGAATTGTTGAGCTGTCAAATATGATTTGTCAACTACAATTCAGGAAGAAAGGGGTTCATAGATAATAAGCAGATCATCAAATGCAACAATACCAAGTATGCTAGATGAAGACAGTTGTCTAGAATGATTCATTGTGTGAATCTAGAGATGTGATAACAAACTGCTGATTGTCATAAGTGTAAGACCAGGTAGAAGTACTGGCAAGTGTTAGATTCAGTGATTGATCAGGTAATACAACTGATTTGATTCAAGTATTGAATGGAGACTCAAGGTGGGTCTGATGAATCTAGGATTGGAAAGAGAGTAGTCAGTATGAGAGGATGAAATCTTGAAGTTTGAGCTAATCTGGAAGACTCTTGTGAATCAGAGAAGAGAGATAGCTTATGGTCTGGTACTTGTTGAACCAGAGGAGACTAGTGAAATAAGTACTGACTAGGAATGAGACTTAGTAACTGGTGAGAGTGAACAGTTGTTGAATGTGTGTGACTAAGTAACCTATGAGGGTGAACAGTGGTTAACTGAGTAGATCCATGGGGATGAAAGGTTGTGAATGAGTAACCATAATGGTGAAAGTTGGTCTGAACTTTAGGTTTAGATGGAAGTATCTCAAGTGATGGAAGAACAATGAGATTGAATAAAGACAGGTAAGTAAAGTCTTTGAAGGAATCAAACAGAATGTGAAACAAAGTGTTTGAGATCAAACGGGAACAAGATGTGAACAAACTTCATCTTGGTTTGATGGGTAAGAAATTACCGGGAATCAGTTTAATATTGATTCGGCCATGTAATAGTTGACCTATTCACCATGTAAGTGGACTGCAGCCACTAGGGAGCCGCATAGTAACTGAGGTTATTATGTGTCAATCTTAATTGATTGTGGTCATCAGAAATGATTGACGGGTACAACAGCTAGCTACTGTTGAGACTGACAGGGATGAAGTGGAATCTAGTCAGTCTGAGTCTCTCTTACTATCCTGGTTTAGGGATAGGCTACATGACTGTGATTAATTTCCGAGGAGTGAATAGGAAAACCTAAATGTGACAAATATACAGAGCTTGGTGGAGTTATTCATATATTCTATGATAATTCAACTCAATTATACATGTGCAGTTATGGACTACTAGTAATCGGAGTTCATGGATTCTATAGGACATGTTTAAACTATAGAGGTAGAGGTTTTCATCCTTTATAAGGTTTCCTCTACAAAAGACTAACAGAAGGTTTTTACTTTTTTCCTTCAACATTAGGGAGCATGAAATTATCATCTTGGGGAAAGGGATTGATGCGTTGACAGGTAGTATGAGACTATTTGTATAGTGTTGGTAATAAGTCCTCATACGAGAAGATTATTGAGATGATTAGTGAAGATGATATTTTCTGCTCAGGAAGTGTATAAGAATACAGGCTTATGCCAGTTCTGAGAACTGAGGTCGCCTGTTGAGAAGTATCAAGCTTGCAACAGTCAGAAAGACCAGAGATACACTAAATATCTGTAGTAAAGCTCAATATGTCAGCTGGAAGAGATACATCTGATTCAGGTGCTACTGATGTAGCTACGACAGAAGAGGCTCAGGGTAGAGAGGTTTCAGGCCGTTCTTCGCAATTGGTGTACAGTAAAAGGAGTTGTTCATGGCTGAGACACCTGAAGGCATATCGTCATTTAAGGATTTAAGCGCTGCTAATCTTTTGGAGTTATTATTTTGGCTTCCTGGGCTCCAGGTGAGGCTCCTTCTAAGCTCTCTGCCTAGCTTTTCTAGCTCCTGCCTGGATTGTAATTTGTAGCTGTGTCTCTCGAGCGACAGGCTCAAAAGGGTTGTAGGCTGGGCAGACTACAGCAGCATACGCTCTAATTTTGCATAATGGTACAAGGTTTTTTAACCTTTTAGCTTACAAAGAGAAGGTGAAGCTAAACTGAAATCAATTGATCCAACAATACTAGTACACACCAGGAAGGAGGAAGTAGTACTTCCTTTCTACTTCTTCAGTCTTCTAATCGACTATATCATCAGCTTTGCAATACTTGGAGATGTCATGATTGTAGCAACGTTGGAATTATTTAATGTACGATTGAGTCACTGCAAATAATTACTTGAACGGTTTCAACTTCTTAAAATACATCCTCTAATTTATTACAACGAGGACATGGTATTTATAGGTAACAGATAAGTGGCTGATTATCTCTACGTCCTAGTCTCAATCAAAGAGATGATGATATTGCTGTATAAATTTACTACAATATCTGTTCATGATACAATATAATTGATGAAGGAGTAATATGGATTGGGCTTTTTCAACAATATTTGCAGAATCACGAAACTCCACCTGCAAATTATAATTTAAATTAATCGTGCTCAAAGGACAATAATATTATTATCAACTTATATCCAGCACGGTTATATCCTTTGACTTTGTATCGCCTATACAATTTAGCCCATGTTAACAATTACATCAAATCATGACTGCACAAAGTTCAAACTGAGTTCTCCGCTTTGCGTGAGTGCATCCCATACAATCCTATAAACACTTTTGATTCCTTTTCAGGAAGTCAATATGCCCCCAGACACGTATTGTGTGGCAGATTGCGATAAGATCAGTTTAATTTCACACACCTTTCATCAACTGATATCTAAACAAACCCAATTAAACAACCATTTCAAATCGAAAACAATATCATTTTAACGAAAAGTGACACAGAAAAGTCTCTCATTCCAACTACAAACTACACCAATATTCAAATAGATCATCAACCGCCACGAAGCTCGGTGAGGCTATCATTACCCTTTTCAACTCATTTTTGACATATTATTATAACGGTTTTCTTGAAAGGTCGTCCTTATTAATTTACGTGTCATGATGGCGTCAACTACAAACTCTTCGATAAAACATCCAAAACCTAATAATGGACAATCATCAAATGGGTTATTATCACCACATATGTCTGTTCTTGAAGCATTGCAATCAACAGCGAATGAAGATGAAAACAAGTCACCTCAATACAGTCCTCAATTCAACAATTTTGCAAAGCATCAAAATACACCAACTTTCAATGATTTTGAGTTTACTTCAAACACATCATGGCATTCAGTAGGTGATTATTTGGCACCAAGACCGACAAGTTCTGTTCTCTCATCTTCAGACACTGAAGAAGATACCCAGGACCATGCTCCTTTAGCTATCAAACCACGTCAATCAATTACATCTGAAAGTGATGAAAAGACAATTGAAATCAACATGAATTCTGGTATTAAAGATCCTGGTTCAAGTGACGGTTCAAGTTTTGTCTTACCTCAAATGTTTAGCCAAATTAATGATTCAAATTATGCTGATCAAGATTCTAAAATCTTGATAATTGGTCATAAGAAGGTCCAATTCTTACACACATTAGATTATCAGTTGCAAAAAAGATTCACGTTGGATAATCATGACAATTATAATATCATTTTAGTCATATTTGATGGATTGATCAAAATTGGAAACATTTTAAACTTTATCAAATATAATGGTACTCAATTAAGAAACAAATTATTTATCCCGATCTTTAGAAACATCAATTTGAGGATCATTGATAAGATTTTAAGAAACTACAACATAAACCTATTATGCTCTCCAATCAATCTGGATAATAAATATGAAGTTAATAACCTATTGAATGTCTTAAAAGAGGATTATCTTTTGAAAGATTCCAAAACCGTTGCAGATTCTATCATCCCACTGCAAGATAACCAAGTTGCAATTGAACAAACAATGAATAGTTATCAATTAATAAGAATCTCCTCATCGGATAGTGATGAAAGTTGTGAAAAAGATGGAACAACTAATAACTCATTGGTTCTACAAAATGACCCATCAAGTATCAGCTCTGATAAAAAAGTCATGATAATAAGAAATACACCATATGAAATTGTTCATCATAAGCAATCCAAGAGATCAAAGAAGTTGAAAACGAAGGATCGTATTCAGAAGAAGTACTTTCTATTGGGAATCAGTCTAAGCGTCGGTATTGGTATTGGTATCACAACAGCCCTTACAATTTCTTTCCTCAAATCCAAAAAGGCAGTTCCACCTCCTCCAGCACCTCATTTAAACCATTACAAAAAATTCACAACATTAACAATTGATCAATTATCCAAGAGTAATGACTTGTTGAAACGAAACTTGATTCATTTCAAACAACATGTTGGTGATTTCTCAAAGATTGTTTATAATCATTCAAAAGACTATGTTGTTAAAGTTACTCATTTATGGGATCAATTCGTTGTGAGTGCTTCCCAAGGTGTTCAAGCGGGCGCAATGCTTTGGTTTTTTTGATACTGGGGACATTTTAAAGGTTGGTTAAAGGTGGCTGTATTGGTTTCAAGGACGGGGTTTTGGTTTATCAATAATGATATATTCTACAAGGTTTTCAACTGTTTTTTCTTTCTATATTTTTCTTTCATATCCATTAATCATATATATAAGCTTTGGTAATATTAATACATACAGATTGATTTTACTTAGCCTTTCCTGCAACATAGCTGAATCTCCAAGGAACATCCATTTTATCCAACATCACTTCAATCATCTTCAATTCACCATCATCTTTATTCAACTCCATCTCCAATTCATGATTAGTTTCCACGCGAACATTAACACTCTTGTTTTCGACATCACCAAACACATTAAATAATTTCAACCAATTCCAATTTGGTTGAATGTCATTATAACTTCTTGTTGGACCACAACAAACTCTCTCCACACTATAACCATCGTTATTCAACAACAATACGGTTGGTTTAATACCATAACGAACATAGCTTGATAACTCTTGTATAGTCATTTGTGCAGACCCATCACCTTGTAATAAAATGACACGACGTTTTGATTCTAATCCAGCATCACGAATAGCCAATGAAGCACCCAGTGTAGAAGGTAATGCATAACCTATTGAACCATAAAAGTTTTGAGAAATAAATAAAGAATCTTTTGGGAATTTAATATCTGGAATTGCAAATAAGAATGAACACATTTCACAAACAATAACATCACCTTCTCTTAATTTTGATTCCAAGATTTTGGCCATTGATGATTGTGATAATTTTTTAGTAGCATTTAATAAAGTTGGTGATGATGGATAAGATCTTTTACTTCCCCAAGATTCAACAGATTGATCAGTACATAATTTCATTGGTTCAATTTGTGCCAAAAGTGAATCAAAGATGATTTCCCCATCAACAGATGTTATAAGTTCATCATCAATCAAAACATAATCTTTACCTAGCTCCACAACATCACCAACAAAGTCTTTAGCTTTCAAATTGTTGAAATTGTTGATTTCATTTGTAACAACACCAAGGTGTAAGATTAATTCAAATTTTGAAAAGGTATCAGCAGCACCTTCAGATGAAATTTTACCATTGAAAACACCATGGAATTTTTCAAAAGTTTCATCAATTATTGATTTACCTAAGACTGTTGAAAAGCAGTCAATGTTATTTGATTGAATGAAATTGTTTAATACATCTTTACGATTTTCAATCAAATTATCAGCCAAGATTGCAAATTTCTTCTTGTAAAGTTTATCAATAATTTTGGAAACAATTTGATTAGTTAGTTCAGGATGTTTATCAATTGAATTAAACTCAAGTTTTTTAGTGGTATCAACAGGAATTTGAATATCAGCTAGATTTGATGGAATAAACAAATAACCAGGTTTTTTACTCTTGTAAATAGTTTCAATAACATTATCAATTTTGGATTGTAAAACTGTTAGGTCATCATCATTCAAAGATTCAACAATACAACTGAATGGCTCCACAATTTTTTCATAAACATAATGATCTTGGGCAACTTCCCAAGTATTTTTACTTGGAATCAAATGATGTAAAGTTTTATTATTCAATTTCTTAGCCATAGTGGATGAAGTACCAACGATATGTAAAACTGGAACATTTTCAGTGAATGAACCACTGATTGCATTTAAAGCACTCAATTCACCAACACCAAAAGTTGTAACCAAGACACCAAATTTATTAACACGAGCATAACCATCAGCGGCATAACCAGCATTTAATTCATTACAATTACCAATCCAATTTAAATCAGGGAAATTGTATAAATGTTCCAATAATGACAAGTTAAAATCACCAGGAACACCAAAGATTGATTTTAATGAGTTGACTTGTTGAAGTCTTGAGAATAAATAAGAACCTAATGCGACGTTTTCAACGGTTTCTGAGACTGTCATTGTGAAGTGGTTTAATGTTAAACCTTGCAAAGGACATTACCAAAGAAAGAGAGAATATCTCATACTTTATATACTTGTTTGATGGCTAAGGGGGCTCGTGGCGGTAACTGACGGTCAGGAAGGCCTTGAAAAGCCTTTTCCACTCTTTTGAGTTTGAGTTAGTATCAAATTGTTCAATTGAGATGTTTTTTTTGTTGTCTAAAACTCGAACGCTTATGGGCGGCATCACGAGGGTGTCTTCGGCAATTGAAGTTTTTTTGACACCAAAGAGCAAAATTTGCTAGCGGCTACTGATGGTTAACAAGGGAAAGAAGAGGTGGAAAATGATAGGTTTATTCTTGAAGCCTTGTGCTTATTGGGGTGTTGATTCGATTTGGCAAGCATTCTGGAGTATAACTGATATTAATATTGTGGCTTCTTTGATGGTTTTCTACAACGTTTAAATCTTTGCTAGTACTTGGGGTACGACGTATATCGTAAAAAATCTGGATTAAAGTACTAGTGTGAAGTTTGAACTGTCTTTGAAAAAGAAGATATCATTGATGAACAACTACAATTATAGGTGATTCTCAGCAAATTAAAGAAAAATAATATTAAAAAGAGGTGAAAATGCAACAAAACAATAACAAAAACAGCATTCAGTTTGTATGTGAGGAAAAGCCAAAAGATAAATGATCCTGACTGATTAATGTACAAATAGCAGAAAAACTTCAAGCAACGATTTGATCTCAATCAAATGCAATATCACGTGTAAACTTCTTCCATATCCCTATCATCTTCAGCACCTTCGCCAGTCTTATATCCATTAGCAGAGTTTCTCACTGGGATATCCGCATCCCTCAATCTTTTTTCAACCTTCATTCTTTGAAGTTCTTGCCATCTTGAAACTTTGGCGTAATCATGTATATTGAAACCAAACACTTTTGGAACATATCTATCTGTTGGATGGACTGGAACTAAATGTGGATAAGCTTGAAGGAACATACCAGGGAAACTCGTACCAAAGAAGGCACCATCAATTTGTGAATGTCTTGAAGATTTTGGATTATATAAATCTTCACATTTTGGGCAATATAATTTAACAGCACTAACACCAATATGATCACTTAGCCCAACAGGTAATAAATGTTGTAATTGGCAAAAAACTCTTGAGCAATAACCAAAATCAGCATTCTTATATTTCTCCAACATTTTTTGTAACCCTCTTGCCGTTATTATATATCTTGCATGTACTAATCCATATAGTAATCTTGCATTATACTCCAGTGTTTCTCTTTGTTGTTCAGTCAATTCGTCAGATTTCAAATTATCCGTTATCACTTCAATTGCTTGTGGCACTCTCTCAACATCAGAATAAAGACCTGTTAAGTTGAACTTATCAGTGATGTATTCCACGTCAATATCACAAAAGTATTCATTCCCTTTTGTTCCCAAAAACCAATCTATCCAGAATTCTGATATTTGTTAGTAAATTGAAACATCACAACTGATAGGCTATAAAAGCCACAAAACAAACAACACTCACCAGTAAATTCTGATTCAGAGTCACTTGTATATTCTTCTTTTGACATATCTCTGATGATAACTTCTTTAGCAACTTTCTTCTTTACACTCCTTTGAATCAAATTACTGTTGTTGTTGGATCCTATGTTTTCACTCTATTCACCACTGTCAGTTGAATTTTTTCTTTGAGCTCCAGAGAAAAAAAACAGATTCGCGGCCATTCACCAACAACTTCGCGAACTCGTTCTGGAAAAAAAGACGAAATTTTAGGACCAAGAAATCAAAAACTTAACAACAATCACCATAATAAACATTGAGATCGGAAGGACTTGAAGAAGAGAAAAGTATGATATAATGAGGCTTTTGAGAATACCGTCACAAATTTTATCCAAGAAGGTCACGTCGCTCGCCATCGACAGCAATTCAAAAACACTGGCATGTGGTTGTGCAGATGGACAAATACTGTTATGGGATGTCAAGACCCTTTTGGAAGTCACTAGTCTGACGAACCCAACTTTGGAAGATATCAAAAGAGCTGAGCCTTTTGCTGAGATTTCCAAAGAAGCTGGAATCACTTGCTTGAAGTTCCACGGTGATTGGTTGATAAGCGCTGATGAAAGTGGTGATGTCTCCAAAATAGATTGTAATTCATCAAGCTTGGACTCTCATCTCCTATTCAAGACACAATCAGATATCAATGATATAGAAACCTTTAACGAATTAGTGTTGTTTGCCACTCTGAACAAAATACTTGCATTTGACTTGAAAACAAACAAAGAAGTTGATTCAATACCGTCAAGATCTGATGTGAGAACTTTGAGTATAGACCCAACGAATTGTTTCCTTACATCAATTGGATTCAATCGCCAAATTTCAATCCACCAAATCAATTACATAGATGGTCAACTTCTTTCAAAAAAAATCCCAACTGGGCCTCAACAACTCATATCAATAAATGAAGTTTGTAAGATATCATGGTCCCCAACAGGTGAATCATTTGCAGTGCCTAATTATGGAGTGGATCCTCAAACAAATGGTATTGGTGTTGTATCAAGAACTAATTGGAGAGTGCAGTACTCACTATACGGTCATAACTGTAATGTGGTGAGGTATTGTCCTTGTTTGTATCAAGCCCAACACGATAAACCAGTTAATATTATAGCATCTTCGGGAATTGACAAATCAATTGCAGTTTGGAACACAAGTCATCAGAGACCATTATTCACAGCCTCTGATGTATCTGAAAAATCTATAAATGATTTAGTATGGACAAATGATGGATCTGGTTTATTCGCTGCTACTGATTCTATCTTGATATTCCAGTTTGATAAAGGTGAATTAGGGCATCTCGAATCAACTGGTAAATTAAATGAAGTTTTATCAAAGATACCTAAGCCTGAACCTTTAAAGCCAAAAGAAAAACCAATAGAATTACCAAAAGTTGAAGAAAAAGTACAACCTACAAATGGGACTAAACCTGAATCAAATAATAAACCACAAGAGACTACACCTTCAGTACCCCCAACAGAGCCTAAACCAACCCTAAAGATAATACCAACCAAAACAAAAGATGGTAAAAAGAGAATTGCTCCAACCTTAATATCGGCTGTGAATGGTTCCAAACCCGTCACCACCCAACCTTTGATGAACCGTGATACAAATGGCCATGGTGCTCTAACAACAATGGAATTTGATGTTCCATCTTACTCAGCTCCAAAAGAACTGAAAAGAAAAGAAGAGTTTGATCCAGAACAACCACAGAAAAAAAGGAGAGAGATTGAAGCTGTTGAATTCATTGGTTCAGTTGTTATCAACCCTTCAACCTCATTTGCAAAAGTTCGTATATCTACTCCTAAAATTAGATCATTTTTCGCATTAAAATCACCAAATGATGAAACTCTATCACTTGATGTTAGGAATGGAAGTGGTAATGAACAAAAACCAACACGTATAACCTTACTCAAAAATGAATCAAAACAAATATTTGTGGATTTTATACCAAAATTAGCAGGACTTGCCACAGGGGGTGAAGGTGAATTTTGGGCAGTCTCCACAACAGATGGTGTTTTGTATGTTTATAGTGATAGTGGAAGAAGAATATTCCCCCCAATTGTTTTGGGAACTCCATTAAGTTTTTTGGAAAGTAAAGGAAAGTATTTATTGGCTGTCACATCTATTGGTGAAGTATTTGCTTGGGATGTTGCTGCTAAAAAGGCTTTATTTGAACCAGCTTCATTATATCCACTTCTTTCCCGTTCAAACCCAGACTTATTGACAAGAGCTGAAAATTTGACCTTATGTGGGATATCATCCTCTGGTACTCCTATTGTTACACTATCAAACGGAAGTGGTTATTTATTTGATAGAGATATGGAAACATGGACATTAGTGAGTGATTCTTGGTGGGCTTTTGGATCTCAATACTGGGATTCAAGGGATGAAAAGACAAATGGTGGTAATATTGTTAATTTGTTGGAGAGAAAGACAAATGATGAAATTGTTAGAAGAGGTAGAGGTAAATTCTTACAAAAAATGGCAAAGACAATGTTGATGAAAGAAGGTTATGAAAATTTAGAAAAAATTATATCACTTGCACATCTGGAAAATAGAATATTGATCTCAAAGAAATTAAATGAAAAGACTGAATTCAAAAACTATTTGATTATTTATTGCAAAAGAATCAGTGAAATGGACTATAAAGCTAAGTTGATTGAAATTTTCCAAGAATTATTAGGTCCACAATCAGAGAATAAAGAAGAATGGGATTCAAAGATCTGCTCTTTCGATAAACACGACCTACTAAAAGAGATTATATTTGCTTGTGCTAATATAAGGTCTGTGCAAAGAATCTTGATAGAGTTTGCTACAAGTTTGGGAATATTGGACCAAATTGCTTTATAATAAATAGGACTTTTATATGTACATGTTATTTGAATACTATATTCAATCTAAACCTGCATTCTTTTTAACTTCTTTCAAAGTTTTGGATGCAATTTCTCTAGCTTTTGAGTTACCTTTCTCAACAACACTATGTAAATATTCAGGATCTTTCATCAATTCATCAAATAACTTTCTTGGTTTGGTGAATTCTTCAGTGATGACATCTGTGACATAATTCTTGAAAGTTTGATGGTCATTAAAGTGCGCAATATCTCTTTCAACTTCTTCAATGGATTTTCTTTGAATACCACTAATTGTATTGATCATATTTGAAACTCCTGGTCTGTTTATAGGACCATAGTTAAAATGTGTAGAGATGGAGTCGGTGACAGCCTTTTTGATTTTCTTTTGCAAAACTTCTGGTGTATCATTCACATACAAGGTACCATTTTGATCCGGGTCAGATTTGGACATCTTTTTGGAAGGATCTTTCAAACTCAAGATTTTCTTTGTTGGTGCCAAAATTGTTGTCGGTATTGGGAAAGTTTTCTTGAAATGTTTATTGAATTGAGTAGCTAAGTGTCTTGTCAATTCAAGATGTTGAGATTGATCATCACCAACTGGGACATGGGTTGATTTATAAAGTAATATATCAGCAGCTTGCAAGACTGGATATGCAAATAGTCCCAAACTTGCAGAGTCTAACCCTTCTGATTTGGACTTCCATTGAGTCATTCTATTCAGATATCCCACACCGGCATGACATGAAAGGATCCAGTAAAGCTCTGAGTGTTCAGAAACTGCACTTTGGTGGTATATTATGGCTTTATCACTATCAATTCCCGAGGATAAGATACTTGCGATAGCTTCATATCTATAAGTTTTCAATTGTTTTGCAGGTTTTGGAATGGTCATGGCATGTAAATCCGCAACACCATAAATAACACGAGAAGAATCTGGAGCTTTCTCACATAAATCATTCCATACTCTAATAGCACCAAGATAGTTACCTAAGTGGAATTTCCCGGTTGGTTGGATTAAACTAAAGATTGATGAATGCTCTGGGATTGAAAGATCTTTTGGATCGTACGAGGTGGTCTTCACAGTGGAATTACACCGTATTTGTCTAGTTGCACAGCTTTTCAAAAGCTGACTTCTTCTCAACACACTCAACATTATCTTTTATACCTCTATATCTTGTGTTTACTCAACTTCTTGTTACTTCAGGATCAGCTAAACAATGAAAAATTCGTTTTACTGTGAAAAACTAATTACGAGGGTATACCCTCGGAGATGGGCTAGATTTTTTTCCAGTACCTAGAACTATACTATTAAAACCGTTAAAACTGAATTCGTTTTGTTACACATCAGATCTTGTTTTGAATATCCTTTGCTTTCCGCTCAGAATGCTTCAGGCTGTGAGGAGTACGTCCAGGTTCAATAAACAAAATGCTCGCAGGTTTTCTTCAGCTGCTATAGCTTTAAGAAGCAAGAAGAGCCGCCCATCAGCATCATCAAAATCATTTCTCAATGAAAAGGATATAGACCAGATGATAGAAGAGTAAGTTGATACTGATTTGCTTTTAGGATTGTTCTAACATTATGACAGGGACCACGACTCGGCTGAAGACAAGAGGGAGTTGAGTGAAGATGATAAAACCAAGTTATACGACTCTGTCTCAAACCTTTTGAACTCAGATACTTTCAAGAGAATCATTTCTACAGAGACCAATTCAAAGAAATCTTTAAATAAGATTTCATTTGACGAAAAGAAAAGATTTTCTGAAAAATTTAGAGAACCAACTGCCAAATGGATTACTAAAATAAAACAAGATCTTGGAAAAGAGTTGGAAAAAGATGTTTCAGAAATTCCAATAGCAGCACTTCTTAAGGAAGCTTATGGTTCCCCAAAAAGGTATCTTAAACCTCTTGATATTTTTGAGTCTTTAAAACTGGGTGATGCTGTTGAAATGTCAACTGCTTTGAATCAAAATGTTATGGCAGTTGTTATCGAAGTGCCTTCAAGAGATGATGATCCAAGATATACAATAATGAATCGTAAAGGGGAGCTTCTTTTCGTGGAAAAATCTGCATTTAAACTCCGTATTCCAGGATTGATACCCAGAGGATGGGTTGAAGGTATTGTGGAAGAAACAAAGTATGAATCACCATTGTATGGAAGTATCAAAACCACGGTTGATCACAAATTTGAGTCCTATTTTGTTAATCCGCTGGCAAGAAGAGTTATAATGGATCCAATATTACGTATAACAAATGAAGCATGGGATAAACTACCTGATATTTCAAGAAGATTGGAAATTCTTCATAGAGTTGTTCAAGACAGAGGTCCCAAACAAATTTCATTATTTGCCTTAGCAGAAGCTGTTAATTTAATAGACCCAGAGAATTTCAAGAATAATCTTCAAAATAATGATGCCACATCTCAAAGTGAATATCTGAAGTTATCTGAAAAACTTCACGAATCTGTTGGGCTGGAGTATAATTTGCACAAGCAATCAGATTTAGGCAGAGAGATAAGCTCATCTAATTATGGAGATAAAGTAAGCATCTCACATTTGTATGCTGTTATTTTGGCTTTGAGAAAACAAGCTAGACTTTGGTCAACTTCTTACTCATCCAGATCAGCAATGATGCCAACTTCTGTGACTGTCAATTCTTTGGAATACGTCAATAAAATTGATGGTGTTATTGAATCTTTGAAAAAAGATACACAGCTTGTGAAAGAATTTATGGATTTTGTTGAAAAGGAAGATTATTCGGTAATTCCTCCTCAATTTGAAGGCATTTTAAACTTATTGAAAGAGTATAGTGTTGATAATATCACCGACCCAGTTGCAGAAACCGTTATTTGCCAATTGATGAAAAATATGAAAAACATTGAAAAATCCAACATCACGAAGACTCATGTTTATGACTTATTGATTAATATTGGATACATTAGCAACTCTTTAACAAATCCACAACATTTCTCTAATAATCTTTGCATACCTGGGAAAGGTGTTTCAATCAAAGCTGATCATGAACAAGATTATTTTGATTTGGTGGAAATTTCTGAAGATGGTGTTCCTGATGTCTCTGAGTCAATTAGAAAAGATTTTGGTGATATGAGAGTTTATTGTATTGATAGTGAAACTGCACATGAAATTGATGATGGTGTGTCAATTGAAAAAATTGATAAAGAAAATTTTGTCCTTCACATCCATATTGCTGACCCTTCATCTTATTTGAAACCTGGAGATACAGTTTCAAAAATTGCGTTTGAAAGAGCATTCACTACATATCAACCAGAATTAGTTTCTCCAATGTTGCCAAAAACATTGTCAGATTTGTGTGGTTTAGGAGTTGATGGAAGAAAAACTAGAGCAATAACGTTTTCAGTGCCTTTTAGCTATAAATATGGTGCCAATTTGAAGGAAGCTAAAGTTCAACCATCATATGTTTCCAACTTTCCTAAATACACTTATGACATGGTTGATGAAACTTTGAAAAAAACAAAAGATCAAACTTATGAGACAATGAATAATGAACAACGTGAACTAAATGATTTGTTTAACGTTGCCAAAAGATTACAAAAAAGAAGAATTGATAATGGCGCAATTGCATTTGGTGATACCATACAAACAAATGTTTCTGTTTCCAAAAATTCTATTAAACCGGAAACAGCTCTTATTGATTCATCACTAGATGAAGGGTCTGATGTTTTGTTCACCAAACAAACATTGTCCGATTCGGTTATCTTGGTTTCTGAACTTATGATTTTGGCAAATAGTGTGGGTGCAGCTGTAATGAGAAAATTCAAGATTCCAGGTATTTTCAAAGGTATGAGAAGTCTTGAACTTAGTGGGTCTGCTGTTAATGCTGTTAGTAGATTGAATACTTATTCCAAGGAAACTGATAAACTACCAGGTCTTGCTGATGTTGTCAAATCCATCAAGTTTGTTAATCCAGCTTTTTATTTCCCATACCCTATTAGACATTTGATGTTAGGTATAAATGGTTATCTTCCATCAACTTCCCCATTAAGAAGATATGGTGATTTGGTGAATCATTGGCAATTCCATTCATACTTAAATACTGGCAAACCATTGTTTGATTCTCAACAAATGGTCAACATGGCACTCCATATTGAAACTAGAAATGATATTTTGAAACGAGCACAACGATTATCCAACACATTCTATACCTTGTCACATATCAAGCACGAATTGAAGACAGGTAACCAGCTCAAGCTTTCATTTATGGTTTGGTCAAGACCCCATGATAATTATGTTGCTGGTATGATCACTGAGTTTGGTGTTTTTGCTAGACTGGCTTTGAATTTGAATAAGCAGCCTCCAAAAATTGGGGATGTTATTACTGATTTTGAAATTGTTGAATTGGATCCTGTTGGTGGGAACTTGGTAACTCAACAACGTTGAGGTCAATTGGATAGTTTATGTACATAGTTGGCAGTTGAAATATAGAACTGTATTAATGTTTGAAGATGTAAAGTTTTTTCAATGTTTTTTTTTACCCGATCACGATTCACTCCCTGAAGTATTGATGCTCTAATCGAATGGAATTTCGAAGCTCTTCATCGAAGAGAAAATTCAATCCCTGTTCTTCAGCCTTGAAGATAATACAGTACTTTTCAGTCATGTGCTTTATTAATTGCAGTCTGCCAACTCGAGTTCAATTCAAAGGGAACGTTTGACTCTTTATCTCTGGTTTCTCACTGGGAATCCCTGTTTGAAGGGTTGATCCCTGACCCTAAATCACAAAATTTATTCAGGTACACCAAGTATTAAGTTCCTTGCAGGGGTATAGACTAAACGAAGGGAAGTTAAATGCAAGATTTCCCTGTATTTCAGGACTCACAACGTTCATGAATCATGATCAACTTCTAAAGCCTCCAGTCTCAAAATTGAGGCCCAACACTCGTGTAGCCTTCAATCGCCAGATGTATTTTTGGTCTCGAGAAACTTTATCTGGGATTTTGAAAAACATGTACAGCTGCATTTTTTGGTTCACAGTCCACAATCCACGAAAAACTTTTAAACTACTCCAAACAGATCAACTGAATCCATCATGAGCAGCTATCAATTGCTTTGCTTTAATTTCCACAGCTGAATGATAATGTTACTGGGCTTCTCTTGAAAGAGTTGGATATTTTATGCACCACTTCGCTTCAACAGAAATTCATATCCATCTTCCAAAATGATCTAATTTAATCATCAACTCAACAACTCAATAGCAAGAAGCTTCAATACTGAACGCGTTACATATACTAAAAAGTATAAGTTAGCAACCAAGATATTTGTCTTCAAAAATTGGCCACATGACGAAATCATTTTGAGCTCTTTGATGTTCACCAATACTGATCACACCCCTATATTACCATTCAACTAAAAGACAGCTGGATATAGTAAAACAATAAAGTGACAATAAACCAATGCGGCACTAAAGAATCATCAACCTTTTATTTGGCAGAGATGTATGCTTCCCAAAATTGTTTCAAAGATCCACCATAACAAAACGAGAATAAAACGCGTTGGACCTGTCTGTTAATCTATTAACTCAAAGCAAGGCCAATCATGTCAGAAAAGAACTTAGCAACTAATCATAATTATACTATCCAATAGTCAGAGTGGGGTATTCAACTTCTCTAATAGAATTTGGGCTTCATAACCTTGGGAATTTGGCATATAAGAGCATCTGAAGATGGGAAAAGCAGTTGGAACTATCATATAGTGGTTTACTCTTTTGAACTGACTGCTGGATGATTTGAATATATCATGTTCACTGGTTGTGGTGTAATTGAGACCACCTAAATTGCTAGCCGCTGTGTTATTAAAGGTCAAAATGAGCTTGACACATCACATAGTGCCATTCAGCCATTGGTATAGATGGTATGGGCTTTCTTTGAGATCATCTGATCTTGCATTGTTTTTCTTGAGGCTTGTTTTGATCTGGTTGTGGTTCGGTTGTCTATGGTTTTATAAAATTTTGAATTCTTCTATATGATTAGAAATTGTTACGTTGAAGAATCAATCAAACAGCTTGAGCTTTCACAAAGGAGACCACAACTGTTGGCTCTTTTTCGATACAATGGGGTGGAATAGAGTTGTCATAGTTGGTGGAATCAAATCAAAACCGTTCCCCTAAAACTTGCTTTGGTTGTTAAACTACTTGAGTAACTTGAAGCTGTTTTAGGCCAACTGGCTGGAATCATTTCCATGCATGGAATGGGAACTTTGTTGACTCTCTGTTTTGATGCTTGAACCTCCTGATTCTTTAGTTTAACAAAGTTGAAAGTATATCAATTGTTCTCGGATAGTTCCATCAGCCAAAAATGTTCTGTTACTCAAAACATGCCTGTGTGTTGAAGCTTGAAGTTCTAGTTGGTTGATGGCTACGGTCGTCAGCCCTAGGGTCTCTATTGGTCTCGGTCTAATAGGACTCGCATTTCACCTTGTCACAAGTTGTCTACATCTCCACTGAAATTGGTATGTATGTATTCTAAGCATTGAGGGTTTCGCTTTGCAGTGAGATTGTACCAGTCTCAAGACACTTTTCCAAGTCTTTTCCAAACGTCAAACTCTTAGGCTCTAGCCATAATTGGCCAGATATCTTTCAAAAGAAGTAACGAGCCTCATCGATACAACAAAGGACGTTTAGGATGTTTAGGAATTTCATTGAGTGATAAAAATTATTCAGCTTGTGTACGCTGCGGTTCAATTATCGTTCTTATGTATGAAAATCCGATCGTCGTTACATTGTCGATGGTGTCCAACTAGCCGGCCTATAGGTTATGAAATATGTCAGATTACAAAGATGTTCAAGTTAATCGAGGACCTTTCCAAAATGAATCCAATAAGTGTGATTTGACAATGGAGATGGACTTGGGTTACTGCGATCTGTTATAAACGTGGACACAAAAGATCCAGGCACTGGTCATTAATCCTTCACTACACTTCAAAAGTCCAGCCAATGGATCAATAATGATTAGTCGCCAGATCGCTGTTAATATGGTTAATGGTCAACAAATATTTAGAGCTGAGGGCTGAAAGCCGTGGAATCAATTCTCAGAAACACCAGACTTGGCCGCTAGAGCTAAAAAATATTGCTCAAAATGCTATGTTATACTTATAGGTAATTATTTTGTTTCCTAGCTATCACTATACTAAATTCACGAATTTCGATTACACTTACACATGTAGTTATTAAATACGTGGCTGTAATATTGCCATGAATCAAAGATCCAAAACCAAGAGCTGCCTTTTATATTACAAATTGGATTATGAATAAACTTTAATGTAACTGTAACGCGTACTAAGAGACGTGTACTCCAGCTAATCATATATGTACGTCTCAATATTCATCTTTTACTTAGCTTTCCATCAAATGTAGTATGAATGTAATATCAATCGAACTAGCGATCACTTCTAATCAGTTGCCATCATCATGAAGAACCGATGTTCCAATTTCAGTATATTTGATGTGCTTGATATGATTATTTTGATTCGATTTTTGGATTAATGGATAAACTTACGCGTTGGTCGAATAATATTCTGCTCGATATATGTAGCCCATTAAACTGGATTAGATACATATAGTGACGATAGAGTTAGAGTTTAAACTTTGATCAACTTTGATTCAAATTTAACATGAACAAAACCAAGATCAACCGCTCAAACAATAAGTCGTAAATGTACATTTATATCGCTGACAACTCCAGTGTACTCTATCTTGTTCAACTAGTATAGATATGAGTGAGTCCGCAAGGGAGTGTACTCAAGAGGTGTAGCTTTTGATATTTATGTATAGCATTGATGAACGTTGTCGTCTACAAATGTAGACATTCTAATGTTTGTAGCTTACATTTGACCGCTCTGTCGGAGTCTGGTCAATTTTCTTGAAACCCATAGAGTGTACAGCAAATTACCTACAGGCTACATAGATACAGACTAGTCCAACCTTAAAAAAGCGCTGGTAGTGAAGTTTGAACCATTACGTTGTGCTTTTCACAACGTTGCCACAAATTGCAATGATCTATGTAATTACGCGAGCACAGAATATAACATATATATAGTACACATTTGAAATTTGAAGTCGAGCGACACACACAGAAAGTTCAGTTTTAATTTGGTCGATGTATGAAACAGTCTAAAGGCTTTTTCAAATATGTTATTCCGCGGCCAATGTTGGGAGTCTGGGGTCTGAAGAAGCTGTAACAATAAGAGCGAAAGCTTGAGAAGGCTTCTCAAGATCGTTATCGAAATTTAATCTCTTGCTGGCGAATTTTTAACTAAACCTGAAAATGCAATTACCAAAAAAACTTGAATAGCTACACCGTGCACATCTTGTTTCTCTCCATCATGAGCTGTGTCTTTAGGAAATTGTGCAGACTAGCGAGCTCGTACTTTGGCATAGTACTACACCTAGTGTCTGTATTTATCTATTGCTGGGGTCTGGAACACAAGCCGCATAATTTAGGCAACTCTCTACAGGATTTCGAAACGTTGTCATGGCGAGCTTTCTGTAAGTTCAGGTTCGGTGCAGTAAGTACTAAGCACTGAGCAGTAAAACGAGGAGTCTAGGTCCCTGGGGTCTTGTGTGATAGTCCACTTCCAGTCATGATGATATTGAGTCGTGAGTCGTGAGCTTAAGCTGAAAGCCAAACATCAAAAGTGATCAGTGGGAGAATTACAAAGTTGTCAACAGACTCTAATATCTGCCATATAAAGAGAGTGTACTACTCGCAAAAGCCATGATTGCACTTGTATCAAGACTTAGTATTAATAGAGCCTTTGAATCACATTAAGATTCCTGGCCGATGCTGGCATACGAATGATTGGAGAACAGCCAAAAGCTTAAAACACACATGCTTTATATAACGCTATCAAAGAGCTTCAAAATTACTTGCAATTGCACCTGTTCAAGTCGCGTGTTGATCAATATTAACATATAGCTTCTACAATCCGTATATACAATAGTTCCTTTGTGTTCTAACTTCTGGTATTGTCTATACTCAGAATCCAGTCTTTATTCGCAGCTAGCATGTGCTAGTCTTTTTAAACTGGGGTCTAATTACTCTCCAGAGCCTACATACAAAAGGCAAAGCCTACACACATTGTGGCGAGAGTTGGGTGAAGGTTAACATACAAGTGTATGTGAAATTCTAGGCCACATTGTAGCTAAAGATGAACGATTTAGTTGATGAGTGGGCCTCGCCCAAGGGACCAGGGACTCAAAACTGCTTGGTTATATCAGGATTCTGTGACATAGTTTTCAATAACCGGAGATCTCATGGAGATTCTCTTACTGTACAACAAATTCGCCGGCATTCTATAAATTGAACCCTGATGAATCATGATATTAGAGGCTCCTTTTTTTTAGTTGGTGAAATATGGAACTCCTCAGGCTTCATTTTTATTAAATTGTATGCGGGCTAAGTTTTAACTTTTTGCTGCAAGGGGTTTTGGGACTGTAGTATACATTAATTTTCACTGCAGAGGTATATCTTTGACAGCCAGGCCCAAATCCCAATCATGAATCAAGGAAGCCTGAGTTACAAAAGTTGAAACAGCCCCATGAAAGAAGTGAATAATCAACATTCAAATGTTTGTACGTAACTCTTCAACTAACTCAATTAAGCTTGAAAATTGGAAAAGCTATTCATACTTCACCAAACGTACTGTATGTCTTGCACGTAATTGCAAGCTGGAACTCTAACTAGTACTGAGTCCTGAGTCCTTTGCCAACGCGACCGCAAAGTATCGACTGTGAAGCTAAAGCATGCCCGATATGATGTAACGCAATCAGCTGTATAAGTATACATATGATCTATTAAACACTTTGCAGGAATGTGTACCTCAATTACCGTGAACGTTAATAATTGAGAGTTAATACTCTCTTAATTTAATATTGATATGATTTCGAAAGCTATATTTTCTTGAAGCCATGATATTTTTCATTATAATTATAATCAGCTAATTAATTAATGAATATCATGATCATGATCATCATATTTGTTACGTACTTTATATAAATTATAAATATATATAACTAGCAGCTTGAAGCTGCTAGTGCTAGCTGATCTTGGTGAAAATTATATTAATATATTTGATAATATAATTAATATTTGATAATTCATCCTCAAATTACAATTTATATAATATTATTTTAATTAATTATGCAGTATTTGATATTGTCGAGCAGCTAATTGGCGATGAGGACTGCAATATTAAAGCGCCACGAAGTACCGCTTGGATTGTAGACTTCGATTGGTTAACAATATTTGGAATATTCAGGCTTCCTTATAATATCATTAATCCGGCTCAGCCAACTCATGATATTAATATTTCAATAAATTAATTACAAATAATTTACGTCGTCATGAATCATCAAATCACCTGCAATATTAATTAATTATATATAATTTAAATATAATTATATAATTCAATTTATAATAGGGCGCTAGATATAATTAATCAATATTAATCTCTAGACGTACTATAAGCAGCTAGTGAATGCAAGTCGAAAAGTATTAATAAATCAATAATTAATTGATTAAATAATATATAATATCTTGGTACAATTTATACGTACTAGTCTGATTATACATATATATATATATGTGATATTTTAAATTAAAATTAACATCAGAATATACTTTAAAAAATTAAAATACCAACCACAAGCTGCTGTTTCGTACAATATAATTATATAGATAATTATTAGATTATCGATCATAGATCATTTATATATTAATTCTAATAATGTCAACAATTAATATTATACTAAATATTATACAAATTGATATTGATTAATATAATCAGTCTAGTTATAAGTGATTTGGTCGAAGCTAGCTGGGTGAAAAAACTTTCCCCGAGATCTAGCTTGAAATTTATATATTATAAAATGCATAGAAGTCTTGTTAATAATTTTCGATTTCTCAGCGGGCATCTCTTTACAGGATCACTAATTAATTTTCATACAGATACTATGACAAAACGTCATGATGAAATGTACTGGCCAATTAGACGTTTCTATCCACACCTTCGACTTGACTTATTACCTAAAATTCGCGTCATGATTGAGTAAAACTAGTTCGTTCACACTTCCAAGCGGCTTAATGCTACGTACGCGAGCTTTCTCTACAACAGCGCCCAATGTACAACCGCAAAATTCTGATCTATTTTTGTATATTCAACTTTCATTACCCACTGTACCGTGAACAGCTTGGAATGATTAATGATCTCAATATGGTCCGGCCTGTCGACTAATTGGACACCCTGACTCATGGGTACACGGATTTTTGGAATGAGAAATATGTCAAGGACAAGCCCAAATACTAAATACTGAACAGTGAAAACATAGTCACTAATTTTACCTAATATAAGTTTATTCACAAATTTTCATTTAGCCTGTGATGGAAATATCGATGGAAGTCTTCTTTGATGTGCGATGCGTCTGTAGGCAAGAAGACAGATTTGGATTTTCCATACACTTGCAGTCTCCAGACATGAGCAAGGTGGACTTGAAAGCTTGACCTAGGACTAGGAGCATAACGACGACAATGAACTTCTAGTGATGTAGTGCTTTGGTGTTTAAGTAAGAAATGACATCAGTAGTTGACCGTTGAACAGAGAGCACTGAACACGTAATTGTTTGAGATGGATAGCAAACGTATCCGTTGGATATGCCCCTTTTAACCCTACACATAGATCCCCCTGAACAGTACTTATTACAATTTGTACTGATCGATGTTCTCTTGGGGACGTGGAAGAATTTTAACTTTTTTAGAATTACGAGCTTTGTGATTGAAATTTGAATACCGATGGTTTCCACTCTTTACGCGGTAGCTACGCTATTAAAAATAAGAGGAGTTCCCAGACTTTAGCACGAGAGTCAAAAAGTGGACCTGAACTAAAAAAATTAGAACCCTTTCGAGTTTTTGAACAGCTGCGCACTACACGTAGTCTCTTATGCTGAACCTTAAATGGCTTAAAAATGTATAGATGCAGAAGTGTTAATGCTTCCGATTTGCAGACGTTGACTTCGTTTTCATGTTACATCCCTAAAAACCACAGCTAGCTGAAGTTTTACATTTTGTTCCTTGAACAATCGATTATCAACACACAGCGAAAATATATTTATAGAGATACATGTCGCTTGTTTTCAACACAAGTTGAGTTGCTTAACAAATTTAGTCAAACTTCCAAAACATCAAACAACAAAGATAGTTGATAATAGATTAACAATCCAGATTGAGATATTATTCAACCGGCTAGCTTCGTACTGCTTTTCTTTTCTTCTGCCGTCTTGATGAAATTTGTTTTTTAATCCAGCAGCTATAGAGAAACCTATATACGTCGTTGAAAATTTACATTCCACAAGAAGCATTATTAGCAGCTGGAGTTATTGAAAGCTCTTTATTCATCCAGTTTAATTTTCAGTTGATAAAGCTTGCTTGAATTATAGAGGAACAAGAGCAAAGCTATCAATTATCCATTTGTTTTATACCGGACTATAACAAAACAAGTTTCAACATTCCTATAACGTTGAGTATACTTCATGATAGTTATAACAAGAACTTCAAACCCCTTTAGACAGTGATATTTCTTGATATTTGAAATCAAAAAAAAAACAAAAAGTTTTGCACTACTTGTTCAAAATCATACTTTTCATATGGCAGGTGAGTGGACTTCTTATAATAAGTTCGTTGAAAGGTACTAACTGTAAATGTTTCAAAAGACAGGTATCGATACGACCTCAGTATTGTGCAGCAGCCAATAAGAGCACGCATGTGTGGTCTTGGTGATAAAGACAGAAGGCAAATATCACCGCCACCATTCATCAAATTATTGGTTTTTGACCGTGTGACAAACCAACTGGTTAATGCTGATGATGTTGATATAACTTCATTTGTTCTTGTTGTGGAACTATGGTCTGTTGATGAGAAAGAGGACCTAAGCTTGAACCAAAATATCATAAGTGAAGTAGATTCACTTTCGACCTCTCCAGTGGTTGAAACCAAAGCTGAGCCGTCATCATCATCATCGAAAAGTGCAGACAAGCAAATTGATGGTGATTTAGATCAAGACGGACAATTAGAGCAGCAACAGGATGGTTCAATTAAAAGTCAAAGAAATTCAAGTGGTTCAGATTCTGATGGAAGCCTTGGTGATATACCAACTAGGAACTTGATTGGAAATCTTGTCACGAATGCATTCAAACTATTTGATGATAACAACGAAAAGGGTATTTGGTTTATATTGCATGATTTGTCAATTCGTATAGAAGGTGAATTCAAGCTGAAGTTTTCATTTGTTGACTTGAAAACTGATGAGATGATCCATAAGTTTAGTGAACCTTTCAAAGTTTACAGTGCCAAAAAGTTTCCAGGTGTTGTTGATAGCAGTCAATTGGGGAGAGTGTTTGCAAGTCAAGGTGTCAAAATTCCAATAAGAAGAGATGCAAAAGATCATTAATATCATGTGTTCATTTAAATTGGTTTGAGTAAGGTGGAGTTTTTTTTTAATTCTAGGGTTTGATTTCAAAAAAAATAGTTAGCATGGGGTATGATTGTATTAATAAGTATAGATGGTTTTTCAATTGAGGATAATTTAAAAATTCAGTTGCATTAAATAAAATATCAAAAGTTTCTTTTTGTGTTGTGTATTATTGCAAAATAATAACATGTACAATAAATATTAGATGGCATAGCATAAATAATGACATTTTGTAGATTGATACAATGAATAAATAAAATGTGCAACAACCTTTTAAAGTGGTTACAACTTGAATACGTTGTTCTTACCCCAGCCACGTTGCTGTAGTAATCCACCAACAGGTCCTTGACCTTCATATGGCTTTGGCCCAGCAACATAATCAACATAACCATCTGGACCACATACCAACGCTAACGCAGGATTATCTATTTTGATATTGGATTTCTCAGCAATGGCTTTTTCTAATGCAGATTTATAATTATGTTGGTGTAATGGAAGATCCTCATCCACTTTGATGCCCTTGGATTGCTGATCTAATAAGGTTTTATAGTGTGAGTTGACAGGAGTTGGAATGTTGGTGATGGTTAACTTATCACCCTTCTCGTTCACTAAATGATGAACTTTAACACGTCCTAGCTTTTCCAAGAAATAGAAAAATCTTGGTATTGGTAATTCAGACTCTGTTTTTCTTGAATAAAATATATCAACATGTCCCTTATATGGGTTTTTGGATAGCAGAGTCTGCAAAACTGGTGCAACACCTGTACCTCCTGCGAAAAAAGCTAGGTTATCTGGTTTGATTGGGTATTGGTCATCCACTTTGACACCACTCGGTAAATTTTCCATCTTGGGTCTCTCAAATCTATCATTAGGCGTCTTTGGAAATTCATATTCAATGAATGGACCTCTCAACTCTAATTCAGATCCAATTGGCCTTTTGTATATCCATCTTGCAACTTCACCTTGATCATATTTCTTGATGTACAAAACCATTTTTCCATGTTCATGTGGAGATTGTAGGTTGATGATTGGCTCACTTTCTTTGTCTTTTTGATAAATAGCAAGTGGTAATGGTGTGTACTTTCTAACAACCATGATTTGAGGTTGTTTTATTTCAACACTCCATAAACGACGACCATTCCATATATTGTCAGATTTTTTGGAATCCTTCATCCATTCTTTGAATTTTGGAGTCAGTTCTAACAAATAATGATCTTTGTCAATATCAACTCTATTAGAGATGTAGAAAGGGATGAATTCATCAGGATTCAGATAGTCTGTTGGCTTTCTTTCCTTGTAGAAATAACTGGCGGTTAATAGAGCCCAAGCACCACCAACAATCATAAACATATGTGGAAGGTACTTTCTCACCTTTAGAGGAGTCGTCGTGCTTCCCGGAGACTCTGTAGGGTACTCAAAGCTGACTCTTTGATAACGATCCTTTGGCTGATATGGCTCACTTAATGAAACTTCATCCTTCTCAGTCTTCAACTCTGGCATTGGAGCTGCCCCAGCTTTCGGTATATTCTCGCCCCTAGGACCATCACTATTTGACTTCTTTGGGAGGTTTCCATTCTTTGGTACTTTGGAGCTGTACCGCCTGAGTAAATTGAGCGTTGACCTTCTGAACAAGAGCGACATTTGGACCAGATCTCAGTATGTTTCTGATTCAAGCTCACAAGATTTCGATTCAATATTTATGGCCGTAGAAAAAAAAACTGTTCGCGATTTCAAAATATTTTGGCAAAGGGCCACATTTTCGCGAAATTGTCAAAGTGTTTGATTTGAAATAAGTTGAAGATGAACTTCATCACACTTCAAGAAGCTATTGGTACAACAAAGACAAGACAATGACAGTGGAGATAGAGCTAGTGAAGTCAATTCCTGCACATAAAGACAAAGTTTGGACAGTAGCAATTCACAAGAAATTACCTTTGTTGGCTACTGTTTCAACAGATAAGACATGCAAAATCTTTGATCTGAATACAATGGAGCAAATTGCAGAATTAGATGATACACACAAGACAAGTATTAGATCAGTCTCCTGGAAACCAACTGGAGATGAGCCTTCATTGGCGTGCGGCTCATTCGACTCTACCATCTCAGTTTGGGGTCAAGATTATGATGAGTGGTCATTGCTAGCTGTGATTGAAGGGCATGAAAATGAAGTTAAAGGTGTTAGTTGGTCAAAAGATGGAAATTTTTTAGCATCATGCTCAAGAGATAAAAGTATATGGATCTGGGAAGCTGATGATGCCAACGAAGAATTCGAGTGTATCAGTGTTTTACAAGAGCATTCACAAGATGTTAAACATGTTATATGGCACCCATACGAAGATCTTCTTGCTTCTTCTTCTTACGATGATACTATAAGGCTGTGGAAAGAGGATGACGATGATTGGACCTGCGCTGCTCAGCTCAATGGGCACCAAGGTACCGTTTGGAGTTCTGATTTTGAAAAATCGGAAACATCTGTGAGGTTGGTCAGCGGTAGTGATGATTGCACAGTCAAAGTTTGGAAAAGAGTATCAAGTACAGACAGTGACTCTTTCAGAGGTGATGCTACAGAGGTATGGGAGCTGGAATCAACTTTACCTGAACTCCATTCAAGAGCAGTTTACTCTGTTAGCTGGAGTGAACAATCTGGTAGAATTGCCAGTATAGGCTCAGACGGTCAATTGATCATATACGAGGAACAGAAGAGTAGTAATGGTGATAGTAAATGGCTGGTTGTTGCAACCAGAGAGCTCGCTCATGGTGTTTATGAAGCCAACACTGTTGAATGGTGTAAAAGCTTCACAGATGGTGGATCTGAGAACTTGATCACAGGTGGTGATGATGGTAACGTTAATGTTTGGAGTATTCCATTGAAATAGATTAGTTAAACTACATTCACTAGAGGAATTGAACAAACGTAGTAGTAATCTCAATATTTCTAACCCAAAAATATACCTAAAAGAACAACAACCAAAATAACAACAAGAATAGTTAAAAGACAAAAAGATTTACTTCTCGATCTTCTTTGATAATTTAGAGCTTTAGTTAGCTCACCAGCAGCCGACTTTGTGGATTGTGAAATGTCATATATATTGGACTCTATATTATCAACCATAGTCCCCTGTTCTCTCACTATAGCACCCAAATCAGTAAAAATTTCATTCAATTCGCTGATACCATGCTCAATATTTTGAATTTCTTCTTCTCTTTCCCTTATAAGGTTCTGTTGATACACAAATTCTTCATTATTGATAACATCTCTTTCCAAAACCAAGTCTTGATTAGCATGTTGTAGTTCAGAACCAGCGGCCTCTTGTTCTTCATCCAATGCTGTTTGGGCTTCTTCATTCAAAGTTTTTGTTAAAGTGGTGTATTTTTCTTGTAATGATTGGAACTCTAGTAGTGATACCTTTATCTCTCTTGTGACTTTGTCTTTGGTGAATGTTTGAGAAGGGTTCAGCTCCTCAAAACGATTTATTTGTCTGCTCAGTAGACTGAGTTGTTTGAACAAGTCTGTTATTGATTCTATTGATTTTACTGATTTGCTATTCAAATTTGACGCATTCTTTATATCCTTTCTACTTTGAAGGGAGTTGACGAATCTTTTTAGTGTCACTAAATTATTATTAACATCTAGCAACAAGTTAGAGGCTTCTTCTGTTAAGTTATCAAACTCTGGAGAGTCTGAAAATGGTTTCTGAGCTTCTAGATCAACATCCAAGTCTCTAAATGACATCTTTCTGTTTGTTTGAGTCTGATAAATTGATGGCGAGGTTATCTGGTTATCTCTTTATTCTCCTAAATTTGTTTTTTTAGAGACAAAGTGTCATTTAGTTTCGCGAATTCACTCGATACAACCAATCGTACGCACAATTCTACGAAAGTAAAAGCTCTGAAAGGCATCTATTTATCCTTCTTCTCTCTATTTATCTTTCTTCTCCTTTTTACTTTTGCTCTTTCTGAGAGATCTTTTGATCAAGAATATGGTCATTTTCAACAATTGAGTAACGATCAAGCCAACGGTTATAAGCACAATTCCGATCACCAAAAGTTCATTCTCAATCAAAAATTCAGCATCCAAAAACTTTGGTGCTTCCCATATACTCTTATCCAAAAGTCCTGTTCTTTTTGGATGGAAATATGGTTCCTCTTTTCTAGTGTTGATGTTTCTCTCGACTTCATAGTTTCTTGATGGTTCTCTTGTAATATCTGGAAATATATCCATCTTTTCCATTTTCTTCTCTCTTTGCTTATTCAAAGGACCATTATCAAGCGAAGTGTATATTAAAGCATGATGCGGCGAAGGGAGTTTTCTTAATGTATGTCTCAATGCTTCATCTATAATAATTGACATGTTAGTAATTCAAATCATAGAAGCAAATGTTTAAAATACGCACCTGCAGCCAATAAAGCTTCCCTTCTTAGTTCTGGCTCTTCTGGAAGTTTAGGAAAGTTGATTCTTATTAGTCTTTTTTTGCTATCAATGTATGTCTCAACTTCATCTAGTCCATCAACCAGCATTGTTTGAGTATGACATCTGCTAGAAGCAAATGATTCTAGTTTATCAAAATCAACACCAGTTTCAGCTCTTGGAATGGCACCTAAAGTAGAGCTCATCAGCATATAGGTTCTTAAAAACTTGAATAGACTTGGATCTTGTAAATCTTCCAATGTCAAACCTGGATGATTCACCAAAACGTAAGCTTCCGCGGTACATGGCTCTATCAATTTTTTTGTCACTTCATTGACTCTTTCTATTGGGAACTCTAAATGCGCAAAATTGTTCACATAAGGCTGGATTTTAGGTATTCTGATTGAATTTATTAGTCTCTTGACCTCAGCCTCTTGTAGTTTTTTCATCAACTTACAACAAATGTGAATATATTATAAGTGGCACAGAACACAGGACATTTTGACAGAGTAGTAACAGTACACTGCATTGAGCCAATGAGAGTTTCCAAAACATCTTGAATGCTACAACCAATGGGATATGTAACCCTAGAATAGATTTTGTGCCATGAAAAAAGAGTTCGAGGTACACGAAATCAAAAATTAAAAAAAGTGTTGCGCCTACAGAAAACATTTTCAATACATCAAACTTCGTTAACATTAAAGCTCTATTACTTCTTTATTATAACATCCACAGTGAAATCCTCCTCCAATTCAGTGTCACCCACGGTATCTCCCAAATCTAGGTCTTCATCGTCAAAAGAAAGTTTGACTTTAGTGTTCTCTGGTAATTTTTTTTGCTTAAGATAATATTTCACTAAGGTTATTAACTTAGTTTCAGCATGAACTTTGACAATCATTTTCTTGTTGTCCTCACCCTTCAAACCAATCTTGAAAAATCCTTCCTCAGATTCACCATTTCCTAACACAGTTGCCTCTCTTGAGACTGTGCTTTGTACTGGTTCACTCTCAATTCCTTTGAAGAGTTCGTCATCTTTGAAGGGATCAACTTCCTCCTCCTCAATTTCTGGGGCAATGTCCTCAGCAGCTTGTTTTTCTTCTTGTTCCATTCTTCTTCTCTTTTCCACTCTTTCAATCTCTTTCAATCTTTCAATTTCTTCCGATTGATGTATACTATAGAGTCCAAGTGTTATCTCGGTTGGTTTACCAGATGTGGGAGCTGGAATTTGTAAAGTATCAGGTCTCATAAAGTCTAAAATTTTGATCTTATTCCAATAAAGCACAGTGAGATCAGGTTCATAAATACGCCTATACCAAGATGGGACAGGATTTTCTTTGGCATTCAGTAGTTCTTTCAACACAGTGGATATAACAGGATGGAATTTCTTTGAACCTTTAACAGTAGTATCTACTGCTTTATTTTCACTACCTGGTAAGAAGGAGGTAATATGTAGCACATAACTTCTTGAAGGATCCAATGAATTTTCCCTCGAACCACCATCATTTGATTTTGAACCATCTTTTTCTTGATTGAATGATTTTGTGATTTCATCCAAATTTCTTATCCGTTCTTTGTATTCATAATCTTCATCAAATATACCACGATCACCATCATCCGCTCCTAAAACAGGATCAAACTTTTCCCCGTGTTCTTCTGCAAACTTCCTTTTGAAAGCTGCATCATCAATAGGTGGTGGTGTAACGGCACGAGTCACTCTCGCTTTCTTCCTTGGAGATTCGGTTCTAGGAGCAGTTGGTGTTACTGGTGTAGTGACTTCATGTTGCGCAGCAGCAGGGGTAGTGGCAGCAGCAGATATTGACCTATTGTCATTGTTTTGTGTGACTGGCTCTTCAGCTTCTTCAGATGTCTTTCTTCTTAACTTCTTCTTCTTTTTCTTTTTAACTTCAGGAACCAGAGGTGTATAACTCATTGAAAAGAAATCATCTTGTATACTGACTGATGGGGTTCTTTCTGAACTTGATTCTTTTAAAACATTGTTAGATTTTGGCTTTTCACTATCCGGCTTAACTGAGGTAGAAGCGCTAATAGAAGCCTCGTACTTGGTATCTTCATTTCTCATATTATCTTCGGGCTCAAAACTTGGATCAGTATCAGAATTATCTTCAGGAAAGGGAACATCAGGATCAATATGAAGGTGTGTGCTCTTGTTTGTGGTACTTCTTGGACGTAGAATCTTTCCTGGACTATTTTTTGTAACTGATTCTGGCAATTCTCTTGGGAGTGTAACATCAACTTGTTCAATGGGTTTGTTGTCTTTATGATCAGTCTTGGAAGTAGCATTTGTTTGAGACTGACTTATTTCATCTTCAGTCTTATCATCATCGTCAGTTGAAACACTGATCTTTTTTGGAGACGTTGAATTTGGCTCATCATGTTGTGGGTTTGTCTTTGAATTAGCCTCAACCTGTGACCTCGTGACGCTTTGCTTCAATGGTGATTTAACTGGGGACGCTGACAGCCTTGAATTACTTCTAGTCAATGGCCTACTTGCCAACCGACTCAAGTCATCGTCACTAGGCATATCTTTTCTATCAAGCAAATCATCAAAATCATCTTTATCGTGAGCACGAGTATTTTGCTTGTCAGGAGTGGCATCGATTTCAGATCTCGTTTGGGCAGTTTGGAAAGTATCATCAGCTTCAAGCTCATCAGCCTGGGGACTTGATACATTGCTTGATTTCGCCAATGCGTGGTCTATCTCAATCACATCTTGTCTTTCATCAGCTTCATCAAAAAAATCATCAGAATCGTCATTTGAATCTAGTATAATCACCTCATCTGGGCCTTTGTTCTCGCCCACTATCTCTATATCCGAACTTGTCATATTATCTTTCCAATGTTCATAGGCTGGAGTATCACAAATTTCTCAAATGTAAACAATGATTTGTTGGTTCAGATGCTGTTTATCATGATGTTTTTAATTTCTACGCGCGTCAATACAAATTTTTCGCGAAGCTGTAAATTTTACGATGAAATTCGACCATGCCCTCGGAACTAGTCCGTGACTTTATGTGATTTTGGTTAACTATGGCTTTAGAAACAATTATAAAAGATCTTGGGCCCCCTTGGTTCTATGGTTTCTAGACAGTTGAAATCTTCAAAAGATGGTAAAGCTTGCAACAGAATTGATCCATGCAGATGATCATAAGAATAGGGTCCCTGATATCAGTAAGTGAAGAAAAAGATCCATTTTTGATCGCTAGGGTACTAATGGAAACTTAAAGTGACACCGATCAATGTCTCCACGACATTTAGGTATAGTGAAGACCCTAATCAACTTCAGGCCATTGGTGATCTTCCAGGTGGGTGGTATCCAGAAGGAGAGTACATTTATTCTAGATTAACACATCCAAATGCTGAGAGAGTTGAGGCAGTTTTCGATAAGATCCTTGGTGCAGAAACTGTTGTCTATTCATCGGGATTAGGTGCTTTCTACGCATTAATGACACACTTCAACCCAAAGCAAGTTGCATTCGGTCAATGTTATCATGGTGTTCATGCAATTCTAGATATACATACCAGAAATCATGGACTGAAGCAATTGTCGCTCAAGGATGAAGATTTGGAAAATTTAGGACCTGGTGATATTGTTCACATTGAAACCCCAGTTAACCCCTTTGGAACATCTTCAGATCTGAAATATTTTGCTGAAAAGGCACACGCTAAAGGTGCCATTTTGGTTGTTGACTCAACATTTGCCCCTCCACCTTTACAAGATCCCTTCAAGTTTGGAGCTGATGTTGTTATGCATTCTGCCACCAAATACTTTGGTGGTCATTCCGATCTTTTAGCTGGTGTTCTTGCAGTTAAAACCAAAGACATCAAAAAGAAATTGATTGACGATAGAGTTTATTTGGGTACCAACATTGGAAATTTGGAAAGTTATTTGCTTTTAAGATCTCTTAGATCTTATGATTTGAGAATCAAAAAGCAATCAGATAATGTTTTTAAGGTTGTTAGTTACTTGAATGAACATAAGGAAGAGTTTAAAGCATTGAAAAAGATTTACCATTCATCTTTACAAACAGAACCATTCGTCAAAGAGCAGCTTCCAAATGGATATGGGCCGGTCTTTGTTATTATTGTTGATTCCGAGGAAACAGGTAAAACACTTCCATCTAGACTGAAATACTTTCACCATGCCACTTCGTTAGGTGGTGTTGAGTCTCTGATTGAGTGGAGGGCTGTCACCGATCCGTACGTCGAAAGAAACTTGTTAAGGGTTTCCATTGGTACTGAGGATCCTAACGATTTGATTGAAGACTTCAAGCAGGCTTTGTTGTCTTTTGAATAGGTTATAGATTGTTGAACATTTTTTGGCGTCGTAGTTTCGCGGCCTCGTATTTCGCGAATGTGTTTTTCACTTTAGGTGTCGCGTAAGTTTTGAATCCCTTCAAGTAAACAAAAGGTTGAACACAACATACATTTAATTCAGTATAGGTAGACACAATGCCACCAAGAGCCAGAAGAAATACAAAGAGGATTGACTACTCCAAGTTTGCCGATCCAAGTGCCCAGAATGGCGTTGATAGTGATGGAGACGAAGAAGTGAAAGATGCTGATTTACATGAAAGTGATAATGATGATGATGATGTTTTAGAAGATGGTGACGATGAACCAATTGATGAGGATGTTACTGAAGATGAAACTATAGAGGAGGAAATACCCAAAGCTAAAGCAAAGAGTAAGAAGGCTCCAAAAACAAAAAAATCAACTACACCACAACCCGAAAATGGAAACAATACACCCGTTAAAGAAATCAGATTGACCAAACATATTACAAATCTAAAAGAGAAATTCTACAGATTCTACGGCGCAAATGAGGACAAACTGGTTGAGGTCTTGAAATTAAGAAGAGCTTGGGAAAGTTCAATGTTTGATTTCCCTTCAAGTCAACTCAAAGAATATATTCCTTCAGTTACGATTAAAGATGTTCCAAAAGCAAAATTTACTGAACTTTCGAAAGAACAGTTCAACGAAAAATTTCCGCTAGAAAGATCAATCAACTTTGGGTATAATGAAAATCCATCAGAGACAATAGCTCCTGGTGGAATTGCTCCAAATCAACGTGCACAAGTCATAAACACCGGTGGGTTAGTGACTGATATAGCTTGGTTGTCCCATGGTTCAGAAGCTGCAGAGCAAATACTAGCTGTGGCAGTCTCAGATATATCAGATACATCTATTGCCCCTGAATTCAGTCTGCTGGGTTACAAAAATTACAAATCTGGGTTCTTGATTTACTCACTAGATACCCAAACTTATACTTTAACATTAATAAAAGCAGTTATACACAATTGGGGTAACAGTTGGGACCTACAGTGGAAAAATCATAGAGGTATGGGTGTCTTGTCTGCTGTATTCAATGACGGAAAAGTAAGGCTGATACATTTTGATTATGAAGATGAAGAGGATGTTTCATATACAGAAATAACAGAACCTTCTTTTGAGTATGAGTTGCCGAATATGAAGATTACTTCATATGACTGGCTAGGAGATAAAATAATTTGTGGTACCGAAAGTGGGTATGTTGCTGAGTTTGTTCTGGGTGATAAGGTGCCTTCTTATGTTCATCATATTCAGTCTGGATACATATTTTCAATCATATCAGCTGAATCAAAATATGATGAAACAATGATTCTCACATCTTGCGCTGATGGCTCATGTGCCCTAATGTCCACAAAAGATTTCCAATCAACTAAAGTCATAACACCAAAGACTAAATCCATCTCCAAGAGCATTGCATATTCCCGTCAATTATATTCTTTTGTTCAACTTGATGCCCAATACAGTGCAAAACTAACACTTCTTAGATCACTTTTTGTTGTGACGTCAGTTGTGAAACATGATGGCTCTACTGAATCAATTGCCACTTCTAACTTACACCCAATGCTTCTTTCAGGTGGTGCTGATGGTAAAGTTAAAATCACAAACTTAATGAGAAGAATATTAAATGGACAGAAACAAACCCTTTCAAATCATAAAATCTTAACGTTATGGGAATTGCAGTATAGTGCAAACGAAGATCTTTATAGACTTGTGGACAATTTGAAAGTTGAAACACTTTCTTCTAATGACAATACTAATGTGTCTAATATTTATCCACCTGGTGTTTCAATTAACTCCATAAAATGGAATGAGAATGAAAACGCAGGTAAATGGTATGCAGCAGGTTCAACTTCAGGTTTAGTGATTGTCGGAAGTTTACAATGAGTATGAATAAAAATTCTGTTTAATTATAATCATTAGTATGTAGGAAATTTTGGATCAATTTTGTTTGACCATTGAAATAAACCTCCACTGACATCTTTTGTCTTTAAATCAAAAGTATCATTCAAGAATCTTGAAGCGTATTGAGAATCATTACCATAGCGACAAATGGTATAAATGGTCTTTGTTGAATCAAAACCCAAATCTTCTATATTTTGAATCCTTCTCAAACGGTCAAGGGGGATGTTTATGGAATTTGGTAAAGTGACTATTTCAAAATGTTCTTTAGGTCTAACATCTATAAGCACATGGTCTGAATCAACAACTTTAGCATATTCTCCAATGGTGATTCTTTCTTCTGGTTTCAACACATTATAATTGACAACACCACAGAATTCTGCATAGTTTATGTCACCTCTTGCAATGACTTCTCTTGTCAAATGCCCACTACATGCTAAACAATCAGGTTTACGTCCTCTCATCTTGAATGTTTTTATACTCTGTTGATCATAACCAGAATATATTGACAAAAATGGTTTAAAATTTTCTGCATTGTAAGATCCAACAATGACCTTTATTGTTTCCAAAGCCATCATAACACCCATCAAACCGATCACTGGGCCAATAACACCACCATCTTTACAAGAAGTAACACTATTAGGTGGAGGAGGTTTTGGATAGAAACATCTATAACATGGTCCTTTATTTTCAAAGTTTAGTATAGATAACTGACCTTCAGTTTTCAGACCTGAACCTGAAACAACTGGAATTCTAGTTATAACAGCAACATCTGAGATCAAATATCTTGAATATGGAGAATCTGTACAATCCAACACCAAATCATATTGTTCAAATATTTCAAAGGCATTACAAGTTGTTAATCTGAAAGGATATGTTTGGATTTCCACATGAGGGTTCAGCTTGTTCAAATATGACTTGGCAGATTCACATTTATATTCACCGACTTTATCAGTTGTGTGTAAAACTTGTCTATGAAGGTTTGATGTATCAACTGTATCATCATCCACTATACCTATTTTACCAACACCAGCACCGGCAAGGTATAACAAAGCTGGACATCCAAGACCACCTGCTCCAACAACTAATATTTTGGCCTTTTTCAATTTCTTTTGACCTTCAAATCCAACCTGTGGTACAATCATTTGTCTACCATATCTTCTATATTCATCTAATGAGAAGTCCGTTACTGATGAGTCGGATTTCTCTTGTTCTTCTGCTTCTTTCACACAAAGTTTTTGTTTGAGCTGTTCATTCTCAAGTCTGAGCCTTTTGAGCTCTTCAGCTAGATCTACTTGTGTCATTATGTCTATCGTATAGTAAAAGTTTAGAGATCTTGAGATTGAGTAGAAAAGGTTTGTAATTTTTTTTTATTGACACCATCATACTCTCGGTTCGAGCAACAGAGTTACATTGGTGAGCTGAACAATACAAATTCTAGAAATGACCAAGAAAGTCCAATTGATTCTTGAAAAGGTGTTCACTAGCAGTTGTTCTCTTTTTAAAGCCTTGTTCTTTTGGTCACTTGAAAATGTTTTTTTCTACACAAAAGAGTAGAATATAACCAAAAATGTATTGTACATGAAAAAACGTCCCCGAAATACCTATAAAACTTTTTGCTTGATGAAGAAACCTTTCAAATGCTGTAATTGCCATGCACAGGTACCTAATAGCACAATCAATTGAATAACGGACCAACGAACAACTTTAGAGTTTGTACTTTCACTTTGATCACGGAACAATGCTTCTCTTTCCTTTTAAAGTTTTGTTAGTAACGCTGTCTTTCAATTGTGTCAGTGGATCAACTTACTCTCATTAATTTTTGTTCTCTTTGAATTTCTTGTACTTTATTACTTAGTTGTTTAACTTTGTTTGTCAATACAGAAACTTCATCTTGTCTTTTACTATCGATAGTTTCAGCACCAGCCAACACCAAATCAAAAAAGACACGAACTTTAGTTCTCTTGTCAACATAACTTGGAGTGATACAGAACTTGTGTTCACCTGAATCTAAAGCAGAAAATGTGAAATCACCGCTTGAAGAACTCTTTTGTGAGACAACTCTATGATCATTATCAAAGGTTTCCTAATAAATGTTAGCAATAGCTCTCCCATAATAGGGCTGCAATCAGTACATACATCAACAGTGATGGCTAATTTCAAATTTGAAGCAGCTTCATAAGCATCACCTCTGGAATTGACATAAGCATCAAATTTACCAATGACAACTGTACCTTTTGTCAATTCTTCGTAGAAACATCTGGTTTCACCTGGAACTGTGTAGAAATGAAGCGCACTTGCTAGTTGCACTATGAGCACCAATGCCAATAGAGGATTCCACATAGTCTTGGTAGCCTTTGCCAGTAAAATGTCTCTAGATGTTGATTTGATTCTGTGTCTTTTTGAACGCGTTGTTCATTTTCTTCGGATCTTTCAACACCAAAATCTTGAGCGCGGCCAACACCATACAAAAAACTTTGCCTACTTGCTTCCAAACTTGAAAACAACAAATAAGCCCAATGCTGATGGTATTGATTTATTGGTCTACAAAAGAGCTGCTAATGTGTTGACATAATTGTTATTAACCAGTATAAAATAAAGAAAGTAGAAAAAAGAGGATATAGAAATCATTTTGGAAGCATTCAACACTTCAAGAAGAACATAAAAAACGTGAAAAGGACAAAACTATTCATTCTTTCAACAACATTAGAACAATAAGGAGAACAAGATGGCAAAGACAGCTGAAGTGGCACCAACTTTGACAGCAGCAGCCTCGAAAGTTTGAACAACTGGAGTTGATGAGGCACCTGCGCCAGCAGAAGCTGATGATGATTGAGCAACAACAGCAGAGCCTTGAGCTTCAGATGAACCAGCGGCGGCAGCGCTTGATTGACCTTGAGCTTCAGATGTTGGAGCAGCAGATTGGGATAGTTGTTCGCTAGTGGTTTCAGCAGCGCTAGTGGTTTGAGCAGCACCAGTGGATGAAGCTTGTTGTGCTGTTGATGAAGTTTCTTGAGCAGCAGCAGATGTGGTTGATTGTTCAGCAGCGGTGGAAGAAGCAGCGGCTGATGTGGAGGTGGATTGTTCAGCAGAAGATTCAGCAGCAGCAGCAGAAGTTGTACTTTCACAGTTACCCAAGTATGAACAACCTTGAATGTTATAATCTGGAGTATAAGTACCTTCTAAAGTGGTTGAACATCTTGAGGTACCTGTTGGTTCAGTTGATAAAGTTTTACAAGCTTCCAAAGCTGATGTAACATAGACACCATAGTATTTCCATAAAGTCCAACCACAATCCATACATGGGGAATAGTATTGAATAAATTTGGAGTCTGAAGAACACAAACAAGTTTCATTATATGGACCAGAGTAGGAGTTTTCTTTGTTTTGAGAACATGACTGAGCTTCAATGATCAACAAACCACATGAGGCATGACAAGAAATGGAAGCACAATCATCAGCTGAAGCAGCTAAGGCATAAGCTTCTGGATCTGGATGAGCAAGAGCAACGGCTTCGGCATAAGCGTCAGCATAAGCATTTGCAGCAGCAGCAGCTTGAGGATTAGCTTGAGCCCATGGTAAAGCTTCAGCAACTGGTGAAGCAGAAACTAAGGATAAACCTGCAACGATTGAGGCAAGAATTTGAAATTTCATTGTGTATGGTTTTAAGCGAGTGAACTAAGAAAATTTGGCTTTAAAAGAAAGGTGTTTGAAGATTACAGGAATATTTGGGAACCCTTTACATTTATATATGTCATGTTTTTTTTGTTTTGGGTTCAGGTCTAAAAATGAATTAACTTTCCAGTTGCTTGTCTTATTTCTTGGGGGAACCTAGGCTAGATTTGGTAAGCTATAAACAGTGAGAAAGTCTTCTAATTGGCTATAGTACCTTCAAGTTTTTGGAAAAGGGTTTTAATGGTGGAGTTATCGTTGAAGAATTGTTACAGAGGTGGAAGAACATGCAACTTGATGCGGACCTGAAAACTTATCAAAAGAATCATCATGAAATGATACATCAAAACACAAGAGAAAGAAGAAGAAGTAGAGCAATATAATACTATAGGAATATTAGGAAAGAAGGAATTTGTTCTAGGTTATGCTTTTATTGAAATTGCATTACTGTTCAGCTGGTTTTGTTGGTGATGTTTTATTCGGGTGTATCAAGAGTTATGTCCGGTAAGTACCAAAACTCGTAAAACTTCATCAAAATCTCTGGATCTCGACTGGTTCACAAAAGTTCCAAGAGAAGTAATGATCTAGCTGTTTCTGGATATAAAGCAGCTATTTTAAAGTTTTTCACATCCAGCCTATTTCGGGTATTTCGAGTTTTTTTGTACGAGGAAAGCTGAACATCTTACACCCAGGGCCCCAGGTGTACTCTAGCTCTGGGTGACCTAGCATCCGTCCTTGACACATACCACATACCATGATATCTTGAAGTTGAGCTACAGCACAATTAGAAAAACAATAATATTCATAAGTCATGTAGGTCTTATATATGCGATGTATTGGAACAGTGGCCATGATGATGCAAAACTTTTAGTGAATGCCAAATTAATAGAACAAATATAAAAAAAAAACAGTGAAAGTCAAAAACAACAATAGAAACAAATAGCATTAAACCAAAATATGGAGAGTCATTCAAGCTGAAGTTCTTGTATTTCCATCCTCTAATGGGTTAATTCCAAGTTGAGTGAATGCAGATGTCATATATTTCTTTTGAAGTTCCAATTTCGTTTCAAACGAAACATATCTTGGATTCAATCTATATTTCAACCATTCAACATCCAACTCCTCAGCACCAATGATAAAATCAAGAAATTGTTCTTTACTTTCTAAACCTTGAGCAATTTCAATAAATTTTCTTAAAATTTCCCTTTCAAAAACACCAAATTGTGTAATAATTGATTTCAGATTTTTGGCTTTCAATAACAACCCATTATCTAGATCCTTGATGCGATATCTGAAATAAATCAACAAGAATTGAACAAACTCAATCATCAAGTTATTAACTTCTTCATCTGATGTATTTTCAATTATGGAGAACAAGTCAACGTATCCTTCAACTCCATGGAGCTTATATGGGGTTAATCCTTCAGAATCAATTGTATCATTTGATGCACTTTCTTCCAAATCTAAAACTTCTTGGATAAAATCATCACCAACTCCATCTTCTTGTAAGTCTTTTATGATTTGAAATGCCTTTGCCGGGTCATATGACAACCCTTTTGTGAATCCAAATATGATAAAGTTTTGATCAAGATTCAATTTCACATCTTTCAGCTCATCGCCTTCATAAGTTAAAACAAATTGAATATTTGGAGCTTGTCCTAACCATTTTAAAACGTTACCTAAATTATGTTCATACTTCTCACCATCAACTTCACTTTCAATCTTGTAGGTTGATACGAAATCTCTATCAATGGCATGTTCATAAAATGGATTAGTTTTATTACTCTTTGGGACAAATCCATATGCATTGATGAAATTGAAAACATCTTCATATTCTGAATAAGTGATGAATAGTTCAACTTCACCTTTGAGTTTTGGGTCTTTGTGATTATACTTCAGCAACACATCTTTAGTTTCTTTATCGACATCAAAGTTTGAGTTAGCTTTATCATTACTATGATTCACAAAGTCAATAACAGGAACCATTGTAGATGCAACTGCAAACCCATATTTTTCACTTTCATCAGGAGTATCATCACCATCTTCTTCAACGTAACCATCCTCAATGTCACCATCTTCTTGTGTCTCCAATCTTTGAACTTTTCTTGGATCTTTTGTATCTGGGTCATTAAACTTATCATAACGACCTTGAGTATTTGAAACTTCTTGTTGACGTGGTTTCAAAGCTTCAGGAATTTCCAAAATTCTTGAAATTACAGAGATTTCAATTTTTTGTAGAAACCTAATATCAACAAAATCTTTTGGATCAAATCCTAAATCTTCATCAATACTGTTTAATGCATTGTAGATTGCCAAATTCTTGGTCTTTTCAATCATAAATCTATACTCTCTTTGATTATATTTGAATTGATTCTTGTATAGGTCATAGTATTCATCCAACTTGACGGAATTCACATCTGTATGGTATAGTAAATCAATGTATCTATCAAATCTTGCAAAAGGTGAGTTTTTCAAAAATTTTTTATACTCATCAGAAATATTTGATGATATCAATTCATCTCTGATCTTTTTCAAAACTGTCAAGATTTGAATTTCACCAACTAATATGTTTGTTTCATTTAAGCCACCTCTGAAATAAGGGTCTATACCTTCTTGAAAACTTGAAGTTAATTCGCTTAAAAACACCTGGAAAACTTGACCTTGTTTGATATAATCCCCATTAGCTTTCAAATCATACTTTAGTTGAGGAGCTAACAACATCTCAGCGATTGAGTCAAGTGATAGGGTCAATCTTTTAGGTACTCTCATCAATATTACTGGATCTTCTTCATCAATTGCACCGTTTTGTTTGATGTATTCATCTATATTGAAAAAAACACCTGTTCCTCCAGTATTTGAATCTTTGACAGTGATGAATTCACTGAGTTTGGTTCCATTTTCTATGGACCATTGTATAAACGAGTCTCTGTATTCTTCGCTGAATCCCATCTTTTGATCTTTAAAAATTCTTTGTTCTCTCCTTTGTCAAAGTCTGGCCTCTTTTGTCTGTTTTTATATAGAAAAGCCTACATAACGGTCAAGTTGCTCGGAATCTTGTTATGTTTCCATCCAGACACCAGCGCAGATTTACAATGTTCTTTTTTGAGCAAACTTCTCGAAAGATGACACAATTTGTTTATTGTTTGTTTACTTATTTTTTGCTTTTACGCTTAATTCGTTGAACTAGGTTGTTAACATCATCGTTGTCTGCAATTGCTGCGTCCTTGTGCGTTCTCTTCTTTGAAGAAGAAGGAGCAGCAGTTTTATTATCACCATCACGACGCTTGTTACGTTCTTCTAAGATCTGTGCCATGGTTGCAGTCTTTTTGAACTGAGGTTGACTTGGGTCAATTGCAAAATCATGGTTGGTAAAGATCTCGTTGAATCTTGGATCGTTTAAATCAGCCTTGAAATCATCTTCAATAATCTTGTTTTTGTTTCTATGTTTAGATTTTTTGGATTTCTCCTTTTCAGATTTGATCAATTCCTTCATGCTGAAATGTTCTCTATGGGTTCCATCTTGTTGATCAAGCATTAATAACTCTAATTCAGCTTTAGATTTTTCATCACCTTCATCATTCTCAGATTTCTTGGATTTGGCAGATGTCTTGGTTTCTGACTTCTTTTCCTGAGCTTCCTTCTTCAATTCTTTAACTTTTTCCTTTCTTGTTTTACGACGTTCCTTAGCCTTACGTTTCAATTTATCAAGAGTTGATTCTTCCTCTGTACCTTCTTTAGCAGCATTAGCAGCAGCTGTTTTCTCATCGAGACCTGGAGTGAATGTAATTTCCATATCAACATCATCACTATCATTATCATTTTGTTCAAAAATGTTTTTATTACCAATTTTAGTACTTGAACCAACCAAGTTTTTATATTTGTTCTTCAAATCTTCATTATCACTTTCTTCGTCACTATTATCTGATGCCAAGTAAGCCTTAAAATCCATATCATCTAATTCTCTTTGACTAAAAGCTTTTGAACTCATTTTAACTCTTTCAGCTGGTGTTTCATCCCAAGTTAGCTTGACTTTTGAATGTTGTAATGCATCAGTGACAAAAGTTGTTGGTTTATAATTTGACGGTATCTTATTACATGAATCTCTTGGTTCATCGTCAAAGTCCATTTCATCAGGGACATATCTTAGATCAAAGAAATTAGCAGTGGATTCATATTCTGTACCATCACAGTTATCATAAATATTTTTAGCAGTCTTTATGGAATCACAAGTAACAATTGCATAATAATATCTTAATCTTTGTAATTGATAACGACGTAAACTCTTTGAATCATAATCAACTTCAGCATCACCTTCTTCATAAAGATCTTTTGCTTCAATTTCTGAATCTGAATCATCATCTGAATCTTGAGCTTTTTTAGATTTTTTAGATTTGAACAATTCTCTTGGTGGACCTTCCATATCTTCTCTTTGCATTCTTTCTTTACCAAATTCACTTGGATAAATTGAAATCTCCTCTATATGACCACCTGATGGAACAAAACTTTGGAAAGTAGCCATCAAGTCAACAGATTTAACATGATCCCAATCTAAATTGACAACAGCAAATCTTGGAGCTGGGTCACCTTCTGGAGGTTTTTCATCTGTTTCTTCTTCATCATCATCGACTTCATCTTCTGAACTTTCTTCATCTGAACTTGATTCATCACTTGAGGATTCATAATCTGATGGCAAGCCTTCACCACGGGCAAGATCAAGTTTAGCTTGAGCTTCATCAATTTCGACATCTTCTGATTCTGATTCTTCTTCTTCTTCCTCCTCTTCTTCACTTGATGATTCTTCAGATTCTTGTTTCTTTTTCTCATCATCCTTACTTTTATAATATTTATTGAATCCTTTAGAATCACCATCATCTTTAACTCTTCTACCATATTTATCGATCTTCGATTTCTTCTTGATAGCTTCTAAATCAGCTTTACTGAATCTTTCATCAACTTCAACTTTGAAATCATTTCTCTTTGGTAGATTGAAACGAGGATCATTGTGTACACTGCTGAAACGTTCATCAGTAGTGACTGGTCCCTTCTTTTTCCCTTTATTATCTTTGGCCATCTCTTAACGTATAATCAATGAATATCTATCTTTCCTTGATGGTTTAATAATTTGTACCCAAAAAGTTTATAAGAAATTTTTTTTTTCGCGATGAGGAAGTGTGTGTACCAATTTGATGCTGGCCCTTTACCAATTTTTGTAAAAACAAAACAAAAACTCCAGAAAACAATATTTTGCCCTTTTAAAAGACAAGTTGAATTGTGCTGATTTTAAATTGGTATTTGGTATAGTCAACGGTTAGTTAAGAGATTTGGTAAAGATATTTGTTATTTAGTAAGCAAAATGGGCCAGTCAAGCAGTGTATCCGCGCCATCAGCCTCATCAAGAACAGTGACAAATGATGAGTTGTTAAAGCTGTTTTCAAGAAGTTGCAGAAGACAATTCCTGCCAATTGAACTGTTATCCATTGGTAATAATATGAAGAAACATGATAAGGATCATAATGAGCTGATAAGTGAGATTGAATTTCAAGAATTGCTGGGATTGCCTGATAATAATCAAAGATTACTGGAGTTGGTTTATAATGGTGTGAAGAAGCTATCTAATTTCCCCTTGATAAATAGTGGTTCCCAAGGTATCAATTATGAAGGCCTTTTGAAGAGTATAGTGCTATTACATCCAGAGCGTTATGGGAAGTTATTGACCAAAGATTATGATTACCTCAAGCTTGTATTTATAATATTTGCCATTGATGGACAATCTCAAAATAAGGAAAAGTTTGAAACTCAACCAGATACTCAGAGTATTTCTTATCTCAATGGGAATTCAATATCATGGAAAGACACTCCTGCTATTCAAAACTTTGATGATGTTGATATTAGCACTTCTCATATCCGTGCATCCGATGCCCTAGAGTTGATATCATTCCTTTTGGTCATTTCAAGATTAGAACCTCAAGAGCCATTAAAAGTTTATTCGGAATCATTCAAACATTTTGACCAATTTAAAGAAAATGCTCTATCAATACTTCGGTCAATGAATTCTCAAATTACTTTAAAGAATCTTTCTTCTTCCCTAATTACATTTGATCAATTCTCAGCAGGTATTGAAAATGTGGCACCAAATTTATTACATCCTCTATCGAATCTTTTGGAAATTTTATTATATGATACAACATTAACACATAATGATGAAAATCAAGAAAATGAAGCCTTAAACCGAAAAGTTATCAAAGTCACTTCAAGATTAATTAATGACCATTTCTTAGCACAATTATCCACTTTTTTACCCAAACAATTAGTTTATTCAAATATAAGGAAACTTTATGCAGGTTCAGATTCAGGTTTTTCAATGAGATCTTTTGAATCAAAAGTTTTCAAATGGAATGCTCCAACCATATTACTTGTCAGTGGAACAAGAATAAATGAAAAGACAACTAAAAATACAAGATATAAGAATTTTGAAACTGAATTTCATAAATTGAAAGCAGAGCCTTTAGATTTCCAAAATGATGGTGATAAGATAACATATGGTGTTTATATCGCACAACCTTGGAGAATTACAAATAAAGAAACTTTTGGAGATTCTCATACAGAAATTTTCCAACTTTCGCCAATCCAAAAAATCTTCAAACCATCAATAAGTGCTAAACATTTCACATATTTTAATACACTTGGTGGTGGTATTGGTATTGGATCGATTCAACCAACAATAAAAGGGAATAACAAAACTTATAATCCGGGAAACGTTTCACTTACAATTGATTCAACTTTGGAATTTGCAGTTTTCAGACATCTGGGTCTTGGAGGTGAATTTAGAAATACAAACAATGATGAACTGGGTTTGGAATATGAAGATAGATTTTTAATTAAAAATGTTGAAGTTTGGGGATGTGGTGGTGAAAAGGAATTGGCTGAACAGAATAAACAATGGGAATGGGAACAACAAGAAGCGAAAAGAAGACAAAATGTTAATTTGAAGAGTATTGGTGAGGATCGAGCAATTTTGGAAATGGCTGGATTAGTTGGGCAACATCAAAGTGGTGGGTCTATGTAAACTGACTACAAGTTCTAATATTTTTCTATTCTGTTGTATTTATGATCTATTTAGATTTACCCTTGTTTACAAGTTTTTTCTTTACATGCTTCTTCATTTTGGTTTTTCTCTTCTCTTTAGCATCATCTTTTGCCTTTTGTTTTCTTTCTTTCTTTGCATCTTTATCTTCATGTTTTTTACCTTTCAACTCAATAGGTCTTTCAACCCATTTCTTTTTAGGTTTAGCATCACCATCTTCTTCTTCATCATCTTCGTCATCTGCACTATCGTAATCTTCATCGTCACTTTCCTCGTCACTCTCTTGATCTTCATCCTCCTCATCATCTTCATCTCTATCATCAACTAATGCTTTTAATGTATCAACTTTACCAGCTGTAAAATTATCAAAATCTCTCTCTTCCAAATGATTTAAAGATCTAACAAGATGAATAGATCTGAAAACTTCATCATTTTCAATCTCTTCTTCAGTTGTCTTTATTGGCATATTTTCAATATAATTCATTAAATCTTGGGTAGAATCATTTTCAATTCCTAAATTTTTCAAATCTTCAATAACAAATTTGAAAATCAATCTTTCAGGTATTATATCTATTCCCTTCTTCATAAAGAAATCATTAACGTTTTTAATATCCATTCTTAGGAAATCTAAACTCATTGGATGTTCAGGTTCAACAGATTGAGAAACATCAAATATATATAATTGCCCTTGATGCACAATAGAATTATATTCAGATAAATCAGCATGAACTAAACGACATTTTTGAAACATAAACCTTATATCATGAATCATTTGATGATAAAACTTTGTAATTTCTTCAAAATCTTCAAATTGATAATCTCTTAATTTTGGAGATGGTGAACCTGCATCATCATTTTTTGATAAAAATTCCATAACTAAAACATGAGATTTTAAATCTATCGGTTCTGGAGTGTTCATACCACTTGAATATAATCTTTTCAAATTTCTAAATTCCTTTTCAGCCCAAATTTTGATCATTTTTCTTGGATTATGTTGACTTCTTGAATTTCTAAATCTAAATTCACCATCAACATAACGTTCTCTATCTTTAAAAACTAGAATTGAAGTTTTATAAATCTTGACAGCATATTCTCTCCCACTTGTTTCATCAACTGCGTGATAAACATTTGCCTCTTTACCAGTACTTATACAACCATTAATCTTGGTAATTGTACCCTTTTTCAACAATTTAACAATAAACCCAATAGTTCTTGGATCTAAAACGTTATCAAAAGTGGCACGATCAGCTTTATCTTTTGAGATTTGTTTGTTCTTAAATAAAAATTCATCAGTTTTAATCCTGTCAGAATATTTACTTAAAATAGCAGCTTTATCATCTGTATTTTTGGAAGTTGATGTAGTTGTTGCACTATTATTTGATGGTTTTTGATCCTCAAAATCAGAGAAATCTGACTCATCTGATGATATGTTACCAGAGTCTTCTATATCTAAATTACCAACTCTTTCTTCAAGATCTGACATTCTTTTTCCTTCAACTTTCTTTGCCCTTTTGCTAATAGCTAAAGCTCATCTCTATAAATTAATTTTTTTTTCGCTACATACATTGTGCGCTTACCAAAATATTTTTCAAAGGTAGAGAAAATAATTTCCAAAATCAAAACAATAATAAACTTGAACAAAATTTATTGGAAAAGACATTTTGTGGGTTTATTTCTTGGTTTTAGTGTCAAAATGTCACTGATTAACAAACTGCCATTGCCGAATGTATGTTCCTACTCCTTATTTGTTTTTCTGGCTTTTTCCTAACATTCCTTATAGCAATTTCTTGGTGTACTTCCCCTATACATTGGAGTCGAATTAATCTTGGGTATTGCAATCCTCAACAAATTATCAGGGCTTTATGGTATTTTATCAATCTTCACAGGACACCCTTTAGATTTAGTCCAATGGTTATTATACATCACTTCAATCTTGATAGTGCCCTGTTATGCTATTGGATTTAGACATATTCAAAAACCTAAAATTTTAGAATTTGCACCAATTTTAGTATTATACACTATTGATAGTTTGACTAGTTTAGGGTTTATTGTTTGGTTTTTAGCAGAATGGTTGATTAATGAAGATGTCAAGATTGAAAAAATTGAAGGTGAAGATTATTCAAAAAGTGCAAGTCAAGGTTATGAATATGGATGGATTTTTTTAACAACTATTGGTATTAACGTTTCAAGAGTTTATTTTAATTTAATTTTGTTAAGTTTTTATAAAAAATTGATTAGATTTAATAAATTACAAGGGATTGAAACTTTACAAAATGGGGAGGAATTAGATTTGAAGAATCAATATTTTTGGGTTAGATGGAATTATAAATTTCAAAAAGCTAGTTATAATTTTTTGAAGAATAAGATATAATAGGATTATATTCTACAAACTAATATCAATGGAATCAAGTATTAAAAAACTGGCAATTATAAAATGAAATTAGAATTAAACAATTGGATTGTTTAAAGAATGAAAAGAAAATTGAAATTAAGCATTCTAATTAAATAAAGATTTATCTCTTGTGGATTTTATATTATTTGTAAACACTTCATGTTGATGAAGATCAGTGGGATAGAAAAAAAAAACATAAATGGATGCAACTAGGTAATGAGATCATGAGTGTGTATATGTGTGTAATCATCTAAGTCATTAAATTGATATATGATGGTTTATAATTCAGTAATGAATGTAGTTTCAACATAACCAATTGAAGTTTCTTTAATATCATCCAATTCAATAGTCATATTATTCCAAAATTGATAAATGTAAGGTTTAGTACCAGCAACTCCACTAACGATATTTTTAACAAAAGTTGGAATTTCATTCATAACATCAACTCTTTCCACTAAAGTTAAATCACCATAAACTTTACATTCAACAGGTTTTGCAGAACCATTTGCAACTTCTTCATCGGTTGCTTTTGAATCAACACCATGGAATTTAAATTCAATGGCATTTGGTTGTGGCCAACCAATTTCATCAATTTTTTGCTTTTGATGAATTGATTCATTATTAATTGAAACTGTAACAATACCTTGATCATTTGAAACGATTGCAATTGAAACTTTTGTAGAAGCATAAGATTTTGGTGTAGTAAATTCCATAACCACTGCACTTAGGGATTTTGAGTGGAAATTTAAGAAATTCCAAGTTGCAGCAGCATGATGAGGTTTCATACCTTGTAAAGCCATAACAAACATTGATAACCCATTTATATTAAAAGCTTTAGTTTCACCAGTTTCAGTGTTTTTAGAAGTAATTTTACCAGAAACTTTATTTCTTGGCCAAAAAACATGTCTCATTGTACCCCAAGGATTTTCCACATCATCACCATATATAGTTGTACCATCTTTACCAACTTTAACAGCTGGAACAATTTTTTCAAAAACTAAATCCACAATTGATTCTTCATTAACTTTTGAAACTAAATGATAAGTTTTATTTTCTTCATCTAATTCAATTTGTAGGTTATTTGCATAAAAGTTTTCACCTTTTATAATAAAATCTTCTAATTTTGTTGAAGTCCAAATTTGTTTCCCAGTATTTGTATCATATAATTTAAAAGTAAATTGAGCAGTAGTATGAATTCCAACAACATTTGAATGAATAACTTGAGCAAACCCAATTAAACCATTAGATAAATCTGTGAAATAAAAAGTTTGAGTTTCAACATTTGTTTGTTGAGGTGATTGCCATTTAAAATCCTCTTTAGTGGCAATTTGATATGGTTGCTTATTCTTGACACCATCAGTAACAGGATGGATATAATCAGGGCCGTATTCAGGCTCAGCAATACCAGTGACGGCAGAAAGACCTCCTTGAACCCACTTTAGCATATTGGAGAAGTAGATAATCGGTTAAAAACTAATTAATTGTAGTTGATGTTGATGATGTTAATTGTTGATTTAATCGTTTGTTGTTGTTTGTTTTGAAAGAAAAAAAATTTAATCCATCGCATCACGTGATGACTGTCATGTGACCACATTATCACATGACCAGGATTTGATACGAGCCACATACGGGTTTTTGAAACAATTGATTTGAATTGATTTGAATTGATTTAAGAGAGGTTTCATGAGAGATGTTTGATTGAGGAAAAGAGAGGATTGGAATAGAACCAGATTACTACAATAGCAATACCTTAATATCAATTAGATCATCTTGACCCTTCAATCCCACTATAATCCACCAAATCAACATTCTTCAAAAGAAATTCCCTCCAACAAGAGCCATTATTACTAAAAGCCTTTGATAATTATTAGAAACAGAGTACAACTTTTGAACCCATGCCTACTCAAAAACTATTACCTTTGGTCTCAGGATCATCAAATCAACCAAACAACCAAAACTCATCCATTCCAAAAGCATTCAATATCAAAATCCCTCTAGAAATCCAACAAAAATTGATCAATTCAAATTCAAATTTAAAGATTATAGTCTCCAAAGGTGAATTACAATTAAATATAAATGGACAAATCTATAAATTAAACAAATTACAAGAATATAGTAAAGTTGATCTTTATAAACAATTTTCAAATTCAACTTTTAAATCCATTGGTACAATTCATTCAAAATTAACCATATCTCAAACCTCAACTCCCCCAGTACCACCACCAACAAAGACACATACACCACCAATACAATCCCATTCAAGAAATAGATCAAATGGGTCTAATAACACTAATCCCAATAATAATACATTAATAGCTTCAGGGACCAAGATATCTGCAATCACCAAGAAATTGGTTCATCTTTTAGCATTAGGTCCAATAAGTATTGAAGATATGGTTCAAAGGACCAAAGTGTCCAAGAATGATGTAGAGAGTGTTCTTAGATCAATATCCATGGTTTATTCACCACAGAAGCAAAAACAAATCATTAATAAATATCCATATGAACCGGAAAAGAAAGAAGAGGAGGGTGAGGTTCTTTATGTGTTGAATTATAGTAATTATAAGGAATTGAGATTAAATGATTGGAAATATTCAATGGAGGAGTTGAAACAGATTAAGGAGAATTGTAAAGCTGTTTATAACCATTTGAATTATCCAAGTTCACATCCTGCTAGGTTAGTTTTAGATCCAAAGGAAAAAGAGTTGAAGAGTGAAACGCAAAGGCCCACTGAACCAAAGCGGGAGCCAAAGGTGGAGCCAAAGGGGGAGCCAAAAGGGGAGCCAAAAAGTGAATCAAATGGAACCATCCCTGAACACAAGATTGATCAACCAATACGGAAGGAACCAGTATCATTAAAGCGTAAAAGATCAGATGAAGAAGATATTGAATCTTTACAAAATTTGGCTAAAAAATTCAAATCTAAATATAAAGAATATGAAACGTTATACAAAGAGATTATTAAAAATCCAAATCATGAAATTAAATTAACAAAATTATATCAAATGCATAAAGATTTAGAAGTTTGGAAAAAACAACTATGGAATTATAATGACAATAACAACCAATCATAGTCTATGACCTGGGACTAATCCAAATAATATACTCAATATAGCTGTAATGATCAATACAAGAAATATTACCCATAATGCTCTTTTCTTCAATAGTCTTAAAACAAAAGGTTCTTTTAAATTTCGTACCCATTTTTTCAACTTTTGATTTTTAGGTTGATATAATTCTTGATTATCACTATATTTAGCAAAAACCATAATTGGATCCAATTTGTATAAAAAACTCAATATCAAATAAACTCCAATCAAAAAGGGAACAATTATAACAGCTCTTATTGCCTTTGGTTTTATATTTATGAATATCAAAACATAACTTATCCAAAACCCAGCAAATATCCAAAAAAGTCCCAATATTAATCTAATCAAACAAGACTTATTGTTCAAATTATGCAAAGCATTCTTTTGTAGGAAAAATGGAAAACATTCTCTCTCCATTAAATTATAAACATAATTTCTTGCATCGTCGAAAACTTCAGGATCATCACGACCTTGTAATTCCACATCATGTTTAATTTTCCTAATGATCCTATCAGGGATTTGTAATTTCCTTGGAGATGAATCTTGGAAATATGTATTCAAAATGTTTCTTGATGATGATTTTAAAGTAGTTCTTGATATATTACCGTTTTTAATGTTTTGGGTATATCTTTCCAACTGTTCTGGTAATATCCTTGTGGAGTTTCTTTGTTCTTGAATTGAACCTGATTTATGCTTTTCATAACCTCCTGCATAACTTTTCGAAGGTGACGTTAGTGGTTCATAAGGATCATTAATTGGTTGTTCATCTTCAACGTCATGTTCATCAAATTGTTGAGGAGGTGTGCCTAATATTGCACTAATTCTTGGATCTGAAGTACTTATATATTCATTCCCTTGTAAAAAGGATGAAACTCTTTTATTATCTTTATCATCCAAAAACCCTTCATTTAATAAAGCCTCTAATAATAAAGAAGAACTAACACTAGCTCTTTGCTCAGCACCACCATTCCCTTCATCAGTGGAACTAGTTGTTGTATGTCTTTTCTTCTCATCACTTGAACTCTTGTGCTTTTCACTCAATAATAAACTTTCTCTTAAACCTTTAACATAATCTTTACACAATCTCAAATGGGTTATAACATCAATCCAAAAATCCAAATAATCTACCGAGTTTTGATAATCTCTCATATAGATATAGAAACTCCATAGGTCCACTGGTGGTTCTGTTCTTCTGTTCAACACTTCGTATAAGGTTGGCAATCTGTTTAAAGTTGGTCTTTCATGATGATATGGAGTTGTGGTATGATTACTTTCAAGACCAAAACTTGAAGGAATTGAATGGGTATCAGTTAATAAGTTGTTGATGTTGGAGTTGGGCAGTAGTGTCTGCTTAGCCGAGGGTTTGAAAGGGGAGGACATGGTGGTTGTCAACCCAGGTTTGTTGGTTATGATCTTGGTAATGTTGTATGGTTATGATGTGGTGATATTTTCCTTGAGAATTTTATTGTTTATGTTTAGCCTAAAAAAGTGGGCTTATTGACACGGGATGTGGGTGGCAGTGTGCTAGGACCACTGCGCCAAAATGGTATTTGGGTAGGGAGCGCTGGTTCGAAACTTGGAATTTTAAAATGGGTTAAATATCAATCTTTTGAAATTCTATTAGAAGTAGAGAACAAATTAGAGATAGGGAGTGGAGCAAGACCTACACGTACAGTGGATTTCTCACAGTAAGGTCTCCTGAGGTCATGGGCAAAAGTTTTCCTACGGGGACGTTGGAACTTTGGTATCTGGGGAGCTTTAAATCTCACATCAAAAGCGTAGTATTCTAACCGTTGTGCATTAACTCTATAAACAGTCACAAGAGTTAAGGAGTAACCAATAACCAATAGAAACATCACACTTTCTCATGCCACTTTAGTCACTGGCTAGTAGCCTGTCATCAAGTACTGTGCTTCTATTTCATTAATATTCAAAAAATCAGATATCATCAATGAAAAGGAGCCCGCGAATACAGCATCGACTCAAGCTCAGGCGGGTCCGTGGACCTATACACTTGAGAACATGGGAGCATAAGAAAGTCTGCTTTGGAGAGAGAAGGCCCTATTGAGCTCTACCTTGTTGATTACTACGTTGATATCAGGTCCTATAAACCAGTACTCTACTACTCTGGCTAACGTTAGTCTATATAACCTACCCCATAACAACATCTCTGTTAAAAAATACTCATTTGCACATGGGAATAATTACAATCTCTTGGAAATGATTGGTACAATAGTAACAATAATGGTACATAGTGAATAGACTAGATAGAGTTGGCCGATGGTACTTTAGTCAGAGCCTTAGCTGTTTAGTGTGTATAAGCCTTGTGTGTCCGTTAATTAAGACTCTTGTCAACGTGTCTGATGAGATTAAGTATATAATTAGAGTGGGTTCCTTTGGGAGGTGGACATCAACGACATCAACTGCATCAACTAGAGCTTCATTGAGATCATTATCATTATCATTAAGATCAACTACTTCATCATCTTCTTCATCATTACCACCACCACCATCTCTTGACACCTGACACACCGTTTATCTTCCGAGCGCTTTAAACGAGGCCATCAGAGATTTAATACTCATCAAATTATTATTAATACATCCACAAGTCACCACACAACGACTCTTGAAATACAATAATCAAAGACCACATCCAAAACCACATCCAATCAAACCACTCTCCCTCTTTATCCATTAATTAATTATTCCCATCTCCATCGCCATTTTGTGGCTTCCCATCTCATCGTTGCAGCACTCAGCCCAATTTATCAACGGCCTTCACATCCCAATCACAAAAGAAATTCACACATATAAATTACTCAACATGTCCTTCTTCAACTCATGGAAACCACAAGGTCCTTCTTATTCAATCATTAACCAAGATCATATAATGCTTGGTCCAATATCTCCAAAGACCATTGGTGATTCAAGTTCATCTGTTGAAACCCCTTCAAAAACCATCGAAATAGATAACGATCATAATCAAGAACTAAACTATTACAAAAGAAGATCATCATTATTCACCAAGATCATGGCTTTACTATTCATCATAAACATACTATTTGCTATAATGCTAGGTATAACCATAAAATCAAAAACAAATCCAACTTTTCTACAAGATTATCTTGGATCTTTTAATCAATATCATTCATCAACTTTTATGAAATTTAGAAACACTTTATTAACCCAATCAAAAGTGGAATTATTAAATAAAGATCATCAAGTATTACCTATCCATTCCCATAATGATTATTGGAGGAAAACCCCATTATTTGATGCCCTAAGATTAGGTATAAATTCAGTAGAGGCTGATGTTTGGTATTTACCAAGTTCAAAAGATTCACCATTAAACCCCCCAGAATTATACGTGGGTCATCATAGATATAAATTATCAAGTTATAAAACTTTGGAATCTTTATATTTATCAAATTTGGAAGCTTTATTAGATGATGTTAATAGTAAGATACCCAATGATAATGAAGATTTCGGTTCAAATACATTGGATAATCACAATTTCACAAAACCTCAAGAATGGGAAAACAACTTACATGGTGTTTTTTATGATGATCCTGATAAATCATTATATCTCGTCATTGAACAAGACACACCCAAATGATACTTTTAAAGTTTTAGAAACTTTCCTAATCCCATTCATTGAAAAAGACTACCTAAGTTTCTATGATTCCACAACTTCCAAATTTTATAAAGGTCCAATCACAATAATAATCAGTGGTAATATCCCATATGAATTGATCAAACAACAAAAATATAGATTCACATTCATTGATGCCCCATTAGATCATGATGATTTCGCCTTGAAATATGATAATACCACTTCAATCTATAGTTCATCTTCATTGAAAAGATTAACAGGTTCAAATTCCGCACTAGGTTTCAATGGTCTAAGTGATGAACAAAAATCAATACTATCTTCTAAATTCAAAATGGCTCATGATTTAGGTATAAAAGTTCGTGTTTGGGATACTCCAAAGTGGCCATTAACCATTAGAAACGCAGTATGGAAGGATCTATTGGAACTAGGAGTGGATTTATTAAATGTTGATGATTTACAAGGTGCTGTTGCCTTTTAAATAAAGCTAATTTACGTTTAAGCTTATTATTACTTGTAGAAAACCGTTATATTGATTCTCGGTAAACGCACTCCCCAGGATTCTTATTAAAAAAGAAACGTGACTTGTAGAAAAAAAAACATCAAATTTTAAAAAAACATGAAAAAACCATTCAAACGTACGGAAAATAAATACAACCACAACTTGAACTTTGATAAGATATCAAACGGTCATATCCCATCGCTCGCTGATAAGAGATCGTATAACTTCCAAGATGCAAAACTTGATTGATGATCCTGTTTTTTATAACCTCTTGGTTAATAATAGAGAATCTATAGGTTCAACAAGTTCAAATGCCACAAATTCACCACAAGAAAAACAACAACAACAACAGCCAAATGCTGTGGAACAATTCATAAAGAATGAACAAGTTGATTTCAGTTTCTTGAATAATGTTGAATTCCCATTAATGAATAATAACAACAACAACAATTCAATTTCAACACCTTCTGAAACTTCATACCAAGCTTCAATTTTTTCAGAAAATTTATCATTACCAAACCAAAATTATGATACTGATGCTTTAGATGATTTATTATCAAAAGATATAAACTTTCAAATCTCTTCAGAATTACCACCAAAACCAACCCCATCAACAACAAAACAATTTCATAAATTTTACACATCAACCATAAACTCCCAATCCGGCCAACTTCAAACCTCCACTTCATCAATCGCCAAACCACAACTAACATACCATAAATGTCCATTCTGCCAACGTCAATTCAAAAACAAATCATACCTTTCCCGTCATTTGAAAAAACACGACACTGTCAAAGATTTCAAATGTCCCTTCTTTAACGAACAACATACAAAATGTCATCATCTTGATGGGGAATTCTCAAGAAAGGACACGTTCAAGGCCCATTTGAAATCTATTCATTTTATTTATCCAATCGGGGTGGCGAAAATTGATAGAAATTCAAGCATGGGCAGATGTGCTGGTTGTTTCCAAGAGTTTAAATCAAATAATGATTGGTTGAATGAGCATATTGAAAAGAAGTCATGTCCTGGTTTTGCAATCAATCAAAAAAGTGATGAAAATGCATCAAAACTGTGACTTGTGTGTTTAAACTATTTATTATTCTTGGGTTCTTTATTGTTTGTGGGTGTTGTTCTTAATGTTACAAAGTTTATATATTTTTTCAATATCATGTAATTTTTTTATCTAATATACAGTAGAAAGATGCTAATGGTACAAATATATATTTCATTAAAGGAAGGTTCCTTATTTCTTCTTTTTGAATGAAACGTTATTACTTTTCTTCTTGTTCTTTTTGTATAAATGATGTCTAGCAGTTCTATAACCTGATGTAGAAACTTTCTTATCATCATCTTCACTATCAACATCATCAATATTCATATCATCACCATCTTTCGCCTCTTTATCCTTCGCATCTTCTTGTTCTTTAACTTTTTGTTTAATCAATTCATCTACACAACCTTTATTAGTATTTAATCACATACAACTAATCAAATATTAGTACTAACCTTGAGCTTTTTCAAATAATCTTTGAGTTCTCGCATCAACAGCTTTTTGAAATTCACCTTTTCTCTTCACAGACTTGGCTCTTAGCACTGATTTGGAACGTAATGATTTCCCCATGGTGATGTAGTTAATGGAATGTATAGTTCTAATATCTCATAGGCTTTACTTTATCTCTTTACAACTTGTAAATAAAAATTTTAAGAGACCCGTGTGGAAGTGGCAGTGATGGGCTAAGCCCTAGTCAGGTGATTATCATCTCAATCATGTGATTTATGGCTGCCCATTGGGTGTCTGGATGTCCCTGTGATGAAAATTGTTTGGTTTTTTTGTTTTATTTTTCACAGTCCCGCACTTAGAACATTCCGGTATGCCCAGCACAAAAATGGATATCTCAATTACATAATCACTGTGTTTTTTTTTTGTTCCTTCATACGCTATTTCGCGAATTTTGAAGAAATCTCCTTTCCCAAGCTAGAAAAAAATTATAGAAAAGTTCAGTTTTCATCAAGAGCAAGTTGTTGTATACCTTTTAGTGAATAACAACAAGCATTTCCAAAATGTAAGTGAGGATTAAGAGTGATGAAACTGGGAGAATAGGATTGAATGAATCAAAGAGAATGATTGTGAATGAATAAGTGTGTTTTGAAAGTTGTTATTGAAATGGAATAAATTTTAGTAAAGGATCACCAAGAATGAAAAGGAAACGATATGTGGAATTAGTACAAGATCAAAAGAGAGTTAGATATCCAAGAGAGAGATGTATATTCAAGAGACTATGATTTATCAGAGATTCAAGTTTCCAAAATACTATTATAAATCACAATATTTACATTCCACAATTCTTTAAAATCCACCCACCCAAAATCAAGAGAATTTCAAATACTAACATCTTATAGGGCTAACCTTCGTACTCAAAAAAGACTTGCCGCTTCCGTTGTTGGTGTTGGTAAAAGAAAAATTTGGTTAGATCCAAATGAAACTTCAGAAATTGCTCAAGCCAACTCTCGTCAAGCCATTAGAAAATTATACAAAAATGGTACCATTGTCAAGAAACCAGTTCGTGTTCATTCAAGAGCTTCTGCTAGAGCTTTAGCTGAATCTAAGAAATTAGGTCGTCATACCGGTTATGGTAAAAGAAAAGGTACCAAAGAAGCTCGTTTCCCATCCCAAGTTATTTGGATTAGAAGATTAAGAGTTTTAAGAAGATTATTGGCTAAATACAGAGATGCTGGTAAAATTGACAAACATTTATACCATTCCTTATACAAGGCTGCTAAAGGTAACACTTTTAAACATAAACGTGCTTTAGTTGAACATATCATTACTGCTAAGGCTGAAGCTGCTCGTGAAAAAGCTTTGAAAGATGAAGCTGAAGCTAGACGTCTCAAAAACCGTAATGCTAGAGAAAGAAGACAACAAAGAATTGCTGAAAAGAGAGAAGCTTTATTCAAAGATGAAGCTTAGATGCTCTTTTTTTGAAGTGTTGAATCTGAATGTATGTTTATATAATTTTCTAGTGATGAAAAAAATCGTGTAGATTATGTAATTTCGGAGTGCAGTGTGACTAAGCATTGAAAGATAATATGAATAACTTGAATATTTAATAGTTTAGAACCTTTTAAATATAAATTATTATAATTATAATATCTACATCTCTTGAAACGAATAACAACCATAAAATAATTAAGTATACCTAAAAAAAAGATCACATAAAAGTTAAAAACATTAAAAACACTAGTCATAAAATACATTAAAATAAGAAGTAAGAAATAATAAATCACCAACTGAAAATCTCACCATGATGATCAACTTGTTGAATCTGTTCATCTAGATGAATAAACCCAGGATTCAAAGTTGGTCCACCAGCTGCACCATTAAAATTTGCACCAACTCCAAATGAATTGAAGACATTTGGTTGAATAATTGATGGAGTGGAAGCTGAAGTTGTTGAAGTTATTGGATTATTTGAAGAGTTTTGGAAACCTGCAAAATCATCACTTTGGAATTCTGTTGTATCGTTATAATACATTGAAGTATTTGGTTCACTTTGCATACGTCTTAATTGTGGTCCAAGATTATGATTTGTTGATGATGTGGAAAGATTTGGTTGACTTGAAGTTTGGAAATAGTTGATGGTTGGGAATGATTGGGTACGGAAATTACTTGGTTGATGGGAATTTGTTGATGAAAATGATGAAGTTGATGTTGAAGATGTTGCTGATAATGGTTGACTAATTGGAATTATTTCATCTTGTACTGGCATTTCCAATGTTGTATCTTGTTCTTCCTCTTCTTCTTCTTCTTCTTCTTCTTCTTCCTCTTCTTCTTGATCATCTTCCTCCTCCTCTTTAATTGGTTCTGAAACTTTTGATAAATATTGAATCTCTTCTTCTTGTTTTATCTTAGCTTCAGGATTTGGTAAATATAATCTTCTTGTTGTGGTGGAACAAACATCATTTGATTTAGTGAACTCCCATAATAGCACACTTCTAATATCATCTGAATGGATTGAAGTTGATGAAGTTGATGATGATGAATAATTAGAAGGATCTTTAACAAAAATGATTTGTTTCATTGTTATAGCCTTAACTGCAATAGTCTTTTGAGTTTCAGATTTAACAACATCTTTTGAATCATTAATATTATTTTCAATACTTTTCAAAAAAGCATTCCAAAATTCTTTAGCAAATGGTAATTCCAATATATGATTTTTAAATTCTAATGGATTCATTAAATTTTTTTGTTGTTTAATTGAAACAACATCATCAATTAATCTAATAACTTCATTACCAAATGAATAAATAACTGTCAAACAACCAAATTTAGTTTCATCAATTGGAATGTTTTTCAATTCAACTTGTAATTTTGTTTCATGTTTACCATCAATAGTTTTTTTATCTAATGGGGGTAAATTTAAATTAACCATACTATGTAATATTGGGATTTGTAATTCAGGATCATTGGATTTGTTGGTGAGTTGATAATCTTTTAAATTGGGGAATCTATTTGATATATTTGCATTTGGTTTTAATCTTAGAGCTTGATCTAATTTTGGACTTGATAATTTAGTAAAAGTATGAGAATTTGAAAATTCATCAAAATCTAAAAAAGTCATTTCAAATCTTTTCATATTGAATTCAATTGGTTTTGTGATTGATCTTGTTTTTCTTCTTGGACGTGATGATGAGACAGATTTTCTTGATGAAGTTGTTGGTGAAGATCTTTTAATTCTAGTTCTTGGAGTTGAAGATAATTTTGTCAACTCTGTTGAACCACCAATTGATTTTTGAAATGAAATTTCACTAAATATTTCATCAAATTTTTCAATATCTTGAGGATTTGAAGGTCCATTATTGATCAATTCAATTAATTCTTTATTTTTTTTCAAATTTTTAATAACTTGAATATGACTTGAAACTTGTTTTCTTGTTCTTGATTTCCCAGTCTTTTGATAAATATAATCAGAAATTAATTCATTACGACCACAAGATTTACCACTGATTTTAATTTTGGTTAAACCATTCTTAGGAATCATTCTTAAAGCTTGTTCAAATGCTTCTTCAACATCTTCACTCCAAATGTTTATATCATTACCTTCTAACTTTCTTGTGTTTGGTGAACCATTAAATTTTTCATCATTATCAATAATATGTTGTTTTTTATTTTGATTCAAAGTGTTTGGGGAAATGGTTCCAAGTGCACTTCTAATTGGTGTGACATCGTTATCATTCTCATCATCATCTCCATATTGATATTTTCTCTTTCTTGAATTGTTTTGAACTTGATAAATTTGTTCACCTTGATCATTGATTGAAATGTCAACAATCATTGGTTTGGATTTTCTGCGTTGGACAGAGTTTGGTGGTGTAACCATATCATTGAAGACTGATGGCAGCAACTTGTTTTGTGACATTGGGTTGTATTGTATTTAGCAAAGAAGGTGTTGGTGTTTTAAAATGAATGTAAAATAGTTGGGATATAAATAATAACGAATGGATAGTATATCAACAAGAACTAGTGTTGTGATAACTGATGTAGCTGGTGTATGGGATGGATAATAGTAATATCACGTTCAATCTCTTTCACAATCTCCTGTTCTTCAAGATTTGGGGGGTCCAAAGCTGTGTATATATATATAATTTTTTTTATGGCTTCAACACTGGCCTAAACTGATAGATGTGAACGTCTTTGCGGGATTGACAAAAAAAACTTTGTATGGTGTATGATATGATAGCACGTATGTAGGTGTAGGATGTAGAGTTTCCAACTTATGAGACCTTCTGGTTATGGGTTGTCAAATCTGTATAATAGAGCAAATCCTTTGCCTTTCCACTTTTAAAAGTTAGCCATGTAACGTTGTCTAAAGAGCTGTGGTTTTTTCCCAGCAAAACAATCCAATCTGATTTCGTAGCACCACTGAGAAATTGTACGTCTCCAAATCAGAAAAGTGTAACCAGGTTTTAAGATCAACTGGGCTGAGAAATAATCTTCACCAAAAGGCAGCAAAACGCGGTTGGGCCAGGCACTGTGTTTTGGTTTTGCCGAATGGGGAAAAGCCAAAACAACGCGGGCGGATTTTCGAGGAAGCGCAAGGGACGCTTTTTTTTGGCCAGAAGAGGATTTTTTCAGGGGGAAAAGAGATTTTGCAATTGGAAAAGAGGATTTCAACATGGAGAAGACAATGGGCTGGTGGTATTCCTCGAAGGATTAGTCGATTCAACGTCAATTGATTGAATGGTACTACAGAGATCTTTTTGGGTGGGTGATTCTGAAAAGGTGGAAAATTTCACACCACTTTTCCAATCCAAAGCTCAAAGGTCCAAAAGCTGGTTGATGTAGGCTCTTGAAAGGTTTTCGAGAGTTTTTCCTATCAATTCGAGTACTGTAGGCGTTCTTGGGCAGTGGGTACGTAAGTTCTAACGTAGCTGCTAGTTGATTGTCTAAAATCTTCGTAATAGGCAATCGCCTATAGACTTTTTTGGATCATCCATGCGTTTCTGTCTTTGGACTCGTGAAAAGATTTCAACTAAAAAATTGGGATGATTAAAAAAACGTTGACTTTTTAGTGTGTAGCTTGATTCAGAAGAGATACGCCTGGTTGACTACACTCATCGGAGACTTGAAACTTGAAAGTCCTGTAACAAGGATGGAAATTGAGCAATAAAATAAAGATTTCTACCAATTTCTCAAACTCGCTTGTAAACGCTCCAACGGTTTTATTTTTTGACAGCTCAATTGTAAAAGCTCACAACTCGAACTCTGTATAAACGAGTACCTCAACGGTTCAAATTAAATCAAAGGAACGTGATCATGAAGGTGTGTACCCATTTCCTAAACCGTTGTACCATTGTGCGTTTGTGTGAAACCTAAAGCTCCTACAGGCTACAACGTCGGGGGTGTTGTTGATCTTTTCAATCACAAGTCCCGTTTGTAAGAAATTTTTGTAGAAATAAACTTTCATGTATCAATTAATGCACTGCAAATTATTAAGAAATAGTAATCAATTGTGTTCAGTTCCTTCCAGTTGTTCGAAAATAAGTTGTACAGCTTAATATATCGTACGCCTTTTGTAAAGCCTTTGGCAAAGTACGATCAAGGCTTTATCTAGCTCAAAATCAGTTACTACTTCAATTACACAACCTACAGCCTTGAAGCTGAACATGTTCCTGGTTCCTTGACGGCTTTATGGGACTTGTTTGCAACAACATGCACCACATGTGACTAGTTGTTCAAATTTGCATACACTCTTTCTCGTTTGGGCGCACAATTGCAAAGACAGGCTAAAAAAGTACATCTGGCATAGGGCATAAAGGGTTGTCAATTTGCGGGAATCATTCAAAATTTGATATAAAGGTGGTAATCTACAAGACCTAACATGGCATAAACCTCTCTCGAGGAGGTTCTGGAAACCTATTCGAGTACTCTGGATGTACAAAATGGACTGAAATTGCAGGAGAAAAAAAGAATACAACAATCACCATGACAATAGGTTTCAAATGAGTTTGTGTATATGGCATTAGCTGTGCCAGGTTTAGCTACATTTGTACTTTTTTCAGCAGTCTTTGCAAACAAGAAAAGGCTAATCAACAAGCTGCTTTGAATGACATAGCGCTAGAGCACTTTATCAAGATCATAGATATCTAGTTGACAACATGACAGCTTATAATACCGCTTTGTACCAACAAAACTAACCATTCATTTATGAAGTTTAGCAGAGTAAACTAAAATTTGCTGAGAAATTTCTGAGATTTGGAGCGAGTCAAAGACTTTGATATAACTGATCAAGTTTTGAAGAGTTATATTCCAAATGACTGTGGCAAGTTTTAATTAATCAAAAATTGACTCTCATCAAATAAAGATCTACGCCCTATTTAAACTAGTGTGTACCAAATATCACTCTATTTGGGCTCTTTAACTTCAAAAATGGTGAAAAAGTCTACAAATCGGTGTGCATTCAATTTAAATTTTGTAGACAAATTTGAAGTCAGATCTTTAGGCTATACAGGTTGATATGAATTGATCAGTTCTTGATCTTCATCAATCACAGATGATGTTTATGAGTATCAACATCAAGAGCCCCTATCCTTTTAGGTATCTCATATCTAGTGACATCGTTTCGTGATGTTTCGAAGCTCTAGTAATTGAAATAGAGTCACTTACACTTCCAACAAATGTCATAAATTTCATTGACAAGTACACTTATCTTCGATCATTGCCGCCCAAAACATAAAATCCAAGATCAATCCAATTATCCATGCTTTTATCCTTTCGAGCTTTCTAAAGCTTTGATCAAGATACACACTGCACACCTTTTGGAGTTTGAAATCAAAACCCAGGAACAAACTGCAGTTATTCATGCATATACATGCATCCAGAGACCGTTGTTGTTTCATGCATGAACCAACCGGCTCGTCAAAAAAAAAATTAATCTCATATGAGATACAAAAGACCTGATTTGAAGAAAAGTACAACAACTTTTCAAGTTACTCTTCACTGTTTGATGACCTAGCATATATGTAGCAGCACTAGCTTTATTTAAAAGTAAAAAATCACTTGATGTAAGAGGAAAGCGTATCCTTTGTTGTTTTGAATTTAGTTCAGCGGGAGCTGACGCGTCGCCATTTTAGGCTAGCGATCTAGACAAATTAGGAAAGGGGCAATTGCCCAATTGGGGTACAATTAAATTTCAACGGTCTTGACTCTTCGCTAAAAAGTTAAAAGCTTATTAAAACAGCTTTCTCGAGAAATCAAGATTCAGGAATGAGTTCAGTATTGAAATATCTAATTCATAGACTCCTTGATCCCAAATTTCGAGAATACAATTCACACCGTGTATTTCCCTCCTGTTTATCAAGTGTACTCTGATTTTAAAAACCGTGATCATGTCTAGTTAAGCATCGCGAGTGGTTGCTGGTTTAACTTCACTGAGACAATTCATGTCTTAAAAAAATTGTGAAGGGGCATTTCAAAATAGTCGAGTTGTACCAGATCATCAGCTAAGTTGATCCGAACCGTATACAGATTACCAGCTGAAGATCAGCTTGATCAAGAGTCAGGATATTTTGGAACTATAAACATCTATACTTCAAAAACACACTAAAATTATACCTTTTTGATCCATGAAAGCCAGCAATTTGATCATGAGCTTCACAGTATTTTTTCTCAAAGGGTGCCAACCTTAAAGGCGCGCATTCAGCGGGTACAACAGGATCCTCGTACGATATAATTGATAGCTTGACATGGTAAAGTTTGAGGCGCTTTAAATGCTTTTGTTAGTGGCTATTCGTGGACCCTTTTTTAAAACTGAAAAATTGAGCTCTATCGAAATCAAAGAGCCTGATCTGAACCTTTCCACACAAATAACTATTGATTTTTAAAGAGTATGTCATGTAAGAACAGTCTGCGAAGATACATTTATACAAGTACATATAGAAAATTGCCTTATTAGGCTTACTACTTCTTTGAAAACCTTGACAAACCTCCTTTCTTTCTTGTAACTGTGTGACTGGTGCAGCTCAGATATTTTTATTAGGATAAGATTGTCTTCAAACTGAGCTTGATCGTTTTACAAGTCTCTTCGGCTAGTCGATGAGATCAATTGTTCCTACTTTTTGTAAGAACGTGGTTAGTTGATGTTATAACTCAAAGCCCTCTGTTTATTAAAAGGGGTTTTGTCTATGATATCTTTTGACCTGTTGTTGTGTATACTTGTCTATAGGCACTTTTCAGTGCTGCAAAGTCTTGAATTGTGTGTGTAAGTAAATGTATGTACGATCTAAAAAAAGGTATCACGACAAGTTACACGAAATATATCCTGAAAGCCACACGTTCAAGAGCCTAATCCTTCCTAGATACGCTCGTTACACTTTCAAAACCAGATCAAGTATTTGGCTGATTGGTTTGTAGCATGATCCCTGTATCTTTAAAGTGTTTCCTTCATCTCCAAAAACACCATATGAACAGAATTAAACCGTCTCAATCTTCTTGATATTGATCATAAATCATTTAAACTCATCCTAGATTTGAATTTTGTACTGATCAGTTTCTTTTCTACTTCTGGCAACTCCATCAGTGAAAAATTTGACTTCCTCGAGACCTTATCAGCGAACTACACAACACCTTTCACACTAGCCAGCTTCACCCTTTGAAAACCTTTCCAAATCGGTGTAAACATAGGCCTCGTTAAGCACAAGTTGTCATTGTCGATCAGTCATCCAGCCCATCAAACTGAAGTAGCCTTTCGAGATTGTGCGTGCTTTGTTTTCAAAACTCAACTTGATGTATTTTTTGACGCGAAGACAATCGTCAATATGTACGCCCTTGACAAAATTTCGAACTTGTATAATTGAACTAGCTAAAATTAATTAATCAAATAATTATTGTGCAATAATTTTCAAGATATATCAGTAATTGACTAACTGCGAAAGGGCCTAGTATTATAGTAGCCGCCGTTCTGTTATATATTATAATAGATTAATTAGTAGTTAAAAGCTGTACAACTTTACATGGTAAAGGTGTACGTTGTATGGCCGTCATATTAGAATTATAGTAATTAAGCTGGCACTACTAGCTGGACTGACGATTGATTTTTTTTTTTAGTTGATGTATTTGATGAACTTGGATGAGGAATGCAATTACGCACGAACCGCTTGGATTGTAGGCTTCTCGTTATGTTGGAATTCAGGCTTCCATTTTTTTTTATAATTAATCATGTTACATATATCTGATATTAATGTGTATTTATAAAATTATGCTAAAATAATGTACAAAAATATCACTGGGGAGTCGGGACTCATGATTTTTTAATTTTTTATAAATTATAATATAATTATAAGTTAATGTCGAATATCATGAATAATGTTTCTGATCAGTTGGCTGAGAAGGATATTAATATAAGGAAGCCTGAATTCCAACATAGCGAGAAGCCTATAATCCAAGCGGTTCGTGCGTAATTGCATTCCTCATCCAATTAGTTCATCAAATACATCAACTAAAAAAAAAAAAAAAACTTAATTATAATTATATTATAATCATGAATTAAGTTATATTATATACTAAGCTGAAGTAAGACGTCACCAATATTAATAATATCATGAGCTAATTACAATATTACAATATCCATATTTTTCATGATCACAGCTCATGCATTTTGCAAGTCGAGATCGCTTGTATCATAAATCTTCCTCAATATCAGCGGCGCTTTCGATCTCCTATATATTTTAATACCAGTACTATATTACTAACAGTAGCTGGGCCCTATTTTAGGTTTAGTTGTAAAAGATCAGACACGATACTTACACCACGGTGTAATGCTGGGAGTCAATGGACGTAATAGCGCCATGTATTGTATGAACTAGTTCTGCTGAGATCATTAATTGTAATACACTTCTTATCAACTTCCTATCATCAGTGAAGAAATATACAAGAAAATATTATTTCATGCACAAAATTTTATTATTTGAGTTGATTGTTGCTTCATATCAACGTAATTTTAACTAATTTAGAAGAAAATATTGAACAATCATATCCTCCTTAAGAAACCCGTGAAGTTTGACAGTTTCATGCCATATAAACTTCAGGTGACAGGTGTCTGGTAAACTATAAGGTTTCAAACGTTAATTTTGAAAACTTCGAATGCACTGTACTAAGACTAGTTGATATTTTCTACTCGAACACTTGATACAGTACTAAGAATACATATACATTAATTAGGCTTGTATTAATTTGGAACAAGTTTGACGACCCTGTTGAAAAAAGGAGAATAAACTACAAGAAGTTGTGACTTGAGACTTAATGAGAAATATGTCCATGATTTATTTTAAAAAGGACACATGCTAAAAGAACAAATGAATAAACGTCTAAAGAAGATTGAAATTGAATGAAGATGCCTGGATAGAATTATTTTGCAAAAAAGTATTAAAAGGAGATAAAAAAGAGGACAAAAAATATATTATTCCAAACAATCAAAGGAGAAAGATCACCTAGTACATTGGTTGACCATTTCTCCAGGTTCTCCAATGCCATGCATCAGCTTCTGGTTCAGCTTCCCTTTTATACATTGGTTGGCCGTTTCTCCAAACTCTCCATTGCCATGCTTCAGCATCTCTCTTGGATAATTTTGATAATTCAGAATCAGCAATAGTGGTGTTGATAAAGTAAACAGCATCATCTAAGACAATTGGAGCAATATCTGAACCTAAGTTAACAGCTTCAATAATAGCATCATCAGAGAATGGGAATTCAACACCTTTTGAAGTACCGACTTTTTCTTCTTCTTGGTTGGCTGGAGCTTCTTCAGCAAAAACATTGTTAGCTAAAGCTAAAACAAAAGCATAAACGAAAGCAGTTGAGAATTTCATATTTAAATAAAAGAGTGACTGATTTGATTGAGTTCAATTGATTTGAATTGATTGATGATAAATTAAAACATTATTGAATCTAACATTATTGAATCTAGTAGAAAAGGATCTCGAGGCTTCTTTATATATTCCAAAACCTGAAAAGGAAGCCAAACAATTATGAAGCTCAATTGACATTATGAAACAACCTCTCTAATAGTGCTGCTTTGGCCTCATGTGTTGATAGTTTTCAAAAAGCTTTCTTTCAAAAATCACCATTGCATTCCGGATTCGGAAATACCAACATGTATCAAATTCAGCCATTTCCTCCGTTCGACTCAACTATTTTCAGCCTTCAATGGGACCTTTCATACAAGTGATTCATGTTTCAGCAGTTTCTTTTTATCTTTTTACAAGATTTCTGGGGTTCTTTTGATAACATTTTGTGACGTGGTGAAGCGCAAAAAAAATCCTTTCATGCTGATGTAAAAGACACCTATCAAAGTACGAGTTGAATCATGATTTTTGAAGCGATACCATAAGATCAAAAAGTCTGTAAAAATACCTAAAGATCAATATCTCCCTTATGTGCCTTCACAAAAATGGACAAGAGTTTCAAATGTTCTTCATATTGTTCATCTGATATGATTCGTGTTCGACTTTGTTCAACAAGACCTGAAGTAAATATATTTGACATACCAGTTCTGTGTGGTCTAGGATCTGTCACAACTATATCTTTATTGAGTCTAGTATAGCGCTCCACAAGCACTAATGACTCAACATATCTCTTATAAGCTTGATTTTCAAAATCGACACGGGATTGATCATTGGTAGATTTTTCTGATTTATTTTCTTTGATATTATGTGACATTGAAGCTTCAACTGGATATGGGTTTGGTGTTTCTTGTTCATTGTGACTTTCTGTTGTTACTGTTGGTGGTGGTGCTGTGGCTGGTGGTGAAGTAAAGCCCAGTTTTTTCATAATGGTTTCCATTTGAGTGGTTGTGATAGTTGAATTAAATTCTTCCTGAAATATTTTGTACTCATCTTGATATCTTGCAACAAAATAGAGAAAATTATCCCTAACGACTTGGTCTCTTTGTGCATTATCATATTGAACTTGATATACCTGGCCCCACATCTCTAAAGCACACAAAGCTTTTGGATAAGGAAACGGTTCAACTTTTTTGAAAGGCTTTCTATCTTTAATGGGTATCTGTGACTTCTGTAGATTATTCATTTCGGAGAGAGTTGATTCATTTGAGTTTTGGGTATGCACATTAGATATTTGATTATCAATATGAAGACTTGGTGGAGCTATAGGTGTGGCGCATGTTGTACGTTCTGGTGTATGGTCTCTCGTGATTGTTCCTTGATCCGTGAAGGTTGCCTCAGAATTTGGGGTAGTAGTATTTAGCTTTCGATCAGTTGGTGTCAAAGATTGTGATGGAGTTGTTGAGGTATGGGGTGGAGGTGAAGAATCTTGATCCCTAAACCCCTGACCCTGTGATCCATTTCTTAGAGCTGGAGATTGTTCTCTGGAGCTAGACTTCTCAAGAGCAGTCCCAAGGGATTTCAGATGATTAATTTTCCAATAGTTCAAAGTACTTTTGCACACGTTGAGGTGAGGATATTTAGTCAAGTATTTATTAGCTGAAAGATGGGATTTTATGAAATCCTCTGTAATTGATATTCGCTCTTCAATACTGTATGAAGTTTTCCCAAAAGACGACTCAGAAGTTGATGGTAAAGCTGGCTCTATGGTTTGAGCATCCCTAGGGATTGGATTGGTAGCTCTATATCTTTCTTTTATGAAATCATTCTGTGGTGATGCAACCAATTCATGAACTGACTTCACACCTTGTTTCTTTAAATAGCCTCTGATTCTATTTCTTTCTCTTTGTTTCTCTAGTTTGGTGAGTGGACGATTCGCACCCACTGCATTCGTTTTAGGTGACATCCTTTGCACTGGACAAGTTTATGGTGAAATGTCAATAACGGCTTAATAATGATTGTTTATGGTTATCTTTTTTTTAGAGCCACATAAGGAAAACCGCGTTCGCGTTTTTGGCAGATTCACGTGTATTTATCGCTTATACAGAACTTAAAATTGACACTTTTAGTGAATTCAACCACAAAGACAAAATAGTTTCTTGTGATGACAATTTCCGTCGAGCGTTGGGAGTTTGAGCTTGGAATTTGGAAGACTTTTGGCTTTGTTGACAGAGTGGAGATATTGTGCTTTTTTTCAACTCTTTGTACAGCATCGCTTATGATTTTGTGCTCGTCACAGCTTTTCTTGAACACAAAACACAAAACCGAGTAAATGTATGAGCTTTTCCAGAGTCCACAACTATGAAACTGACTGAATCAGAATCCGAAGACAGTTTACAGCGTCAGCGTTAACAAGCCTGAGTCACACAAAAGCTCGAAATTCTGCGTTTTGATCAGATATTCCTTCAGATCTTACGAACTGATATTTTTGTGGCACTTCAGATTCCAAAACATCACACAAATAGCCAAAACGACCAGGTTTTAATAATTTCGAAGTTTCAATCAGAGTTCGTAAATGTTTTGAAACTCATGTTTGAAAAGTTTTGCTTGTGAGTCCCGAAGTCCAACTATTGAAGAACATTAAGACTACAAACAGTTAACAAGCTAATATACAGTCATTTTATTACTTTGTGTACCTTCTATATCCTATGCAAACATGTGTTTTTTTTATCTATGAATAATCTTCATCGTCAGAATCCAAATATTGAGCATAATCATCAGCTGAAGCAAAGACAGGCAAATCACTAAATCTAGATTTCTTTGATTTCTTAGTTTTCTTGCTAGCAGATGTATCTTCTTGTAATGAACGTTTCTTTGATTTTGGTTTTGGTTTCTCTTCTTGTTCTTCTTCTTCGCTTTCAAAGTCTTCATCACTTGCAATTTCATCTTCTGAATCACCTTTGAATAATTCAGCTTCATTGTCATCTTCATCAGCTTCGTCATCTGAAAATTGAGGTCCTTCAGCGAAACCATCTTCAATTTCTCCTTGAACTTCTTCATCTTCTTCACCTTCATCTTCTTCATCATCTGAATCACCAATTGCTTGTAGCTCAAAGTCAGAACTATCAGCGTCGTCATCCCCTTGCTCTGGTTCTTCACCATCAACTTCATCATCATCATCTTCTAGATCACTGAAATCATCAGCATCAAGATCACTAAAGTCTTCAATATCTGATTCTTCACCACCTTCAATTTCTGGTTGAGATTGAACTAATGCATTCCAAACTTCTTCATCATCTAAATCACTTTCATCTTCAAATTCTTCATCTGGAATTTCACCATTGTTCAATTTAGATGGATCTTTTTCTTTAGTAGTGAAATATTGATGGAAGAATTTTTCATCAGGTCTGACATCTTCAACTTTTTTGTTTAACCAATCTTCTGTATTAACTGGAATTTCTGGATTAATTTTGTTGGTAGATTTGACTAATAATGAACCAGTATGAGAACCACCAAGAGGTTGCATAATGGACGAACCTTTAGTTGTTGGTTTTTGTTTAGCGTTACGATAGACAAATCTATCCAAGAAATGACTCAATGTGAATAAACCAAGATCTGGTTTGACTTGCTTTTGTTGATTCAAGAAACTTTCAGCATATAATTGAACAGTTGGATGATAATGATTCAAAAACTCATTAATTTCCCATAAAGATGAATTAGAAGCATTAGCAAATTTAGGATCACGTTTACGACCATCATATTCAGCAATTTGTTTCTTCTTTGGTTCAACTTTCTTGACTGAATCTTCATTTTCAGAATCAACATCTTTGAAATTTTCTTCTTCAGAATCATCATCTTCAACATATTTATGATCAACTGGGGTATTAATAGCTAAATTTCTAATTTGAGGGATTGATTTTTCTAATTCCATTAATAAATAAAACATACCAGCAACAGAACCAATATTTATCCAATTGTAACAAATTTGAACAATTCTTTTAACAAATGCCATGACTCTTGGGATATTTGCATCTTGTTTCAAAGATTTGAACAATAAATTCAAGTAAATACCTTGTTTGGAGGATGTTACTAATCTGGTATCGAACAAACTTTCATATAATGTTCTGTAATAACGATCTGAATTCAAATTTTGATTTTTAACAATTTGTGAGATTAAAACTAAAGCTTGAACAGAAGTATTGAAGTTTGAGGAATGTGTGATTTTGTATAAAGTTTCCAAATGTTTATTGAACACATCAGTTGGTAAGTTTGAAAATGGGAAAGCACGGTTTAGACCGGTTAATAAAGCTGAAAATAATTTTGAGTTTTTCTCTTCTAAAACTTCTTGTTCAGATTTATCATTCTTGACAGATTTACCACCTTTTTTACCCTTCTTGAAGTTTTTCTTTCTGTTTTTGAAATTGTTGGCTTTAGCGTCTTTTGATGGTTCAGTATCAACGTTATTTGGATCAGATTCTATCAATAATTTTTCAAATAATGCAAAATATGTCTTCACCAAAACATTAGCAGTTTCATCTTCACGTCTTGTTAAAATAGTTTGATTCAATGTTAAAACTGAATAATATTTGGTATGGTAATCACTGTTGACTTTGAAAACATTATCAACAATAGCATCAATCACAATTTTCTTCATATTTGGATGAGCTTGTTCTAATTGTAAAATTTGGTATGAAGTCTTGGAACTGACTTTATTGTCAATATCACCAATCTTGTTACAACCTAATCTTAACAAATTGACTTCTTGTTCTGGTTTAGATTTCAACAAATCAAAGATATGACTAACAACATTCATTCTAACGTGGATAATTGGATCATGAGATAATCTTTCCAAAATCTGAATCACTTTGAAAAAATATTGTTTTAAATAGTCTTCAAAATAGAATAAAGCCAATTGTTTTTTAGTCAACATGTTATTTAGTGGTTGGTTTTTGAAATATCTGAGCTTTCTATCTGGTAATAAACCATTAATGAATAAATCCTTCAAGGCATTTAATGATTGTAAAGCAGAATTTCTTGATTTTTTAGAACAAAAATTCAATAAAGTGTCTAATGATTTTGTGTTGTGTAATGGAGCTTCTTGAATTAAAAGTGTTAATGCAGAAATTTTATCGTTTAATGTACCATCTGATAAAATTTGTGACAAGAACTTTTTCTGTGATGATGATTTTGAGAATTCTTCATAATAAACAGTATTATCGGCTTCCAAGGCTTCTTTACCTTTATGATACAATCTATCAATTTGTACTTGCGACAATTCAGCAGGTTCAGAAGATAATTCGATAGGGACATTATACCAGTCAATACGTGGTGGAACGATCAATCTTGCACTGTTAAGGACTGTTGAAGTGTCTATTTTTTGATGCTGTGGTTTAGGCTCAGGTTTATCTTCAGGAGCAGGTTGGAAAACGTTGGTGTTGTCTTGTTCAAGGTCTTCATCCTCCTCTTCTTCTTCTTCTTCTTCTTCTTCAACATCGTCTTCCTCTTCCTCCTCTTCTTCAACCAGTTCTGGTTCAACTTCATCATCAGCGACAACAACTGGTTCGCCTTTACCTAAACCAATCCCACTCATGAACTTGGATAGATCATCTTTAAAACCATTCCCTAAGGAAATATCATTAGCTCCAAATTCTTGTTCACTTTCTTCACCTTCATCAACATTCTCCAACAATTTCAAATCATCTTCTGTAGCACCCAACTCTAAAGCTTCACGACGTAATACTTCATCTATTTCACTAGTTTTCTTAGCTTTTGAGCCTTCTTTTGTAGTATTTGATGGGGTTGAGGAAATTTCTGATTTCTTATTGTTATTTTTATTCTTCTTTTTATCAGGTTTTGCCTTTTCATTTTGTAACTTGGATGAGATTTTATCTCTCAAACCAGAAAGGTTCAACTTCAAACCATCCATCTTTTTCAATAGAACAGAACTAGCTGAAGTGGATAGATTGAATATGATTTGATTCTCTATGTTTTGGCACTACATAAATTTTTTTTTGCCTAAAAATTTCATCTCCGGGTAAACTCATCGCTGTGCGCCTACCGGATATTATTTGATTATGAATGAACCAAATTCTACAATATGATTGATAAAGAAAGCTAGTTGAAAAGAAAAGGTCCTTGGAAAGGCTTATAATAGGCTCAAATTATCCCCTAGGAAGTACTATAATCATCGTTCAAGCTTCTTGTGGGTTAATTATAAGTTTATCTAATCAATTCTACAATCAATGAATCTATGATTATTTATGCAAACCTTTATTTACAACTCCTTTTAAACCCCAAAAAATATGAAGAGAAATGACTTTCTAAATCTAGATAGCATATTTTTTAGTCCATTCTTTAGCATTCTTTTGATAAAGTTCTGGATTTGATTTGTAAATATGAGCAATTTCTGGTACTAATGGATCATCTGGATTAGCATCTGTTAATAGAGAACAAATGGATAATAAAACTTTAGAGATTGTTAAAGCTGGAGACCATTGATCTTTTAATATATCTAAACAAATGTTACCATTTGAATTAATATTTGGATGATAAATTTTAGTTGTAAATTGAATTTTAGGTGGTTTGAATGGGTAATCTGTAGGGAAATGGATTGACAAAAAGAAAACACCACCGGCATATGGAGAATCTGATGGACCCATGATGGAAGCTTGCCAATGATATAAATCGTCACCTACTGGACCAGCTGAACATGAAGATGGGGGATCTCTAAAAGAAGATATGTTAGTATTCTGATAAACTTGTTAAAATGGATAAACAGAATCAGGTCAGGTTTCCCATGAAAGAAGTTGTTTCATTGTTGATAACCGCTAAAGTTTTGATGATCTGGTGGCACGACCCTAAGTAAAAATGACAGACCTACGATCTTGAACTGGGACCTCAAAGAAATCAATAAAGGTTGTGACAGTAAAATATAGGCACTGATACTTGTATATGACAAATCTTGAGCATACCGCTCTACTGTATTGATGTTCTGATCAGATTCCATCTTCACCGACGTCAAAAACGCCAACGAATGACAACACATGAAAAACCCACCTGATCCATATCGATCCTTGATACCAAAGAATGGTGGCAAACTTACCTTCCTAAATCATTAAGTTCTTTGGTAATTCTTTTTTGAGACATGGTTTATTTGTTGTATTTATGGATTAAAAGTTAACACACTTTTGATGGTTAATTGAAATGGAAAACTTCAAAATATCAGTTTTGATAAAAGAAAGAAAATCTCCTTTTGAAACTCTTGTGGCGATAAATTTTCAACACATCCAAAAAGCTCAAAAAATTCTGGAAGAAACAGCGAAATGGAAATTCTGATTGGGGGCAGCATTCAGACAGGGTAGCATCATGGTTTTCGCGGTGCACGTGACACACACTGGCGGGTAAAGTCAGGTGACACAATATCCATTTTTCTCTGTTTACAAGCGTATCAGGTACAAGTTGAGGATGAAGATTTCAAAAAACAGTTTTCAAGCTCATAACTATATAAAGGGAGTTAAGGGCATGACTAGCAGCTGATTAGGTGTATAATGACTGAAGTACCGAGGTTATCTTATTAATTTGCGCTTTCTGAGACCTCTAGAGTCAAGAACTGATCAAGTGCTAGCCTTTTTGCGCAAAAAATGATCGTCAAATTAGTGTTACAAATTAACCTGAACAGTACTTGGTTGTGTAGCTCTAGATCCAAGTAATCGACATATAGCAGATACGTTATCCGCTATCCACTAGTATTCACTAGAAACAAGTGTACAGAATATAGTTGAGGAGGAGTGAAAAAGCCCGCCTTCTGCATCCTACATTTGTAGTGCGCTTCGACTTCGAAAATGATGTAGCGCATTATAACATATCAATGAAAGTATCAAGTACAGGACGGCAGAGACAGACAGACCGCGGTTTTTAAACAAACCGTTTGATACTGGCTCCGTTTGATACTGGTTTTGTAATTGTCAAATTGGTAATTTTGCATTACCCACTTGGTAGTGATTGCAATTTCACAATGCCAGCTACTCAAATGAAACGGAGGTGACGTTGTCAAGAACCAAATCTAAACACGTTAAGCTTTGGATCCGGGGCCCTAGTTATAAACCTCTATAGCCTTTCGAGTTTAGTGCATTATAATCTATAATGTAATCAATATCAAACTCCATGATGATATTTTCATGCCCTTCATTCTGGGATCAATTAGAGTCAAGACCATCAAAAATGACGTGCAGATTAATTATTATTTATATCTGTTTTATCTGACTAAACGTGACGACCAATGATCATGGTTTATTTCTAGAAACGAGCCAACTTCTTTGGTCCAGTTCTATGGTTATAAAAGAAACTTTATCCATTGGTTAAATTCTTTTACAGAGTCAGATGTAAATGTGTCCTGCCAAAAGTGCCTGGTTTAGGCAACGACATTTTCGCTGTTCAATGTGAACAGTCTTTGGTCTGGACTCTGATTTAAACTTCTACTACAAAAGAATATACCGTATAGGCCGAATAATTTGTTAGATTTCACTCCAATATCTTTATCCAGATGATTCCAGAATATTTAAGTGCCAAACAGTTTTTTTATTTCAAGAATTCTCCAGCTCATCATGTTTTCGTATGTGCAAAACTAGATCTTTTTGATTTTAAGAGACGATTCTTATGCACAACTTGCATAAATCAACCCATTTGTGGACGCTGTAACCAAGGTAACCAATTAAACAATCATTCGCCAAAAGGCGCAGCTAACTCCTAAAAGAGGAGATTTTGGTGGCGCTAACCGTATAAAATTCCTGTTTTGGCTGTTTGCGTGACACAAGTTGCGCATAACTTGGCCCCAAAAGAAAAGATAGATTTTTGAAGCTAAAAACACAAGTTGGGCGGATGTTGGCAAAAAACGAAAAAAAAAGTTCTTTAAACTCTTCCAAAGAGCTTTTGCTTTAAACTCTTTCTTTAACATCAACAAAACCTTCAATCCCACTTCATATTCCTTCAATATTCCTTAATAAATTGACCAGGCTGTTTACCAAAATTGCTTACCGCTAGTCTTATTCTCATTTTTCTATTATTTCAAGCTAAATTTTTACTATTCAGAAAGTCGTGTTCAAGGGGTGGCTCCTATCATAAATCAAGCATAATTAAACCCATTTATATTCATTTACTTCCAAAGGTTCAAAAACACTTTTAAATTTCAATATCCAGAAATCGTTAAAGCAAAAATGACTGATGTTTTCTACTCATTTGATGATACAGATGCGCTATTAGCATCTTTATCCAGTTCATCCGCCAATACTTTATCACCATCAGATAATAGTGAATTCAGCGGCAGTGCAAAATCTTCATCATATGGATTGTCACCAGAGGAGGTGATATACAGTGATAATTGGAACAATAATTTCAATGGTGCTGATGCTGACACTTTAAATGATGATTTTTTCGGAAAGGATTTGATTAATTTTGATGCAAATGAACTATCTAATAACGATCAACAAGTTGACAATAACAATACTACAAAGGTTAAACTAGAAAATAATTATGCAAGCACCTTCGTATCACCAGAATCAATGGCTGAAGGTGATTTCAATACAGTCAATAATAAACTTCAGCCCCAAGTTTTGAAAAGAGAGGAATCCTTGGATAGTGATTCTTTGTCAGAAAACGAATCTCCAGATTTCACATCATCTTCAACTATAAAGAAGACAAGCTCTACGGCGAACAAAGTTACAAAACCAAAGAAAACAAAGGCTACTCATAATGTGATTGAAAAGAAGTACAGAACAAACATTAATACAAAGATCACGGCTTTAAGAGATTCGGTGCCTGCCTTGAGAATGGCCGCAGGTGATGCTAACACAACCATTAATGATTTAGATGGGTTGTCTCCAGCTGCTAAAGTTAACAAGGCTATCGTTTTAACTAAAGCTACAGAGTATATCAAACATTTAGAAAGAAAAAATTCTTTATTGATGAGAGAAAATCAACAAATGAAACATTATTTGGGAAGTTTACCTGCTCAATCTCAACAACAGCACCATATTCCACAACAACAGTTCCATCCACAACCTTATAACATGCCCCCAAACCCACAATATCAAACTTCTCCTTTACAAAATAATGCACAGCCGTCTCCTGATTCATTTCAACCGGCTAATTATAATGGTCAACAAGTTCCTATAGCAAATGTACAACAGCCGTATCAGATGGGTCTTCCAGGAAAAGTGCTTATGGGTGGTATGGCTACAATGGTTGGTCAGAATTTGTTCAATGGTGGTGGTGATTATGGTGATTTCAGAGGATTATCAGCTTTCCCAATAATGGGCAATCCATTATTTATCAAGTTTTTCCATATGATCCAATTCTTGTTTGTTTCATTATCTGTTGTTTATTTGATTTCTCCAGCTTTATTCCAAAAATCACAAGCTCCAAAGGATAAGAAAACTAAAATTGCAACTGTTGAATGGTATGAGTTGGCGAAAGAATTAGTTTTCATTCAAATTGGCTCAAAATTGAAACGTGAAGCTACACAAGGGGAAGTTGATTTGTTGATTAACCAAGCTTTATTATCATCAGAAAAGCATTCGTTCTTCAGCCTGACACATTTGTTATTGAGATTATTTACTTATCAACCTTCATTTGAAGTTTCATTTGGGAAGTTAGTTGTTGCTAAATTATTATTATCTTATACTGATATTGCAACATTTATTAATTTGAATGGTATCATATCAACAAGTTTATCAGAAATTGCCAATCAAAAAGTTTCAGATTCGAATTGCAGATACTTCTTCAAAGAATTCAAAACTATTTCAGCTCAAAACTCGGAAGCTTTCAAAAGACTATTAAACATCGTGATTGGCTTACCAATTGGTACTAATTGTGAAAGGGGTGTTGAAGATAAAGGTTACTTTTTGATTTTGAGAGATGAAAGAGTTTTATTTGACTACAAAACTTTATTGATCAGTTTAAGAGCCAATGAAATCTTCCGTGAAGTTTTATTAGAATATATCAATTTAACTTTCAATAGTGAAGAAATTGCTAAATTGGACAATGAAGAATTAAGAGAAGGGAAGAAAGAATTGTGGAATAAGTTGAATTTAGCTGAAAATTTAGCACCAAAGAGATCAATCGTTGATATCAGAATCAAATTATTCAAATCAATTTTGAATGAGAAATATGTTGATAGTGTTTTACAATTGGTTAATGAAGAATCAAAAGCAGTGATAGCTACAAAGAAATTGAATGGTGAAGTTGTGGAAGAAAAATTATCATCTGAAGAAGAAACTTCAAAACCTCCATCTCCTATCTTAAAAGATGAAAATGAAGATGAAGTTTATGACTCTGATGAATCTTTTGGTGATTCTGAAACAGAAGAAGAAGATGAAGTTGAAATTGCACAACCGGCTCCAAACCCTGAAGTTGTTGAATCAACTCCTTCATCAAGTATAAATCCAAAATTTCAAAACTTATTATCACAAGATCTATTCAATGCATTGGTTTCATCTTCCATATTAAAATTTGCACATGCTGATCAACATGAACAAGTTTCAAAATTATTGAAATATATTAAATTCTCCAAAGATGAGTTGACTTTGTTATCTTTTATTTCCTTATATAAATTGGTTCAAAAATTCCCAAAAAATTGGTTAGAAGGTAAAGAAGGTGAAGTTATTGAAAACTTAGTTGGCCATTTGAGAGTTTGGGTTGGAGATTCTTCAAATGTTAATTTCAATGATTTGAAAGAAGTTGGGTTGCATTTAAAAAGAGAAATCAGTGATAACTTGGTTGAAGTTGGTAAATCATTTAGTGAATTGGACTAGGGGGTTTTTGTTTTATTATATCTTTTTTTATATGTTTTTTTTTGATTTTCTATTATCGACAAACAGGAATGTCGGGTTTTATTAAGTGTGTTCATTCATACATTTTTGATTTGTTTTATTATATTCAGGTTTTAGATTTTTTATTTTATTATGGCGTTTTAAGTAACTGTTTAGTTGTCAATTTATATTTTGAAGTGGAACAAACTTTCGATATTTATACATTACATATAAGTTTGTAGAACATTCAATATTGTTTAGCTGTGCGTATTATAAATATATTCATTAAAATTGGTGATCATGGATCTATCATAACTCATCGTGTTGCATTGCATTTTGCTCTTCTTTAACAGGCTGATGATGATCTTCAGAAGCTTTTTCTTGAGTTTCATATTCTGTGGTTTCTGCCTGCATTAAAGGCTGTTGTTGTTGTTGTTGTTGTTGTTGTTGTTGTTGCTCCTCATTGATTGAATTTTTCTTCTTCTCTTCTTCTGTCTCAACTCTCTCTTCACTCACCACCTTATTTTCATCTTGTGGTGGAATTCTAACACTCATGACATTCTTCTCCAAATGGCTCAGATCATTACGATCATATAAAATAGCCTTCCCATCAGAATTTTTCACAATCTCGAGAGTGTTCAAATAATCACCTCTTCTTCCATAGACATATGTGTAGTAAGTAAACTCTCCCTGAGAACCCAATACTTCTTCACCATTATATATCTTTTTTCTTGCTAACCCAGTGAAGAATGATTTTGCGATTGTACCCAAAAATGTATCATCTTCTTTATCAGAGTTGTAAATTATGACATCTAATCCACCAGGGATCTTAGGTCTTCCCAAGAAAATTCCATTCCCTAAAGGTTCAAGTCTATATTCTGAAAGAGATATTTTCAAAGGATGATTATAAAATGAGTGTTTGATGTAGTCTTCTTTATCAACAACATGGATATCAGTATTGACAATTTTTTTACAATCAATCTCATGAACTTTTTCCTCTTTATTACTTCCAAATAAGTCATCAGCGCACAAGTCTGGAACAGCGACTTGAGCTTGATATTGACATGATTTATACTCCTTAACCCATTTCAAACTTGGTTCATTTAGTGAAGGATCACAAACAAATTGAATTTCCGCACTTCTTGGTCTTCCAGTCAAATCACAAAGAGTACCACCTTCCAGATTGTACCCCAAATACCACAACCCACCTTCTTTGTTCAATGTATATCTATCAGCTGCTTCATCTTTATTGAATTTCCCCAATATAAACTTTGAAACTTTCTTATCCACAAAATCTTGAATCTGACCATTGAATTGTGAAAGTTCTCTATCAAAGCAAAAGGCATAACTCCAATAGCCTGCGAATTGGAACACACACTTATCGGTGAGTGCCTGCTTAACCTTTTGGAATGCCTCAACAATCTTTTGTGGTCTATAATCATCATTTAAAGTTGGCTGTAGTTTTTCAACTGGGGGAACTTCTGGTATACGACATAAATAATCTGAATCTTTTGATTTCACTAGATGATAGCTTTCGCTGTTATTCAAGGATCCCTGAAGTATCTGGGATGACTCGTGATGTGTGTAGAAGTCTTGATTATCATACTTTATGACATACTGAGACAATTGTGGTTAGTATAATCAAGTACCCTTGGTTTCGTTTGATGCTTTATACTCACTTTTGGAGACGAGAAATAGTCGTCATAAACGCTAAACAGGGCCTGGCTACCCTGAGAAAGCACCAATAGTCCTGTCGATATCACATTCAACTTCAACAACATTTTGGGTTTTTGAATTGGAAGTTTCCTTTTAATATTGTCACAAACTCTCTTACGTAGCACTATCAAATCTCGGAAAAGCAGTTCTGATATTTTCAAGAAAATAATCATCAACACAACGAAAACTCCAAAGGAAAACAGAACCACGATCAAAACGATTCCATAACCAAAATTCTACTCCAAATATGCTGAATATAATAAGGATCTCTGTGCTGCTCGCTTCATTTGTTTCACTGGCCCTAGCTACGGCCCCAGTCCAACTCTACGCCCACTCCCTTGAGACCCATGAGCTCAGCATCAACTTGGGAGTGTTGACATACAACGAGACTTCAGGCTCCACACAGGTCATAGATGCTCCTGAGCTTCCAGAGTTTGAAGAAGGTGACTACTGTATCGGTGCTGAGATTAATGGTAACTTCCAGTGTCATAGTTATGCTCGCGTAAGTGGTCAGAACTTTTTACAATTGATGTATTGAACTAACTTTATAGCTTGAATTCCCATTGAGATATGAATTAATCATCAGCACAAAACCGAAAACAGGTGAACTGATCTCCATGTCATTTAGACGTGCTGAAAACGAAGGTATTAAATCAATCATTAAACCAGCTGTACCAGGTGCTCAACCAGCTACCAAAGAAGCACCAAAAGTTGTCAAGAATGCCGAAGGGAAAGAAGTCTTGGAAGAAGAAGAAGTGAGTATACAAGATCTAGTCATTTGAAATATCAGTTACTAACATCAATAGCCTCCAAAATCATTCATACAGAAATACTGGATGTATATTGTCCCAGCCTTGATAATGTTCATGATTTCCTCAGGACAAGAACCTCAAGGCCAATGAACATGCAACCCAGTCAAACCAAATAGAACTTGTATAATAACCAATCACTACTAACTAATTAAACTTCAATTCAGTAGAATATCACTAAAAAACCCATTCAGGAAACTTCCGTTTAAGGAAGTCAACGTTACATAATCACCAGCGCCAAAACTGATGTTGCGCTGTCAAGACGTGAACCATGATCTTCATCACCAACAACAACAGCACTGATTTTTTGCCTCTGTACAATTCAAATTCAACCTTTTTCAACTTGATGATGGAGAAGTTCGGATTTGGAAGATCAAATAACAGTTCCCAATCAAACATGTCCACGAATAGCGGTCACTTTGGCGGTGGATTAGTTAACAAATTGCCGTTCAATCATAATAAACCACCACCTCAACCAGCTGGACCTCCTAAACCATTACTAGCTGCTAATTGTCCAAACAATGCTTATGCCTTAGCAAATGTCGCTGCTGTTAACCCAAGAGATTTTGAAAACAATATCCATGTTGCTGTTAATGATTTCTATATCTTTACTACAAAGCATTCAGATGAGATTGCACCTGGTCAAATCGGTTTAAATGGTACTCAAAGATTATGGGCTGGATTATCACTAAATGAAGAAGCTCAAGTTAGAAAATACAATATACTCACAGAGACTGGTAGACAACCTTATATCGGTTCATTGAATGTTGAGATCTCATTTAGAAATAAAAGTAAAGCTGTTCCAACTCAATTTGATCAAGATGATTTAGCAAAAGCTGTTATACAGAGATTTGAATCTCAAGTATTATCTCCAACTCAATTGATCTTGTTAGATTATAAAGGTAATATTTTTGAAATACGTGTTCAAAGTATTCAAGTTGTTGATTTATCAGAAATGGAAAATAACGGTCCAACAAGTTCATCAATTGAAGCTAAAGGTTTATTATTACCACAAACTGTTATTAATTTTTTTAAAGGTCGTGACGGATTAGTTAATTTGAAATCAAGTTCAATCAGACCAAGATCAGATGCTATCATCAGACCTGACTTCAAATTTGAAGATATGGGTGTTGGTGGGTTAGATAAAGAATTTACACAAATTTTCAGAAGAGCTTTTGCAAGTCGTATTTTCCCACCTTCTGTTATTGAAAAATTAGGGATCAGTCATGTTAAAGGTTTGTTATTGTTTGGTCCTCCAGGTACTGGTAAAACTTTGATTGCTAGAAGAATTGGTACAATGTTGAATGCTAAAGAACCAAAAATTGTTAATGGTCCTGAAATTTTGAGTAAATATGTTGGTTCCTCTGAGGAAAACATTCGTAATTTGTTCAAAGATGCTGAGGCTGAATATAAATCAAAAGGTGAAGATTCCTCGTTACATATTATTATTTTTGATGAATTGGATTCCGTTTTCAAACAAAGAGGTTCAAGAGGTGATGGTACCGGTGTTGGTGATAATGTTGTCAATCAATTATTAGCCAAAATGGATGGTGTTGATCAATTAAACAATATCTTGGTTATTGGTATGACCAATCGTCGTGATCTTATTGATAATGCCCTATTGCGTCCAGGTAGATTTGAAGTTCAAGTTGAGATTCAACTTCCAGATGAAGAAGGTCGTCATCAAATCTTTGAAATCCAAACCAAAAAAATGAGAGAGAATAAAATGCTTGCAAGTGATGTTGATTTACTTGAATTGGCTTCTTTAACTAAGAATTTTTCAGGTGCTGAAATTGAAGGTTTAGTTAAAAGTGCAAGTTCTTTTGCTATCAATCAAAAAGTGAACATCGGTAAAGGTGCTACAAAATTGAATAATAAAGATATTGCCAATATGAAAGTTACAAGACAAGATTTCCTAGACGCTTTAGGAGAAGTTTCACCAGCATTTGGTGTTAATGAAGAAGATTTGAAAACTTGTTTGGAAGGTGGTATCATCAAATATTCACCAAAAATTGATGAAATATTGAAAGCTGGTAAACGTTATGTCCGTCAAGTTGAGGCAAGTGAGCGTACAAGACTTGTTTCATTGGCTATGCATGGTCCACCAGGTTCAGGTAAAACTGCATTAGCAGCTGCTATTGCTTTAGCTTCAAAATTCCCATTTGTTAGATTAATTTCACCAGAAGAAATGGCTGGTATGTCAGAGACTGCTAAAATTGCTTATATTGATAATACATTTAGAGATAGTTATAAATCACCATTAAACGTGTTGGTTGTTGATTCAATTGAAACAATTCTTGATTGGGTTCCTATTGGTCCAAGATTCTCAAACAATATTTTACAAGTGTTGAAAGTTTACTTGAAAAGAAAACCTCCAAAAGATCGTCGTTTATTGATCATTTCCACAACAAGTGCTTATAGTGTCTTGCAACAAATGGATTTGGTTAGTTGTTTTGATAATGACATTGCTGTTCCAAACTTGCATACATTAGATGAGTTCAACAACGTTATGATAGAGTCTGGCTTCCTGGATGATAGTTCAAGAGTTGAAGTGCTAAATCAATTAGCTAGCATTGCACCAAGATTTGACATCGGTATCAAAAAGGCATTGACCAATATTGAGACTGCCAAACACGATGATGATCCTGTGAATGAGATTGTTGACTTGATGGCTCAATCACAAGCAGCATAGATATAGAAGTAACCACTACTCCACAGAATACACATTTGTCGTTAGTTTTATGTTTTAAATTTTGTATGGTAGTTATATAATGTTGCCCCAAACGTGTTTTTTTTTCTCTTCGCGATTTTTTTGAATGTCCCAGAAGGGAAATTTTTGATGCCTCCAAAGCACCATGAAAAATCAGTACGTACATGAAACACACCAGATCGTAAGGTTAAGTCATTAAGTTGATTGCCATTATTCAATCTTATACATCGCCAGTGGGTTAAATCAAGAAGGCTGTATTCAAGGAGATTTCACTTCTTTTTCGCTTGGTGAATCGACGAGAAATTTGGATTGCACGCTCTTTTTGGTAAACAACAACAAATACAACAACAATAAGAAAGCTCTGATATGGACCATCTAAAGGATTTATTATTGAACAATAAGGGATAAAATATAACTCAAGATCATATTAAAGAATGAATGGGCTGACATGGCTTCAACTTTCTGAGTCAGATGATTTCCTTACGAGGAATTTGGTTGATAACTTATTTTTTTGGATTGAAACTAGAAAGATTCAGAAGGGATATCAAACTCAACTGAAAATAGATCGTCAAATAATATTAAAGTTGCTGAAGAGATACATAATAGATGCAGAAAAGCCAAATCTTGAAAAATGCTTGAATCATTTCATGAACCAGCCTAGCACCAGAACTTTTTTGAGCCGGTATAGAGGAGATGAACAAACCATACAAGAATTCAAAAAACATACACGCAAATACTTTGAAATGTATTTCCCAGAATGCGGGTTTGAGTTAATGACAACTGATAGATATGAAGTGAAATCTGGGGTTTTAGAGACAAGTGTTGTTGCGAAAAAGGAGTATAATGCGGGTGATGAGGTGAAATATTTGACAGGAACTTTTGCAGAATTGAAGCCAGAGGAAGAAGATTTTCTAGATAAAAGTGACTTCAGTGTTATGAATTTAACAAGTCGTGTCAACCCATGCTTAATGTTAGGACCAAGTCGATTTGTGAATCATGATTGCGATGCTAATGCTAGATTTGCATCATCAAGAAATGGGTTAAAGATATTTGCAACTAAAAATATATTGGTTGGTCAAGAAATAACTGTCACATATGCAAAGAGTTATTTTGGTAAAGATAATAAAGATTGTCTTTGTGCTACTTGTGAGCGATTACAGAAAGGTTATTATGACCCTAACAAATATGTGATTCCAGATGATGCAGAGTTGATTGATATTAGTTCAAGTGAAGAATCAAGTGAAAAAGAGGATGATATTGAAATTATTGTGGTTGACACTGATAGTGAAACTGAAGAGAAAAACACCAATGAAGGAACGCCAGCTGATGGTGAAGCTCTTTCCAGCGTGTCACCAGTGCCCATTGACCCACAAGAATTTGCCAAAACAACAAGTAATAAAGATGGAAAGAAACTACCTTCAATTGTCTCATGCATTAGTTTAGCAACTGATGAACCATTTGTGGAGCCTGATAGTGAAGAGTTCGGTGGTAGACGGCTACGTCCTCGTCAACAGATTATGATGTCTGGTAAACATGTTACAAGAAATGATATACTTAAATTATATCCAAGGGATCAATCTGTTGATTCATTGTTAATTCAAATTCCAAATTTAAATAGAGAAGTCCTTCGGCAACGTCAAATCAATAGAACTCTTCATAAATTGCTAATGACACAGCTCTACAAGACTGATGATAAGATACATATATATGATTGTCGTCATTGTGGGATATACTTCAAATTATTACCAGATTCACCACACCAGTATCAAGAATATTGTCAGCGTTGTGCTCGTCACCAGCTGGTTTATGGACTTGCATGGCCTGAAACTAAAAAGAAAGCTCATTCAGGATATTTGGTATTGGACGAAGGTAATGAGAGACCACCATTAGCAAATGTTGAGCACTTGACTCCAAGAGAATTAAGACCAAAAAGAAAGAAGGCTAGACATGGTGGTATTGCTACTGCTCAAGGTTCAGCTTATCCACCAACTACTAGTGGTAGAAGAGTGATTCATCGCAGAAACAATCTGAGGACTCCAGCTCAACACAGTGATTCCTTTTCAGAAAGCTCAAGTGAAAGCAGTGATGGTGATTCTGAAACTCCTGAGGTTCTTCCTCTGGGCAGTGCACATGCTGGTAAAGGTGGTATAAAGAGAGTTGCCACCTTGAAGACGATGAGAGTTAGAGAAGAGCTTAATGAGAGCGCAGATGATGGTGAAGTAAGGAAGAGAGATCGTATATTGCATATGGAAGATCGTAAAGAGCTATCAGAATTAAAAGTAAGAAATGTTCTCCCAATTAGCAGGGCTACAATGATTTCCAAAATGCCAGGTGTGAAGAAGGAACTGCCCAATGAACCAAATGACAATGACAATCATCATCGCCATCATCACCATCACCAGCATCATCATCATCATATGAATGGTAGACATACTAATGGCCGTACCAATGGCAATCCACACCATGGCATACATAGAGTTCAAGATATTCGGAGGAACAGATTTGAAAAGAACAAACCGGAAGATAGAAGCAGAGATTCAACACCGACCAAGGAAGAAATGCTGGCATCACATCCAAAAATCAATCCTAGTGAACTTGCTAAGTTTGCTAATGATAGAAGAGCTTCTGTTAATGGGCTCATTAATATGCAGAGACGAGCACAAAAGGCTAGAGATAAAAGTTCAGGAATTGAGAGGATTAGTGAACAAAAGTTCATTGGTACAAAAGCTGACAAGAATCATGATGAAGAACGCGAGGATAATAAGAGACCCACAATACCATCTGACGTTGAAATTGTGGAGATCACTAGTGAATCAGATGATGATATAACACCAGTGAAACCTTTCAAGCCTCGAAATGAAGGGAGGAAAAGGCCAGAAGAAACTTCAAGCTCTAAAGAGGCATCATCACCAGTTAAGAAAGCTAAATACGGAGGTGGTGGTCTTCACAAGGTTAGCTTACCATCTGGTGTCAAGCCTGAAACTATAGCAAGACCAAAGTTGAAATTGAATGGATTCGCATCAAAAGCGACAAAAAAGGAACAGACAAATCAAACAGTATTTCTTGAAATTAGTGATTCGGGATCTAGTCATGAAGTTATGGGAAGTGATTTTAGGCCACAATTTTACACGAAAGCATGAATCTAGCATTTAATTATCCAAAGGACTTTGTATTCTACATCACATGGATAAATAAACATTTTAATGATTACATCTCTTTCTTATATTACTTATGATGCCGATATTTTTTCTAATGATGGATGGGAATAATACACTTTAATGATGTTAGGTCCTTGGAGGAGGATGAGGTGGTTGTTTTTGATAATCAGGAATCTTAGGTTTAGCATTGTTTGGTCCTGGTTGAGACTCTGGTATATCACTTATTCGACCCTCTGTCTCTGCTGATGTCTCGTGCTTGTGTTTCTTATTGTATTTATGGGTTAGGTATGATTCGAGAAGTAAGCAATTTCTTGAATTGGCCTTGTAGGCAATATTGATGATATCACCAACAATTGGTATCAATCCAATACCAAAATCAAAAGCGATATTTGCACTCATTTGAGTTTGAATATAACTCGGTAATCCACCATCAATCTGTTGTGCTTTCTTCAACAATAGCAACGCAAGATAAGCTGCGAAAAAATCACCAATCCAAGGTATAATCCCAATGATACCAGCCCAGCCAAACCTAAATCCACAACAAGAAAGTGAAAGATCTAAATGATATGCTCTTCTTCTAACACTTTTCAATATTTTTTGATCATTATGTGACAAACCTAATGGTAAAGCTTTCTTCCTTCTGGCACCATGTCTTTGATAGAACTTTAACTCTTCATTTGGAATCTAAGTCTTGTTAAAAACACAAATAATAGCTAGAAATGATCGTTATATACTTACCTCCTCGAAGAAAGGATCTTCTTTACCAACATCTATCTTTCCAACAGTCTAATCAAAAGCATTAGTACCTGTCAAACCTTGAATCTGATTAGAAGACATACCTTACCAGCTACCCACTTAAATAATAGACCACTCATTCTTCAGCAAACCAGAATGATTTTAATCAATCAATTATTAACTTAACAGATAGTCCACAACTTCTAGGAGGTTTGAATCTTTCAATTCTTTGGTTGAAACTTGTTTCTTGCTCATCTCAACATGAAACTGACACCAAAACCCGGTTCGCGCACTTCTATCGCGAATATTATTAGTGCTCAGTTTTACACACACTTTTGGTGATCCCCTGCGAAAGTTTCAGACCGCCTTTTTTTTTCATCAATTTTTTTTAATGCTGTTGGAAAAAGTCTGAGGAAACGCCCTTTGATATCAACAATCAAGATCTGTTTAAAGCCATAAAGAGTCTTTCTTTTATATTACTGATATTACAGAGATGGCTCCACCAGCTGTTCGTCCAGACAACGTCCTTAAGGTATGTATAAATCTGAAGGATTGAGAGGTTGTTGATTCAACATTTGCCTGTGGATCGGCCTAATTCTTCAACATTTGATTTATAAGACAAATATACTAACAACAGTGGAAATTAGAGGGCAGAAGAGTTGATTGCCGTTGGTAAAGAAGAATCTGCTTTACAAACTTTGCATGAATTCATTACTTCAAAGAAAACTCGTTCAGTTACCCCAGTTGCATTAGAACCAATTGCCATTTTGTTCACTGAATTATGTGTTAATTTACGTAAAGGTTACACTTTGAAAGATGGTTTACATCAATTCAAAAAAAATGTTCAACTTGCTACAAATGGGTTACAATCTGTTGAAACAGTCTCACGTAAATTGATTGAATTAGCTGGAAAGAAATTAGAAACTGCTCAAGCTAAAGCTGATGAAAGAGCTTTAGCATCAGTTGAGGATGATTTAGAAGCTGGTGAATCTCCAGAAGATATTTTATTATCTGCTGTTTCATCTGAACAAACAAGAGATCGTGCTGATAGAGAATTAGTTACACCATGGTTACGTTTCTTGTGGGAATCATTCCGTTTAGTTTTAGATCTTTTGAGAAACAATTCTCGTTTAGAAACAACTTATGCTGCCATTGTTTTACAAGCTTTCCAATTTTGTTTAACTTACAACCGTAAAGTTGAATTCAGAAAATTGTGTGAAATGTTACGTGCTCATATCCAATATGCTACCACTCAACAAAAAGCTGGTACTAAAGCTTTGAATGCTATTGGTTTACAAGATCCTGAAACTTTACAACGTTATTTGGATTTACGTTTCCATCAATTGAATGCTTCCGTCAAATTAGAATTATGGCAAGAAGCCTTCAGATCAGTTGAAGATATTCATTCACTGATCAATCTTTCTAAACGTCCAATTAAACCAAACATGATGGTTAATTATTATGAACATTTAGCTAGAATCTTTTTGGTTGCTGATAATGGGTTATTCCATGCTGCTGCTTGGCACAAGTTTTTCAATCTGTACTCTCAATCACCAAATGCTACAGAGGAAGAATTGGCTCGTTATTCATCAATTTTCTTGTTGTCAACTTTATCAATTTCTCAAGAATCTTTCAACACTGATTTGAGTGAAGAAAATGCTAAACAATCAAATCAGTTCTTATCATCTTTGTTAAACTTACCAAAAATCCCAACTAGAGAATCATTAATCCAATATGCCTTGAATAAGAATGTTTATGATTTTGTTGCTCCTTCAGTTAAGAAATTATTTGAATTATTAGAAACTGATTTCCATCCATTATCAATCCGTCAAAGTTTGAATGAAGTTGTTGCTGAAATTGAACAAAATGAATCATATGCTCCATACATTAAACCATTGACTAAAGTTATCATGACTCGTTTATTTGAACAAGTTTCTCAAGTTTATGAAACTGTTAAATTAGATTTCTTGATTCAATTAGCCACTTTCCAAGGTAAATTTGAAGTTTCACCATTAGAAATTGAAGGTTTCTTGTTGAATGCTGGTAAGAATGGTCAATTATCATTTTACATTGATCATGATGCTGATGTTATTACTTTCCGTAGTGATCCATTTGATAATGCATTACATCCATCAATTTCATCATTACAAACTTCACCAGCTGAATTGGTTCGTTCACAATTATCCACTTTGGCAAACACTTTGTATTCATCAGTTAAATACATTGATCCAACTTATTCTGAAAAACAAAATGCTATTCGTGAACGTTTAATTGCTTCAGCCACTGAAGCTTTAGCTAAAGAACGTGAAGAAATTGAAAGATCTCGTGAAATTTTGGCTAAACGTAAAGAACAAGCTGAATTGGAAAAGAAGGAACGTGAAGTTGAAGCTGCTAGATTAAGACAACAAAAGATTGAAGAAGAAAAAGCTGCTGCTGCTGACCGTGCTAAAGCTGAAGCTGAACGTCGTATTCAAGAAAAAATTCAACGTGAACAAGAAGCTGCAAAGAAATTGGAGAAGGAAAACCTTATTTCAGAAATCAACAAGAAGGGTATTATTCAATTGGATGCTGATCAATTAGAAGATCTTGATGCTGATAAATTACGTGTTATGCAAGTTGAACAATTAGAAAAAGATAAGAAAGATTTGGAATCTCGTTTACAATCATTATTCAAAAAATTGGACCATACAGAAAGAGCTTATAGACAATATGAATTACCATTGTTGGAAAAAGATGCTTTGGTTCAAAAAGATGAAGATTTGAAAAATTTCGAAGCTTTCAAGGCCAAGAAATTGGCTGCTGCTAAAAAGGAACATGAAGAAGCTATTCAGTTACGTGATCGTTTATCCAAGATTGTTACCGATTATAGTAGTTTCAGAAATGAAATTGGTTCAGAAGCTGCTGCTAAAATTGAAGCTTTGAAGAAGGAAAAAGCTGCTGCATTAGAAGCTGCTAAGAGACAACGTATTGAAAAGATCCGTCAAGAACGTTACGAACAAAGATTGGCTGAATATAAAGTTGAATTAGAAAGACAAGCTCAAGAAGAAGAACGTATCAAGGCTGAAAATGCCAAAGCTGAAGCCGAAGAAAAGAAACGTGCCAGCTTACAGAAACTACGTGAAGAACGTGAATCAACCAACAGAGAATTGGATGCTCAAGCAGCTAAGCAAAGAGAAGTTGAAGCTATGATTGAAGCTAGATTGAAAGGTAAATCAACACCTGCTGCATCTCCAGCACCAGCACCAGCACCAGCTGCTGATGGTCCACCAAAACCAATGACTTATGCTGAAAAGATGAGATTGAGACGTCAACAAAGAGGAAACTGAATCTTTTCAATATAATACAAAAATGTTATAAATGTGTTTTAAAATGCTTGAAATTGTAGTTTTAAATGGCAGTGTCTAGATTCTGCTGCGCATACCGCCAAAAAATGAACGACACGTCCAACGAAAAAAAAACAAAACAGTGAAATTCACATCAACAACTTTTAATACGCTAGAACCCTCAAATACAATAACCACAATGTCCACCTTCTTTGACGAACAAAAAAAATCATTCGTTGACGTCCCAGTCACCGACGGTAAAATCTCCACAGCTGAATTCCTTGATGCTTCAGAATCATTGATCAAATTATTTGGTATGTGGTGTTAAACGTTCCTGCATTTTCTTGTACTAACTGAATCCCCCTAAAGATTTATTAGGTTCCACTGCATTCACTGTTGTTAAGAATGATTTACAAGGTAATGTCACAAAAGTTCGTACTCGTTTATTGGAAACACCTGATAAATCAGCCACTTTACAAGATTTAGTATTGAATGAAATTGCTGAGAAAAAATCCAAAACTGCTACCCAAGGTTTATTATGGTTATCAAGAGGTTTACAATTCACTGCTCAAGCCATGAGCGAAACTGTTGATAATAAAGATAAAGAATTGAAGAAAACTTTCACTGATGCTTATAATAAAACTTTGGTTAAATATCATTCATTTGTTGTTAAACCAATCTTTAAATTAGCAATGAATGCATGTCCTTATAGAAAAGATTTTTTTGAAAAATTGGGCCAAGATCAAGAAAAAGTCTTGAAACAATTGATTGAATGGTTAGAAGCGTTAGAAAGTATTGTTAAAATCATTTTTGAATTTTTCGAAAGTGGTAACTATGGTAAAGGTTTATAGATGAAACTTTGAATACAAAAAGTCATTAATGGAGTATCAAATATTTGTAAACTACACGTAATTATTAACAGTTCATTTTTATTGTCAACTAGTAAAAGATTAAAACAAGGTAAAAGATAAATTTAAAAGAAACAAAAAAAACGTACAAAGTACATTTATAAATACAGATTCTCAAGCTTGACCCCAAAATTCCAATTGAAAACAACATATCACCTTCACCACAAGATATAACCCCTTTTTTCTTTGAAATTTGATTTATTTGAATAAATAGGAAAAAGAAGAATTAAAAATATTAGTCATTATTATCAAAAAGGGTAATGATAATAAACATTAAATAAACTTGTGAATGAGTGTTGATGATGAGTCCAAAACAAAGTAATAGCATCAATATTGAAGAATCACATTAGAGATGTAACAGAAGATATGAAAAAAAAGGTAAAAGATTATATGAAAGAAGACAATAATATTGATATATTGGTTTTTTGATTGTTATGTGATTATTTTTTGTTCAAAAAGTGTATGTGTCAACTTATAATAAAGCTAAAACAACAGCAGCGATACCACTGAAGATTGAAGTAGCTTGGAAGACAACTAAACCAGCAGCATCACCTGAAGATCTTGATGATGATGAACCTGATGAACCTGAACCAGTGGATGAGGATGAACCTGAACCAGTTGATGAACCTGAACCTGAAGTTGATGATAAAGCAACAGAGGTTGATGATGAAGCAGCTTTACAGACATAAGCATCACCTTGGATAGCAGATTTTTTCTTGTTGAATTCATCACAATCAAATTCATCTGATGATTCAATTTCCATACCACCTGAAACTCTCTTCAATGATGGTAATGAAGCATTAGTAAAGTTACCAACAAAGACAACGGCACCACCAACAGTTTCTAATGAGTCGAAACCTTCAATATCTTTCAAGTGAGTGTTGTTTGAGATATCGAAACCACCACCAATAGAAGTCAAGTTTGATAAATCAATTTCTTCCAATTCATCATTTGAAACAAAAGTTAAAGAACCACCAACTGAACCCAAGTTTGAGATTTCAATTTTATCTAATGAAGTGTTGATGAAACCTAATGAAGCATTAACAGTTTCTAATTTTGATAAGGAAATTGAAGAAATATCACGGAAAGTAATATTGTTAGCCCATTCCAAATCATCGAATGAAACTTCAACTTCATCAGCATTGTAGGAAACTTCTAAAGCAACTTTAACATTTTGTAATTGAGAATCAATAGAGTTCAAGTTTTTGTTGTTGTTAACGTTAAAAGTATCTAATGAACGAACATCAAAACCACTTAAAGTTTCTAATGAAGTATCTGAAATGTATAAAGAGTTAATTTTGGTAATACCAGTGTTCAAAGAAATTTCATTCAAAGCTGGTAAAGTAACAAAGTTAACTGAACCAACAGTGGTTAATTGTGGGAATTGTAAAGTGGATAAGATGGTTAATGAAGTTAAAGATAATTTTTCAGTAACAGTGGTCAATGAACCAGCACTGAAAGAACCCAAGCTGGTGGCATTGTTGATGATCAAAGAACCGTAAATAGCTTTAACATGGTCTAATGAAGCACTGCTTAAATCACCAGTAATGGTTAAATCACCTCTTAAAGCTTCACAGCTAGAATATTTGTCTAAATCTGATTGGGATGAAGCAGTGGCTGATGACAAAGAACAACCAGAAGCGATTGAGTATGATGAAGCAGCAGAGGCAGCAGAAGCACTTGAAGTGGTGACATCTAAAGTTCAAAGTTAGTATTAAATTCTTTATAATGGTTTTGTTTACCGGTTATTCATGTTAATGTGTGCCCTACCAAACGGCCGGAACTCAAAACGGACACGCTAAAAATAGACTCCTTTGAAAACTCATTTTTAGTGTGGGAAATGAAAATAAATCAAATGCCATAGAATTGACAGGTTTTGATAACTGAATGAAATGGAAATGATAATTGGATAATACCATCATTTGGAATTGGCTGGCTGTTGATCATCATCAGAGTAAATCTGTTTACTTTTCCCTTGTAGTTTTTTTTGACCTTTGTATCTTGAAAAAACTCGAGATCCAAATTTTTTTGGCCAAACAAGGTAATCAGTGAAAATCAACAAAACATCAACTTTTATATAACAAAAGCATACTAAAAGTTAGATGACTATAATGCCTGTAGCTCAAAGATTCCAAAACTGCAGTAAAAATAATAAAATTCCCAATAATCTGTGAGAAATCAATTCCAATTCCAAATCTGGCGGTAACAAAAACAAATGAAAAAGGTAAACACAAAACTAAATAAAGTCAATACTCACCATCAGCAGCTAAAGCTAAAGAAGCAAAAGCACCAGCTAATAAGACTGATTTGAATTGCATTGTGATCTTTAAATATATTCTCAAACGAAGGAAAAGAAACGAAATTGAATATTTGTTATTGGGAAGAATTCAAAGAAAAAAATAATGTGGAACTATTTCAGTAAATCAAATGGGAAATTGTAAAGTAACGATTGAACTTTTGATTTAAATGGAAACAGGACGTTTGAGTAGCGATTATTCTTTTCAAAGTCAACAAAGCAAAATAGAGAAAAATTCCTTTCTTTCTTGTGTTTATGGGAAACGAGAGAAGTATAAATATGAAAAAAAGGGAGAAATTTATTGGGAAATCTCAAAGATTTTTTTTTTTTTTTAATTCTCACGTTGGACAAATTTTTTTTCTTCTTGTTGCCGATTTCGTCGTTTTGTGCCCGATTGGGAAAGAAGACAACAAGGCGCGCATGTCGAGAAGCTGGATCAGGAAACCAGATTTTGGGCTCATAAAAGCGTAAAAAGAGTGAGGTTTTTCACTAGTTAGGTACTTAAGGTGCCATAGTTATATCTTTAGTTAGTTTGTACCAAGTAGAATGCTTTTTTGTGTAGGTTCTGAAGTGATTCTTTTATAGTAAATAAGGTGGGCGATGTTTTCCATTCCTCTACGTCGAGTCTAGTTTTCGCAAATGAAAAGGAATGTCACTTTTTTGGTGCCCATCAAGGATCAAGATCTGTCTGCTGGAGTACGTAGCTAGGCTGGAAATGGTGGGTGGGTCCCAGAGCCTATGGCAACTACGCTTCACATCAGACATAAACAAACAAACAAACACAAAACACAAACAAAACACAGGGCCAACAAGGCCAAGTCTATATAAGAGAAGAACCCATGGAGAGTTGTTCTTCGTATGCTACAGTGGGTTGGTCCGAGGAATCATCCTAGTAATGGATAGGCGTGGAGTTATGAAGAAGAGACTGGGAGACTAATTGTTCCTTCCGTCTCACGACATTTGTCGACTGTGTAAACGTGAACCCGTCGCGAGTCTTTTGAAAAATATCAAACCATGGAAACCATAACAACAGTGAAGCCCATGATGCACAAATTCTTTGATGAATTCACAGACTTTTCTCACTTGTGCTTTTGTAGAACCAGTCACTTTTTGAAAAGTCAAGTGTGCTAAATTTGCAAGAAACTTGAGCTTTTCAAAATCTGCCATGCAAGTTGGTGAACGGTTCCTTTCCAAATGGTGAGCACACTAGTCGAACCAACATTTTGATACTTGACTACGAAATTGAAAACAGAGTAGGCTGGAAGAACTTGATGTACATGTTCCTAAAAATGAATAATTCTTGAACGTCTTTAGATTTGTACCTGAAATACGTTCAAGAAATCTTGAAATCAACAGCATCGAGGTTCCTGCTTTGCAAAGATGATTCTTCGATCTCCAGTAAAACAACTACTCCTTCAAGTAACTGGAATTACCTAGAGCGTGTAGCCCTTTCTACACCCTTTCAAAACAAGCCAGCATCAATCATTGTTCAAATATTAAAACTAATACCTTTTTTTAATCAATTGTAGTTATCGTGTGGAATTGTGTCTCACGCTGGATATTGTTTTCTCCTTGTGGGGATTTTCAGGGGCTTGAGCACAATTTCGCGAATGAAATTTGTACAGAACGAATTCGCGAGTACAAAAAATTATAAGAAGAAAAAAATTATACGCGATGTTTTCTCTGACGAAGATAATAAAAATGGTTAAATCAAATTATTGAGTTCCATCCAATTACCACAATGAGATCAATAACTGTAATCCTTCAAGTCAAGAAGACATGTCTGTTCTTTATGACTTTCTAGAAGTCTATACTCAAGAAGATGAGGATGATTTCAGTTTACTTGAGGATCCAAAAACAGCTCCGTTAAGTGCATTACCTGTTGACCTTCAAAGCAATCCTTCAAGTACTTTTTCATCAAGTCTTTTGAGTACCTCAACTAAGGCAACTTCAATTTTGGAAGAGTCATTCAAGCACAATTTCTTATGCAGTCAAAACAATAAGGCATTATCGTTATTATCAAATGTATCAAACCCAAATTCTAAAGATGCAACTTCGTTAGATGAATTGAATGGTATAAATTTAGAACTTTTAACTAAAAGAGAAAAGAAACAATTGAAAAATAAGTTTCAAAAAGATTATCATGTTAATTTTTACAAAGCTGATTTCTCTACAACATCATCACATTTCGGCTCAACATGGGATAAAGCTCATAAAGAGTTGGTTCAATCAGATTGGGAAAGAATCAAGTTCTTAGCGAATCCACCAGCAAAACAACAACAACAACCAAGCTCTTCATGAGCACACTAGCCTACTTTTTGTATACTAAAAGGCCTATTAATATATCAAACAATGGGTTTTCTCTTGGACTAAGTCTTTGACATATGTAACTAATTTATCATAAGCAGTAATTTACTAAAAATAGTTGACAGCTAGATGAGCACTTTCCAATTTTGGAAATTCGGCGTATTTTCACAACCGAGTTTGAGACGTTGTGCGAAAAAATTACAGTTTTTTGCGCAAAAAAAAAGTAGAGGCTGTGTGAAAGAAAACTAAAACCACAAAACACGACAAACACGACAACGTGAAATAGTTGACAATCAATTAGATCTTCAAATATAAAAAACGATCAATTAAAAAAAAATAAATAGCACACCAGCAAGCATAGAAAAACGAACAGTGTCAAAAGTTGTGATAAAAAATCTTGTATAGACAATACTCAACTGGACAGTCCAATTGCAGCATCACCAATTAGTTTCACAGACAAATAATATTAATAGTTTATAAAAAATAAGTAACAGCTCAAATTATTGTATAATGTTTATGACTCATTTGATGTTAATTGGTAACTTGGGGTCCCTTATATTGTGCAGTTCTTTGGATTAATCTTACATCAATAAAGCAACACCAGCAGCGACAGCAGCACCAATGGCACCGGCACCAGCAGCGTTCAAACCAGCAGCATTGGAACCAATGCTACCTGAACCACTGCTTCCTGAGCTACCACCACCACCGCTTGATGAGTTAGATGATTGAGCTGAAACGACAGCAAAAGTTGTAGCAGCGAAGACGACTAATTGTGATAATTGCATTGTTGAATAAGTGTTTGTTGTTCTTATTAGTTGTAATTAATAAAACAAATGTTTGTAAAGAACAAAAAAGATTGAAAAGAAAGAAAGTTTCCAAACTGGCACATACTCCCTATATATATACCCTACAACAAGGTAAAATTTTTCATCATACTTTGTTGGCTATATGTGTGGGCAGTTCAAATTTACAGCTTGTGATTTTCCATTCAATTGCTTTGTTTGCTATAATTTTTACCCTTGATAGCTATGGTGAGATGGGAAATCCAAGAATTATTGTTGCTCTTAACACCAGGGATTGAGTGTCTCTACAAGATATGATACTTTCTTACTTAAATGCTTAGCAAGCTTGTGGCAAAATTTCAACATGAATGGATAAAGTTTTCTATGCGTTGGTTGAATTAAGAGAATAATTGTCTATATTTAGAAGATATTAGCTTCCTTTAATAGGAAATGTGATAACGTGCATTTTGCTAGCATAATTGATCAAACGTTTTCTTTAATCAAATTGTTGAGAAGGTTGATTGTGTTAGGTTTGTACAACAACCATGATATAACACCACACAAGTATGACCAAATTCCACATATATTTTACCCTCCTCCACATGTTATAGGGACCGTAATCAGTGGAAGGGAGTGTTCCAATTTCATTCTTATCATGGGTTAATATACTAGTGCTATGTAATTGTCAATGTATGGCTAGTGATGCGTTGAAAGTAATTAGATATAGCCCACGGTTATATGACAAACTGATTCAATATTAGCCGGCTGGGGAACTGGCTCTTTGAACTTTGAACCCTTTAATCATTGTATAAATTGCTTCAGCTAGTTGCCAATCAATTTGATTTATCATAATCAAGTTGATCAATCACGTACAGTTGATTCAACTTTCTACTTTTTTTGAAGCACCTAACTTTCCTTCAGCAGTCTAGACTTCAAAGTTACGTCGGCGTGTGTCGTATCCCTAGACATCTTGACAATTACTGAGTTAATATAACACCTCTTCATTCGAATTGTGTAGGTTTAATTAATCAACTTCTTCGGACTGCATAGACTCCAAGCTCTGTATCCATCTTCCATCTGTTTGAAGTACCCCTATTTATCTCACAAAAAGCCCAATTTGCAAGCATTTAACCATCCTCGAAACATTAAAATTTCACTTTTATGTCATAGTAGAGCAATATTATTACAACCCACTCTTTAACAAGAAGTTTAACTTCTTATTTCTTCGGTATGAATGTTTCTCTTCACAATAAAGGTGTCCCTATATCATTTTTTTGATTGCTTTAATTATGTAAGGGCTGATAAGATAAGAGATTATGTCACTAAGCATGTGTAGATTATATAATACAGAGTCACGTTTTTCTTTCAAGCGAGATCACGTGAATAAAGGAAATTATCGGATTTTTTCGAGGCCAAAAAACGTACAAGCGAGCTCATTTCTACGTTCATGTCCGAATTCGGTGCTACAATGTTCGAATAGGCCGCCGCGCATATCCTAGTTGTTTGGAGTTGAAGAGAAGTTTGAAGTTGAGATCTCAATCACTGGTACACTACACCTTGATCGTGAATGAGTTCATTAGCCACTTGTCAAGTTAAGGCTCAAGAGTTGGAACTTGGACCTTGGTGAAAGTTTTGTCTAGGCGTCCCTTTAAGTCTACCTTCATCATGTACTGGTTCGAATATTAATAAACTTGAGCCAGAATCAGATGCAATTAATATTTAAGAAATGATGCTCCAGAGTGCTTTCAGGTGCTCGTGAATTAGTTAATTACTTGCAATACACGAGATCATGCTGAGCTGCTAGATCAGTACAAACTAGTGACTCTCAGAGCGCTGCAATGTATTAGATTACAATAATCACTATCCCGTTAGACCTACCAAAGTACAATAGTAAGTATTACCTACCAAAATGCTTTAATAACGTGCAACTTGTTATATGTCAGCTAAAATTTTGAGTCGCTACATGATCGTTCAATGATAATGTGCTGTAGTGTAATTGAATTGGAAGGACGTATGTCGTCTATTAGATGGTTTCTAGAAGTCGACTACAGCTTTGGCGCCTGATATTAATTTGGTTATAATTTCTTCAATATTCAAGATGGTTAATATATATATATACTCGATGTAATTGAAGTCAAATTATCTGGTGGCATGGATATTCATATATTGATATTAATTAAATTTATATACTTCGGTATATTGATGGTGAAGGACGACGTTGCTCTAGCTCTAGACGTAGCTAATATCCACAAATTAATTGAATTACCATGAACCAATTAATAGCGTCCTTAAGTCGACTAGCTTCGACAAGATAATCATTAACAATATTATGAACTTTGGAGCTCCAACCTGACTAGTCCAGCTGTCAATGAAATACTGTAAAGGCAGGGTCCTATTGTAAGATGCGATCGTGGCATCAAGTGATCAAATAATATTCGACAAGAAGAACCATGATTGTACAAGCTGGAATATTATACTGAACGTCTTGGACATGATCATGAATTCTCCAGCCGCTGGGAACCGTGAATTAATTGTACACTGGTCCAAAAGTCAAGGCTCAAGTCCAGATTTAAATGACAGTATAATTTGTACAGCTCGAACAATCAACAGCTAGCCGTTAAGCAAGTTTGAACTCTAAAGACTATTTGAGATCCAAACACGACCTGTTAATTATGACACCGCGGTAGTATTGATCTGAATCTGGTTATCCTTGATTCTACCGAAGCATCGACATCCTTCATAGTTAGCAAACGCTCGCTGACGAGGTTGTGTTTGATTCGAAGGAGGTTCAACCGTCAACGGAGCTGGGGAATAATGGCCAGCCTATCATGAGCTTTGAAAGAAGACGTCTTATATCCTTGTGTATTTATAGGTTACAATTTACGCACAAATGATAGATCTTCGACAGTTAGCATGATGATTTTGTTTGGTCCGGGAAATGAAGAGATTAATTACATACAAATTGGGATCCTCAAACAGTCTTTGAAGTTTGATCTCATCCCAATCTGACTCTTGATTTGTTATAACCGAGAACACCAGCCAAAATGGATAAACAATCCAGTCATGTCTTGGATCAACCAACAGAAACTTTGGGAGATTACCGAGAGCTCATGTCTGTAATTTATACAAGGTTTTAAACCAAACACTTCAGAACTTGTTCAAAGAAAATCTTTTCCATCCAGGCTCAAACTTCAAGAACGCTTCACAGGTAGAATTTTGAAAACCTCTTGAAAAAATTACATAGCAAAAAGCCAGCATATGTACGATGGAACAAGTTACACTAACTCAAAAGTGTAGATCCTTGGTAGATTCATATACAAACTAAGTTTGATAGTGCATGTACGTATGACAACGTTCGTAGGAGTTGACTTGAAATATACAGGGGAAAAACTACAACTGTAAATTATTTTATCGTTGATCGTTGTTTAAAACTAGTTTTTAAGGAAGCGATCGACACTATCATGCATCTCGGATCAGGGTAAAGACTTCATACAGGCATGAAATGCCTGGGCTCGATGCCAGTCTGTGTGAAAATATTTTGTGCAAAAATCCTTAAAAATCCATTCTTGGAAAGATGAAGTACCTTTGAACTGGTGAGAACAGTCAATTATCAGGATACTTTTATCAATGGTTTTAGCCTAAATCTGAGATATCAAACCTCAAGGCTCACACTACTGAGTTATTACGACTACGAAGCACTCTTGTGATCATGATATTTTTTTTAAAGAGTAGATGTGTTTCATAAATCATGTTACTCTCTGCCTGTTCATCAATCAAACGTGTACCCATAGACGGCTACCTACATAGTTTAACAGAGTTTTGTGTCCACTGTTGATTGTCCATTTCAATTTCACACCTAAAGCGTTTCGTAATTTTTCATCTCAGCCTGAAGGTGGGCTAAATTTGATCAATAGCATGTACACTTTGGCTCGTGAAGTTCAAACTCTGCCAGGGAGATCGTCCGCCTACTGGGTTCTGCCTACCGCCTACATATCTCTGCCTAGAGAGCAAGTTGGGCTTGGTTCAATTTCAAAACTTCAAGAAAAATTCAAACTGTGGGAAAAGTTCACCAGAACCTCAAACTAGAACTACCAACCAAAGGAGAATTGTTCACCGAGAATAGGTCCAACGTTTAATGTAATTCCATTTCAAGGTAAAATATTGTACCAATTGAGAATATTTTGAAAATTCTTCAATTTTGTTAGAGAGAGAATCTTTCAGTTCAATCAGTGAACATTCAAAGCTAAAACTTGAACTTGAAACTAAGGTTAAACAAGCGATAAACACCAGAAGACTGTTACAACTACAGTTAAATCAAGGTAATTGTTGAAGTGTAGCAATTCAACTAAAACCAAGTCAAAATGTTTCAATGCCTTTTCAACTTTGAAGAGAAAACTTTCATCTTTTGACCAATAACTACATCAAACTTAAGTGTAGTATAATGCCCATCACCGCCATCAACCTGCTGAACTTGAAACAATGTACAAAGTTCAAACCTAGGAACCAACAGCCTTATATCACCGAAATCGCTGTAAAAGTAGTTCAAAAGTTTGAATTAATGGTACATCTTTGTGTTGTTAAAAGCGAGCAGCTTGAAATATTCGATGGTACCAACTTGAAACCGTTGCATTCATCTTTTGTGAAACCTAAAATTTCACGAGCTGGAAATGTTGAACATCAAAGGTTTGAACTTTGTGACATGACACACTTAAAATATGCCTATACAGGGACCAGATATCAAAGTGTAATCAGATTGCATACAAATTAACAAATCATGTAGTTTTGTCATGGTTTCAGGTTTTTTTTGTGCAAAAAATCTTTCAAAGTCACCATGTTCATGTACCATTTTGATTAATTTCATGCACTAGGGATTCGGGATGTAGCGTAGTTTTGAGCGAAGGTAGGCTTTTCGCTCGATCTAAATCTCGCTTAAAGGCTTTGTTGAATGGATAGAGTACAAGAAAGAAATCATAAAAGCTTATATAGATGAGAAATCACAACGTTAATAGACTCTCTATAGGCTATGAATTTCATCTCATCATCATCATTGCTAAACTACGTAGCAAGGGTTCGCGAAATATATAAAACGAGGTTTTCGAAAAAAAAAAACCACCTGTCAATTACTCTCGAGTCAGAATCAACTTCAAAAAAACCTACATCAATTACGTTTAAGTCATAGACTATACTTGAAAAGCCTATTTAGAGCGAGAAAGAACATTCTTGAATATACCCTGTTACTTTCAAATTAGAAAGAGCTCGTGTGAAGTGTTTTGTGTTTAGTTGCAGGTCAAGTCCGAAAAGATGTCATTTGTTCCAATAATTTTTGGTAAAAAAGATATGGATTCCAGAATAGATGGATATCCAAACAATTTACCATGTCCAAATTGTCATAATCAAAGTGTTGAGCCAGTAAAGAGGAAAGAATTTATAAGTTTTTGGTGGATTCCACTCATTCCAATGTATTGGGGCAAACAATTAAAGTGTAACACTTGTTCTTGGAGACAGGATGTGAATAAAGAGGAGCTGGAGAAATATGGGATTAAGCATGGGGGTTGAAACTCGAGCCTAGAGCAATTCCTTCTAGGCGGAGAGCTCTCTGCCTAGCACTGGTTTCAAATCCTGCCTAGAGTGCCCAGCTGGGTAGAGGAGGATTTAGACGGATAAGAGCTGGTGTTGTTGAGGTTTTGAAAATTGTATGTATGTGAGGTTATGCATGCAGGAGCTGCATTTTTTGTGCCGAATATTTTTACAGTTTTTTTATTTTTTTTTTATCCCAATTCTCAAACGCTGGTGAAAGTTTATTTGTATGGAGTTTACTCTGAAAATTTATGTCAAAAAAGAAAAAGAGTCAGAAAGAAGCATGAGATGTTGAATTATCAAGATTCAGAATTTGATTTATTTAAATATAAAGATATGTCATGAAAAAAAAAAAGTCTTTATGTACCCATTTGCTTTTGTAGTTGAAGAGAGTATACAATAACAACAAGACGTCACACAAACATCAATATGAACTTTGAACAATCATACCTTGATGATTTCATGAACAATGACTATATCAATATAGATCTTGATAAATTCAGCATCCCTTTAACAGGGAGTGAAGATTTACTAAGTCAATCAGATTTCAACAATGAGCTATATCAAATCATATCAAATAATAGTTCAATATCAACACCTTCATCTTCAGGCTCATTTTCAAGTGCAACTAGTTCCAACTACAATTCATTAACAAGAACTAGTACCACAACACCAGCTCCTACTCATACACTCGGATTTAGTGAAGCTGAAAATAATATATATTCAACTAAACTTGAAGAATCTTTAATTGATTTGAATTCAATGATAAAAGATTCAGGATCTACTTTAAACTATTTGGACTACTCAACATATTCATCACCTTTAGAAACAAACTCAATAGCTGCATCACCAGCAAATTTACTAGAGTTCAAATTCCAAACTCAACAACTTTCAGCTTCAAGACCTCAAACACCTGCAAATATTGCAATGAAAGTTAACAATACACCACAAACACCAGCATTAACTCATCAAGATGCATCTATCCAAAGTCGTAATTCATCAATTTCTTCACAATCATCCTCATCACAAACTCATTCATCTTCATCTTCAAAGAAAAATCTTGATTCAAGATTATCATTACAAAAATTGGGTGAATTGTTGAATACATCATCAATTGAAGAAACTATGAAGATTGAAAAATTCATACTAGATATCTTTGGAAAAGAATTAGGATTCCCATTAGGTTATAAAACTTGGATAAGAGATACCAATGAAGAATATAGAAAATATCTAATCAATGAATTACATACAAGAGCCTCAAAAGTTTATCCAAAATTAACTAAAAGTTTATTAGAAACTGTTATTAAAAGGGCAACTTATTCAATGATGCAAGGAAGATTAAGAAAAGAAAGAAGAGCAGCTTTAAAAGCTAAAAGATCAGTTAAAAACTAGGTACATTAATGTTAATTTTGTTGTATTATAATTGGTTTTTTTCTTTCTTTGGTTTCATTGGGTAATATATAATTTGGTTAGTTGTTTTCATTGGGTATTCTTGTGTTTATTAGGTGCATTTTTTCAAGTCATAATCGTTAATAAAGGGTGTAATAGAAGGTTGTGTGTTTTTGTCATTGATTCGTGTTGGTTTTTTCTATTTGTCATTAATAAGATTTTAATTATTTGTTCTTTTTCCGTCTTGACCTAGTCTTGGAGTATTTATTTGTCTGGTAATTTGTGAATAGTATGTTTATCATCGTTTTAATTTAATTTAATTATTCATTTGTTAGTGATTTTGTAGGGAATTGATTTCATTCAGTTCCTTGGATTAACTCGTCAGTTTACTCGTCAAAAGTTGCAACTTCATTAGATGCTCTAGGATGTCGTATCCAGACGCCTTAACAGCAACACAACTGACATAAACCGTTAGATAACGTTGTTTCTCTCCATTCTCAAACAGATAACCATGTCAAAGCCATAAACTTCAGTATATCCAATGCAAAATAACGTCTTGAACATCATGGCCAATTGACAACTTCTACAAACTAGAGCACGAGTTAATCAAGCTGATCGAAGAGTCTCCGCAGCCAATGGGAATCTCTTAACTTCAAATGAAACTAGCTTTGAAAATAGAAACCATCATCATCATCAGTTGTAACCAGGCTAATCCTTATGAATGTTATGTAAGATTCTCTCCAATGTTACATAATCGTAAATATTTTTAATTTTAAATTTCGCGAATTACGTCACAAGCGATTTTCTCGCTTGATTTTTTTTTTCTATGGGGAAACTGATCGAAAGCCATTCGAAAAAGCATTCAAGTAGCAATTTGAACATCAACAACAACAACAACACCACCCAGCAACACCAAGCTTAAGCTACAGATATCAGAGTATAGACTAAATTAAATGGGTAACAACGCCTCGTCCATCCCTAATAACATCAGAAGAAAATCTTCTGTGTCAAGAGGACATCAAAGAACTTCATCAAGTGAAGGACATGGTGGTAATAAATCTAGTCATCAACATTCAGAATATCTAAGTCCAAGACAAAGTCATCAATTGCCTATAAATACGGATAAGGGTTATCCACCTCCTTATAAACCAAAAGCTATAGTATCTCCTAATGTTTTCATTGATCATTTAGCAGATAATGACTATTTTGGAAAGATTGATGCTGGTGGTGGTGCCACTGGAGTTGGTGATTTTGGAAGTGATGTTGAAAGGAAAGGAAGTATTGGTGGTGGTGAGATAAGTGAAGTTTTAACTTCAGGGTCTTATGATGATGATTATGATATTGATGAGGATTTGATTAATAAAGATGGTGTTGGTGTTTCAAAAGAACAAAGAGAAAGTAATGAATATAAAAATGTTTTGATAAAATATGTGAATTATGAGGATACAACAGGGTCAAGTGATCATGGAATTGGTTCAACACAGGTTTATTTGATAACTTCTTTTAATAATTGGTCTAAAAAACTGAAATTGGAGAGAGATTTTGATGGTGTTTATAAAATCATGATTACTTTACCATTGGGGATCTATAAAGTTAAATTTTTGGTTAATAATGAGATCAAATACAGTGAAGATTTACCAATAGCTACTGATAAATCTGGTAATGTTGTTAATTGGTTTGAAGTTGATGACATAGAAGGAAGTGAAGAAGTTTTTGAAGCTGGTGTTATTGAACAGCACAAGATTAGTAACAATAAGAGAAAATCTTCAACTTCATTCCTACACACCCAACAACAACAGGATCCTAAGTCAACATCACAATTCTCATTAGATCAACCAAACTTGAAGAATAATGAAACTTATTCACAAGAGATTCCTGAAATTTTCCATCAATCTGATGAAATATTACCAGTTGATGAAGAATTCTTACACAAAAATCCAATTCCTGAATTACCAGTGTATCTTAATAACAACATTTTGAACAAACATTTCAATACTCATCATTATAATCAAAGTTCAGATACAGCTCAATTACAAAATAATCAGAAAAGAAAGATTTCATCATCTGGATTAAACTCACATATCATTCCCCACGTTAATTTGAATCATTTACTCACGTCAAATATCAAAAATAACGTGTTGAGCGTTGCTTGTACAACTCGCTATTCAGGGAAGTTCATCACACAAATCATGTATTCACCTTCGGAATAATTTATAATTACTACCTTTTAGCTGGTCTAGGGTGGTCTTGGCTAATAAACAATGATATAACTAATAAACAATGATGCACAACTAGTTGACTCAAACTAGGTCATTTGCTGGAGAATTGTAGCCGTCCATCAAAATTCATGCGATTGGTATCCTGAAACCTGGAGTAATCCTGTTTATAATAGTTCATCTCTCTTCAATATCGTGATTTCAAATTCCTTTGGCGTAAATAAAAATCGCGGATAAACTGAACCAGGCAGAGGTCACTGGTTGACGCACAGGCGGAGGTCAGCCTGGGGATGCTAGGCAGGGCTCCTTGTAAACGATTGGCTGGCTTAGGCAAGGGTCCTCTCTCGGTACGGGAGGGCTTAGGCAGAGGTACACACAAAATTACGCGTTATGGAAAAATTTAAATAGCTCAAAATGTTTAGAAGTATAAACTTTTAAAAGATAAAAACAATCCTTAATTTTTGGTGTTGATCCTATTGTTAATAATCATATACGAATTCATGAAGAGACTAAAGTGAAAGAGCTGGCATAATCATACTAATAACAACCCCATGATTAATATAACATGTCTTCAATACCAACCTTCATTTATAAAGATTTTGAAGAATCAACAACGTATAACTACAACAAAGTATGGAATTGGTACTTGAATAACTTGAAAAATGGTGAATTTGAACAACTGCTACATAATACAAAGAACTCCACACAACTTGATCAATTCATAGATGATTTAAATGATGGTGTGACGTTAATACTGATAATTCCAAACATTATTAATTCAACTATATTATTACAAGATTTATTAACAAAATTCTTTGAACAAAATGGATCTCAAGCCCCTATAGAAGTCACAATAACGAACCTGGGTCTTTTAAAACAATCACAATCATCAATAATAATGGCTTCTTCAAATGTCATAAATAACACAGATCTAAAATCTCAGCAGTTTTCATTTGGTCCATTATCAAATTATAATCAAGCTGTTGAATTGAACTCAATTATATCTGGTGAATCTGGCTATACACCAAGTGAAATTGATCAACCAATTGAACCAACAGCTCCTACAACAATAAGTTCTTTATCTCATAATGACATGATTGATGATTCAGAAAGTTCAATAGATTCATTCCACCCATCAGGTTCAATCCCACCAAGTCCAAAATATTCATTAACAAGAGTGACAACTATTCAAAATGATGGCTCTTTGACTCATGTTCCTAATACCCCTAATTCCTCAGAGATCAATTCACCATTAATTCAAGTGGAGACCAAAGAATCTGAAGATATTGGAACTACAGATGATGAAGAAGGTAAAGATGATGTTGAGAGTTCTTCATTCGTTGGTGATGTGGAGAGTCATGATGTGAATAGCGTTGTTTATTCAGATGACAGTTCTATAGAATCATTGGATTATGTGCCTTCAATGATAACGGCAAGGACAAAGAAATTAAACGTGAGGTATAAATTAATATTGAATAATATCTTGTTTAGAGATGAGAATAAAGAGAGAAGAACTGCAATTAGACAAAATGATGAAGATGGAATGTGTGATGATTGGCTACTGTATGATTCTAATTTCCGGATGGATAATCTTCAATTATTAGATCTTCGTGGTGTTTTGGAAATGATGAAATTTGATTATAAGAAACTATTATTTTATGATCTAGTTTTGGAAAAAATGGATAATCAACAAGTTGAAGAAGATGAAGACCTTGATGAATTTGAAGGTGTCCAAGAAAATGATTTAAATGTTGTGGAATTTAATGGTAAAGAAGAAGTTGACGAACATGAAGATGATGAAGAACATGGTGATCATGATGATGAATATGGTACAGAGGGAACATCAATTAGGTTTACCCAAAGTAATCAAACTACTATAACACCTTCCATCAAACTAACCAAAACCAATACAACAAATACAATAAAGACGAATTATGGTTCAATCAAGTCTGAAATGAATTTATATAAGCCAGATTCAATGTTTTCCAGAGTGGAAAGATCAAAATCTACACCAAATAATAATCATAATAACGCTCATTCAAATACAAGAATGAAAAAATTCAAATTAAAACATGGAAATAATAGTCATTCAAGTGATCGGTGTGTGATTGTTTAATTTTTTTTCTTATCCAAATGTTGCTCAATCATTTCAGTCCATGGTTCAACAAAATCCAACCCAATAGATTCATCATTCTTCAAAAACCAATCCACAACAGCATCTGGTAATGGTTGTAAAGGATCTTGATTATTTGAACTATTACCACCACCCATGGTTTGATATGAGAAATTATATATAGGTGGTTGTATATCACCATTGGAATTTGGATCAACATTTGGCATTGTTGGCATTGACATTGGGACTGAATTTTGTTGTTGTTGGTGTGGTGGTTGCGGCTGTTGATAATTGTGATGTTCCTCATTTAATGGAACCTCTTCATTGTCTTCTTCATCGTCTTCATCATCACTTGTTTGTAATTTTGTTAAATTTGGTGGATTAATTGATAATTTTGATCTATACTTCATTTCTGAACATAAATACATCAAAATTGTAGAATAACGAGTACATAAATGCAACTCATCAGGTGATGCTTCTCTTAGTACAATAGCTGCTTTTTGAATGGTTTGAATGATTTCTTCAGTTGGAATAATTGATAATGTCAAGATCGTTGACGCTTGTGAAGCTTGTTGTAATGGTGATGATAATTGTTGTTGAGCTCCATTTGTTAAAGTTAAAAAACATTTAACAATAAAGGCAACTGATCTAACAATTCTGGTAACCCACCGAACTGGCATATATTTCAACATCTTCAACTTGTGAACCCTTATAGCTGCAACTAATATTTCTTTCGCAGCATTATAAGCTAACTCCACGTATTTAGCCGCTTTGGAAATCTCATCCAATTTCAAATTGTTTAAAGGTTTCTTGACATCTGATGGATTTGTGTTTAATGGATTCTCCGCTGATAGAGCTAAAGAATAAATATATAGTTGACAATAATAATAATCACAAATTAATGATTCTTTATCAACTTGTTTTGTTATTTCATTGACATGTTTAGTATTTGTTGCATTTTTCAAATTACAATGATGATTGAAGTTTTTAGGGTTTGAAGGTTTTAACAATTTTTTGTAAGTCTTGTACCAATTTTCAATTAAAGGTGATAAAATTGAAAGAACAGATAGGTTTTGAAATTGGTTATATCCGTCAACTTGATATTTCCCACAATAAATAGTTTCATAAGCTAATGATGTGATTTTCAATAATTCTAATTTTGCCTTTTGCATAATGGAAAATTTCAAATTATTTTTTTTGAAATGACGGTTTCTTAAACATTCTTCATCCAGACTCAAAATAAATTCATCATGCTGATATTGTTTCTTGCTATCAACAACTTCATCATCATCTTCATCATTATCTAAATCAATTTCACCAAGACTCTGTGATAGCATACTTCTTTGACCAAGATTCATTGCAGTTTGAGTTTCTGCAATATGAGTTGCGATAAATATTTTAGATGAACTATTTATGAAACCCATATCTTGGGCTAATCTAACACTTGTACCCACAAGCATCCAAGCCATACGATCACTTCTTCTCATAGCACCTAGTCCAGCAAGACTGTCTTCTTCGTCAGAATTCCCACCTAGTCCTGGAGGCCCTTCAGGTCCCATATCATCTTTATTATTGGCATAATCAGACCATCTCCAATGAATTGCTCTTGGATTCCATTCCGTGAATAGTAAAAAGGCCAAAACTGTACCTATAGATCTTGTCGAAGCTTCAGCCCAAACAGTTTGAGAAATTAACCGTTGACAATAAATCCATAGCCGTTCATGAAGTTGAATATTTCTTGAATTTTTATTTATATCATGTGACGGTTGATTTTCGAATGGATGATATCTTGAAGAGATTGTCAAAATTGCACATAACAGAATAGGATATTGAGCTAACGTTTGAGGATCATGAAGTTGTGTTGGAATATGTGGGAAAAAGGGGTGCATTGTTAAAAAGAATAAATTGATTAAATTTTCAGCTTCTTCCTCTGTCAGCATTTTGTTTGGTCCAATATATTCGATGTCTGATAGCTTTTTTGATGGGTTTGGATGAACATTTGCTGATTTCGAAACTGGTGGCATCATTATTGGCCCTTTACCTTGAGGACGAACCAATGGAGCAAAATTTTCATAATCATTCGAGCCTTGGGTTTGATTCAAGATATTTGTGTTTGAATTTTCACGGGTAGATAAGTTGGAAGTTGAAGAAATGCCATCCTCTTGATCCTCTAGTTTCTCGTGAATTTCTCTAGCACTGATATTATCACGATCGTCAGCTTTTGCTATTGTTCCAGCGGCCCTTGCTAAGAAGACAAGAGCTCCCTGTAAAGTAGTAACTTCTGAGGACCTTGTTGGAGGTTGAACTGGGCGAGCATGTTCTTCTGGTGAATGTGCAACAGGTGTTCGTTGACCAGAACGGGGAGGGCGTGGTTGTGAAGGTGGAGCTTGGTTTCGAGGTTGTTTCTCTTGATTTTTCTGTTGTTCCTGCTGTTGAGTATAGTTGACAGCTTGAGTCAATGATTGTAATGACGGACGTACTTCAGTGGAGTTCTGTCTAGTATGAGGAATGCTTCTAACTTCTGGAGTTGGTGTTGATTCTGTCTTTCTCTTCTTATTAACACTACTGCCAATACTATTACCAGCACTTGAAGCACCACCACCGTGAGAGCCACCCCTTCTGGAGTCAGCAAATACACACTCTTTTCTTTCACGACGACACCTAGCACAAGGAGGATCATGAGGTGCTTCAACAGGTCCCAAGTCACAACGAACCTTACGAGTTCGACAGTTTAAGCAAGCCTTGTAGTTTCTTCTGAACTTGACGTTGTTCTTATCTTCACCATTCACAGGTGGAGAGCCTTGAGATTCGTTCATAGGCATCATGTTTAAGTAGTTCAGCGCTTATTGAATAGTGTAATGATGTAGTTCAAAAGATTTGAAGTTGTTAATGGAATCATTAAAAACATCCGTTTCAAACCGCTTTTTTCCAGGATTTTTTTTTCTTTCAAAACACCTTGGCCGAAATCATCAGAAACAAAAAATCACTACAATAATGAATCATTATCGTGAGGTGATAGCATCCAAATATTAATCTGGATGGAATACAGCTAAGTGAACTTTTAACCAGCTCTACAGTTACGCTAGTGGCTATTGTTTTTATTATTTACTCCAACCCCGAGAAGCATTCTTGGAGCCACACTTTCCATCTATAAATTGGGACTCGTATCTCGTATCTTCATTATCATCAACAACGTCTATTGACTCAACATCACTGGCTTCAAAATGTCATTTTTCGATCCAATCACATCCTATGATTTCCACATCTATTACAACCCAGAGACTCGTTCTACTGCAATCAAGTTGAAAGATAAAATATTTGAAAATTTCCAAAAAGAAATAGATTCAGATCAACTCATAGTCAAAGTTTTGAAATCAGATTTGATCACAGGACCTCATGATTTACCATTTTTTGAAATTGATATAGAATCACCATTAATTTTTGCTAAATTTTTCTCTTTTACTCAATTGAACCATTCGGGCTTATCAATTTTGGTTCATCCAAATAGTGGTGATGTTTACAAAGATCATACTATTCATACAACATTCATTGGTGAAAGGGTTGGTCTTAAGGAAGATATACTGAGAGGATTAACTGGATATCCAGATTTTGGGTTTCCCAAAAGGGAGTTGATTGAACAGGGTTATTATAATGGCGAGAGTAGAGGTATAATGATACGGTTGTTGAAAGCGAAAGATGGATTTAATTGAATCTTTGTGACTTCGTTACTAAGTTTTGGAACCTAGGGGTTTCTCAGCGATGCCCGTAGAGCTGTAGTATCATAAGTACGTGATTTCAAGGAGGCAAGAAGCTCAAGTATATTCTGACTTACTAACTACGCTCCACATTTCTATTAGAAATTTCTTCGCGCTTTGGTATTTATCAAAATTTTTCGCGATTTCACAAAAATCAGATTTTTTTGTCCTGGCTACAAGATTCTTTGAAACTTTGTGGTTTGGCCAGCACTTTTGGACAAAAATTAGGAAGGAGCTACGAAAAATTCGTAGTATAAGCTCAGTTCAGTAAAATCTCAGAGTTTTTCGTTCTCTGTTGGCCTGACAAGATACAAATTTGTTCACGATGGGAAATCAAATTTGTGAAAAAGCACAACATTGTTTTGCGCAAACTGATAGTCTAGATAACTTTTTTCAAGCGTCTGTACACTACGAAATTTCCCTAAATTTTTGTCCAGAAGTGTGCCCGAACAAGTGTAGAGAATGTCCCAAAAAATCTGATTTTTGTGAAATCACGAAAAATTTTGGTGTAATCTCACGAAAATACCCAGGTGCGAAAAAACGTCTATTTAGTATTTCAAGCCATATATTAAACCAAAAGAACTACATATTGAATTATTTTACGAGCTATATATAAAAAGAAGGTGTTCTGTAGAGACAAATTGTAGCACAAATTTAGTATATGCATAATTATGCACAACTTCCATATTGATTACATAAGTATCAATTTTTTGAACCGGCCACTAATTATTTTTCATCTTTGTGGTTGGCTATAATATCAATTTTTTCACTTGAAGCAGTTTCTTGATCAATAACTTCTCCATCACCCAATTGACTGATATCAAAGCCAGTACTTTGCAAGTATTCCAAAAACTTGGCATCCTCAGCTTGCATAGCACTTTGATCCACTGAAGGTAATAAAAATAGAGCTAAAAAGGCCGCGAAAAGTCCTAATGATGAAGCTAACCACCAAGCAGATTTAATACCATAACGATCAGTTAAAGGCGTAAAACAATACGTACCAATGAACGCCCCAATTTTAGCAAAAGCAGCGGCCAGTCCGTAGTACTGTCCACGTACTGGTGTACATGATGTTTTGGATGCTAACAATCCAATATTATCACCAGGTCCAAACTCCCCAAAAGTCATAAAAATCCCATAGACGACAACAAAAGCTGCAACATGTTTTTGCAAGCTTTCAAAACAGCCAGCCATAATATATCCAATAATTGATTGTAATGAAACACCAATAACCAAAGTTAATCTTGGTCCTAAATAATCCGAAACAATGGCACCCAAGAAAGCACCTGGAATATAAAACAAATTCAATACAACATTCCATCCAAAAACCTTGTATAAATCATCTGAATCATACAAGCCAGCAATAACATAAGAAGAAAACAACCCAAAGGCATAGACTGAAAAATCATAAATAAACCAAATGACTGAAACAATAGTTAATCTAAACCAATAAAACTTCAAAATGGACCAATATGGAACTCTAACCTTCTTAAATCTTGTCTTTTGGAAAACTTCACCTTCTTTATAGAAAAGACGTAAAATAAATAAAGAAATTGGTGGAATAGCACCAACCCCAATAGTGACTCTCCAAACTGGTGTTAAATGTTTTGGAGTACATATCCATAACATAACCATTGGAACAAAAGAACTAACAACAAACCCAGTATCAATCATAAAATTAGTAAACCAACAAAACCAACGGTTTCTTTTACCAGGAGGTAATAAGGCACTAGCTTCTGCACATGCAGTGGAACCTGCTGGGTATTCAGCACCAATACCAACACCTAAAAAGAATCTGTAAGCAGTTAAAGCAGCCAACATACCATGAATTGAATCATGTGCACCCCAAGCACCTGAACACAAGATTGTAAAGACAATTAAAATGATTGTACCTGCCAACATTGCAAATTTTCTTGAATGATAATCAGATATAACACCAAAGATTAACATTCCAACGACAGTACCAACAAACGCAATTGAGGTAACGTTTCTAATAGCAGGACTTGAACCGTATTCCTTTGGATATAGTAACTTAAGACAAGTTGAAGCAGTACCAATAGAGTTATTAACATAACCATCACTAAATAAACCAGCACCTGTAGTGATAATTGGTAGATATTTCTTGAAACGTCCCATTTCATTAACTTGTTGTAATCTTAAGTTGTATTCATCTTCAGTTTCTGCTAAGTTTTGTTGATCTTTGGTTAAAGTGATTTCTTTCTTAGCACGAGGGACCCATGAGACTAGAAATTGCTTTGGAGTCTTTGGGATATCCCTTGTGACTGCTGCACCTGTTGTGTATGACATTGTGTACCTAAAGTTCCTATGGCCTTGTTGGAAAGTATGGATTACCAGAATATGGGATGCCTTATAGTATTTATACAATGGAAAAAGTTTTTTTGGGAAGGACTGGCTGTTTAGAATTCCATGCATATCTGAGTATAATAGATTTCTACAGCAATACGAGATCAACCATAAGCCGACAAGTAAATATGAGGATAGATAGGCACGTGGAAATTGAAATACACTAGTGTAGAAGGCATTAATTAGGTGCTTACCAAAGTCTATAGAACGTTGTGTCTAGGACCGTACTCATCTCGAAACCTCTTTGCTTCATCGTATTGTTCTCATCAAGCTGAGCTACCCCGAGAGTGACATGTGAAATTACAATCATCATCATCAAGAACAAGATAATCAAACACCAGCTTTCCAAGCTTCTCTACGGTTAAATAAAAGCTTTCCAAGTCAAGCTCATCTATAAAATATTTTCCAATCAATTATATGTCACTTGATCAAAGGACCGTTCGTTCCTGTTCACTTCTTGGTCTGTATTGGCACGTGGATCTTCTCACGCTATACGGGGAATTTAGATAAATTGGATACAGTGGCAGCCGCAGTTATTTAAAATTCCATTGCAATTACAAATGAAGTGTTCGATGGCTCGCTTAAAGACTATATACGTTGTCCTCTCTTTGTTTTAAGCCCTAATCCTTTCGATATCTTTGTCCAATTCCAGCTCCTTATCACATGGAAATTTCTGGAAGAGAAAAATCCCTTTATCTTTTCACGTCCTCTTTTCGATCACGAGATTATGTCATGTTTTGGTCAGCTACTTATGTAATAATCCGACTTAGTCACATGACTGTATTTTCAGCCTCGGAAATCGATGTTTTTGTTGATTTGTTGAAAAGGATAAGACAAGGTGTCAATTCTACTTGTACAACAATAAGCAAGCCAACGACTCCATAATGTCTGACCTTAATCAGTGAGTATGATCAATAAGATTCAATGTCACAATTCACTAACTTCCCATTAGATTCATTGCACAAATTCCAAAAATAACCAGATTTTTAACAATCTCCACACTAACATCATCATTTTTAAATGCATTAACAATATTACCATCATCAACTTTAATTTGTAACTGGTCTAAAATTATTTATGATTTCCAAATATGGCGTCCCTTCACAGGGTTTTTAGTGGCAAATCCTCAACCAATGCAAGGTTTAATGGATACTTATATGTTGTATTCATATTCACGTGGAATTGAAGAGTTGAAATTCTATAATAATTCAGTGGATTACTTATTTTATCTTTTCATAATTGTCCCAATAATTGTATTGAGCTCAGTCGTGATGCCTGTCCCATTATTACAACCTGCTCTTTTGGGTAGTTTAACATATACTTGGTCCAGGGCTAATAAAGATCATCAAGTTTCAATCTATTTTATTAGTATAAAAGCATCGCTATTACCTGTTGTTACATTAGGGTTTAGATTGTTATTAGAAGGTACATCTTCATTTCTTGCTGTTTTGGCTGGGATGAGTGCAGCTTATGTTTATGCATGTATTGAATCATGGACATTAGGACCTTTATACACTTATTTTTGTGAAACTTTTGGAATTAGGGTTCAAAATGAAAATAGATTGGGTACTTTAAGCTCTAAAGAGAAGGAAACAATGAGAGCTCCATTATGGTTTAAGAAATTTGTTGGAACTTTTATTGGAGGTTCAAGAGTTATTGATCAAAGAAAGAATAAAATTCATACATTAACTAATGGTTCAACATCTTCAACAAGTTCTGGGAATAGTTCAAGTACAAGTTCTGGAAGTATATTTGGGAATAGTAGATTCCAAGGAAGAGGATATAGATTAGGAAGTGAAAACTAACTATAAAGTTTTTTGAATAAATGGAATCAATTCATCAAGTAAGCATTTCAATATCCAAAAAGATCCAAATGATGATGATTTTTCAAAAGTCAGCTGTTCCAAAAATCTTGTAGAGATGAATTGCCATGTTAGATAATTATTCATACTCTTTAGATCATGTGATTTGTTATAGTTCAAGATTTCCATTATCTTATTGATGATATTGATCTTCCAATGATTCATACCTAAAGCCATTTCAATATCCACAATGTTTAAATGATCTGGTATAATATTAAATATATCCAGGACTTCAAAATAACTTGGAATTTCACAACCAGCTCCTGAACCTTGTGATATTATTTCTTGTAAATTTATTGATTTCCAATCTTTTCTCATTTGTACAACATTGAAACTTTCAAAATTCGAAAGAATCAAATCACAACGATGTAATGTAAAGCAATCATCTAGTTTTTCATCTTTTAAAAATTTCAACAATTCAATTCTATTACGCCTTATAACTTCATCGTTCTTCTGTCCGTTTTCAATCCATCGTGTCTTTACAACTTCTTCATATTCATCTTTAACTTTTTTATCTATAGCTAAACCACAGTAGGCGTAATAGCTTTTATTTCTTGAGCCTATTCTCTTGGTTTGACAGTTGAATACCTTGGTCATAACTTTCCCGAAATGGGCCTTTGTCATTGGTTCAAGGTGGTCAAGATCATATTCATTGACTAATTTTTTGAAGCAATGGGTATACAGATCATATGCTTTTGATTTATAAATGTATTGTATATCATTAACTAATGATTGTTTCCTGGGGAGTGGTGTTGAAACTTCATGAAATATTGAAGACGCGAGTTTTGAAGAGAGTGATTGTATTAATTCAGATTCTTTTTTCGTTGTGGATATGATTTGTCTATATGATTTTGGGATCTCGGATGTCATGATGGGTTTGGTAGTGATTAATGGTCCCAAATCTCTTACTGGTTGTCATGGTTTTTCATATTATGACTTTCTCAGACGGTTTTTTTTCAACAGCTCTCTCGAAGAAATGTTTGATTAGAATTTGATGTAATTTTTAACATGATGGGAGTTCTGAAAGAGGAAGGTGATAAAAGTGAAGGTGAAAAAGTCGTGAGAAGCACTGGAAGGCTGTAGACTAGTCTGTTTTCCGATGACTAGCTATCCTCACACTATTCCTCACTGTCTCTTGATCCAAAATCAACTTGACACTCCATTTAATCACTTCATCATACACTCTTTTGAATATCACAGTGTCTGTCAAAACACACGTGTCACCAGTGCTGCCAACCATATCCGAATCGGGAAAGCCTCAACGTCCTCGGCAAAATGCGTCTTCTTCCAAACCATCGCGACTTTCCAAATTTCTTCCTTTTGACCCCACAGGATCATCATCAACAAATCAACCGAGTCAGATAAAAAACTACTGAACAAAGGTCACAGTCGGTTCAAAGTTATTAAGGCATTCAGGTCTATATAAGCCATCCCATATATCCATTTGCCATTGCCTTTTCTAACCATTGTTATTTAAGCAAAACTGATGGTCGTTTAAAGAATATCATGTCCAGTACCATTCTCAAAAGACAAGTTATCAAGCAATTAGTATCAATCAACAAGATGCCCATTAAACAATTCTCAACTTCGAATCCAAACTTCAAAGGTGTTACTTTCAAGCATCAAGACGAATTACCTCCATTACCAGTTCCTTCAATTGAATCCACCAAGAAACGTTATTTAAAATCAATCAAACCATTTATCAAGTCTCCTGAACAATATGCAAAGCAAGAAGCGCTAATTGAAGATTTCTTCAATACCCAAGGGGCGGTTTTACAAGAAAGATTGGAATCTTTGGGCGCTACTGAACGTAATTGGTTATCCAAATTTTGGGATGATTATGCTTATTTACAATATAATGATGGTGTTTTCCCATATGTTTCTTACTTCTATGGTCATAGAGATTTACCAGTCCATTTAGATGCAATTGGTAAAAATCAAATCCACAAGGCTTTGGCGGTTATTGATAAAGTGTTGAATTTCGTGGAATTGATTAAAAATGAATCTTTGCCTCCAGAAGTTATTAGAGGTACACCTTATTGTATGCATTCTTTCAAGGTTATGTTTAACAATGCAAGATATCCAAAGGAATTGGGTCAAGATGATACTGTTTTATATTCAATTTTGGAAAATGGATTCATTATTGTGGCTATTAATGGTGATTTCTATAAATTATACACTCATGATTCAAATGGGACTGGTGATCGTTTACCATTAAAGGAAATCCATAAACAATTATTGGCAATCATTGAATTATCAAACCGTTCAATTACTCCAAAATCACCAATTGGTATCTTGACTACATTACCAAGAGATGAATGGTTTAAGGCTTATCAAGATTTAACTAAAACTCCAATCAATATCGCTTCTTTGGAAGATATCCACAAATCAACCTTTTTAATCACTCTAGATGAAGATCAACCTGTTACTTATGAAGATCGTGCTCATTACTGCTGGCATGGAAATGGGTTTAATCGTTATTTCGATAAGCCTATTCAATTTTTCATTGCTAAGAATGGTTATTCAGGTTTCATTGCAGAACATTCAAGAATGGATGGTACTCCAACTTTGTTATTGAATGAATTTGTTAATAGAGAATTATGGGAATTAAAACCACAAGACTTTTTAAAATCCATTGAAATTGATTCAACTCCTTTATCAATTCAACCAGAACCATTAAGATTTGAACCTTCTCCATTCGTTTCCGAACAGATTGAAAAAGCTTTTATTAATTTTGATCAAGAAATTGATAATCATGACGTTAGAGTTTTCCATTATAACAAATATGCTAAAAATGAAATCAAATCTTTTAAAAAATCCCCAGATGCTTTTATTCAAATGATTATTCAATTAGCTTATTATAAAATGACTGGTACTGTTGTTCCAACTTATGAAGCTGCCTCAACAAGAAAATTTTATAGAGGTCGTACAGAAGCTGGACGTTCAGTTAGTGAAGAATCTTTACAATTTGTTAAAAACTGGGAAGATCCAACAATTTCAGATTCTCAACGTGCTTTAGATTTTGAAAATGCTGTTAAATCTCATTTGGAATACATCAAAGCTGCTTCAAATGGTGAAGGTGTCGATCGTCATATTCTTGGTTTGAAATTACATTTACAACCGGATGAACAACCTCATCCATTCTTACAAGATCCATTATTAAGCTATTCTTCAACTTGGTTAATTTCAACATCTCAATTGAGTTCAAATTATCATGATGCTTATGGTTGGAGTGAAGTTAACCCAATTGGTTGGGGTTTAGCTTATCAAATCAATAATGATTTCTTACATGTTAATGTTTGTACAAGAAGAAGTTCAGGAAATAAATCTGAAGTTTTAGAATATTATTTGAGAGAAGCTGCTGATGAAATCTTTGAAGTGTTGACAAAAGCTCAAAAACCAAAATTATGAAGAGATTAAAAAGAAATTAGTTGTGTTTCGGTGATGATGTTGCTTGGAGATGTTTGATACATTTCTATTATTATACAGAATGGTTATGAATAAAAAAAGTTATAGTCAATTTGGGTGATCACTGGATCATGACTTGTAGTTATATTTAAACAAACCTCTAGGATATCAGACACATGTATAAATATGTCTTTGGGCCCTCTGGCTAGCTTTCTCCTTGCATAATTTGTCTCCTATAGAAAATTGCTTCATTTCATTGTACATAGTTTTCATTCTTTACTGCCTATCAATACATATTGTACCCCTATGTGTCGATGATTCAAGTAGTCAACGATACTCTTATTGCTGATATTTCAGTTTGGCAGCCTAGCTTTATCATCATAAGAATGTTCAGTCTTTCCAAATTTAGATGTTCTAAAATGTAGCAGTCAGTAACATAATGTTATAGAGGAGTCTATTAGGATAGATGACGTTCAGCTTTGTCTTACAGACTTTCAGTTAGCATATTCCCTCATGGCTTAAATTATACATGCTCTTGTAAATTCTTATAAAGTCATTCAGTCAATTCATTCATCAGCATCATTTTCATCACTTTCATCATTTTCATCACTTTCATCATCGTCAATTTCAACTTCACCACCATTCGCTTTTATAAGCAGCTCTAAAGCATCTAGTTGAGGTTGCAAATGCTCCTCTAGTTCTTTATTAGATTCTAAAAGATTTCTCTCAGCCTCCTCATACTCTCTAACATCATTCTTAAGACCTTCTTTAATTGCTGAAAACTCCTGCTGAAGTTCAAGCAGCCTTGTGTTTAGTTCCAGCCTCTCGTTCAATTGCTCCAAAATCTCAATATTTCTTTCTTTATCAATACCATCTAGTCTGTTTCCGGACATGATGAAGCCTTGAGTTTCCTGATTATTGTTTGGGAATGCTTTGTTTTGGTTGTTTATCGAGTTTGAATGCAACAAATCTGACCTTTATACGCATTTCGCTTTGGGTTGCGCAACACTTTTTAAGATTTGTGCCAAAAAGGGGAAAAATGGAATGGGCACGAAACTTTCATGAAAAACAAAAAAGGAGCAGCAGTGCTTCATCAACATACTCTGGACCTGTGTTCCTGGGTAAAGCTTTTCTTAATCATACCCATCATTCGTTCATTGCTGAAGCCATTATATAAGATTAATGGTCCATAAAGTCTGGTCAGTTTAAACGCAAATTTGGCAATCTTTCAATTACGTGGTTCATGAATTATTATGAATTACAATTGAAGTTGTGTATATTTCAGCGTTGAATGTCATATTCATGAAGATCATCTGTTAATTCTGGATGGACAGTGATGATTATTGACTTTGTTTAGTCCGGATTGATACATGATCAGTTATATTTGTTGAAATGAGTATTGTAGCTGATTCATTAATTCAGTAGAAATCTCAATATCGACCTAATTTTTTCCACATCCTGAATGTCTTTGAGATAATAAAAATTCGCAACTAGTACAATTATAAAATGTATTATTAAGACTCCATAAGAATTGATTTTAACAACTTGTTAACCTTTTGAATCTACTATGAGTCAACTTGATTCAGAGAGAGGACAACAGTCGACGATAAATTGACGAGTCGCGAACCAGCCAACTCCTTAATATTTCAGACATTTCAAGTTACTTTATTTGTTTCTTCAGTGTTCTGTTTCATGGGCCGCGTTAGCATCTAGCATATTTGAGAGCTTTTTGTAGCGGTTTGCGCTCTTTTGATTAACAAAACCGGGTGAAATGGTCTCGTGCGTGAACAATCCAGTTATACTTTATGTTCCCTGTTTCCTTTTGTTGAAGAACGTCAAGCTAGCTTAGATAATGCTTCTGGTATGAGAGCTTATGAGCATCATTAGATGGCTGTCTGTTTTCTATACAATATACACTGAATAACATCTCTGGCATTTCTTCAAATGTGTCTTGGTGATGTCGTTGCTAAGATTGATTTGAGAATGTACAGAGCTAGTGTTATTATGTTTTTGACTAAAATTCATAGAAATCGTTTAAATAAGACGTTTTGATAGTATTCGTCCATATTCGTACTTATACGTGTAGTAGTGATTTACAACGACCAAAAATGACATTGAAATCTACGAGCTAATTAATCAAATATCTTTCCAGTGTATACCATGAAAAATTTCCAGATAGAGTTCACTTTTCCTTATTATTAGCATCACTCAATTGTACTTCAATGACTTCACTATCGCTGCCAGTACCTTCAATTACATCAGCTTTCTTGCTTCTAAATACACCTTGGAAAATAAGCTTGAATGATTCAAAACCTTGGTATAACGGAACAACAATAATATAAATACTTGCCAAAAGTAAACAAATACTCATAATAATAACCCATTGAGTAAAATATTTCTTAGAAAACTTATAATCAGTTCCATAAAATGTTAAAGGGACAATCATATAACCTCCAATCAAGATAAGAACAGTCAAAATTAATGCAATCTTTGAAGCTTTAGCTAATGCCTTTTGATCAGAAACTGAAACAGTCATGTTTTCTTTTTCTTCTTCATCTGCATCATCAGCTGCGTCAAAAGCTGTTGAATAAGTTTTGAAATCAAATTCAATTTTTTCTGGCTTCAAGTATGATAATATTGGAATAATAATCCATGATCCACCAAATGAAACAAAATTTCCCACAATTGATGGTTCACTTGTCATTAACGTATTTTTATTAACAGCACCACCTGAAGCATAAGCTGTTGCGACCCAACAAATAACACCACAAATTGTTGAAATTGGTGAACCATAAGTAATAGCAAAACTACTTGTCTTTTTCCAATATAAAGTGAAGACCAAAATAGAAGCAGCTGGTGACAATAAAATACCATAAAATCCAATTAACCAACCAACAGTGACACCAACATAGTTGAAAATAACAGAGACACAAGCAACAACAAGACTGAAAATCATAGTCATTGCATGACTAACCCTGATAAGATCCTTACCTGTAGCTGTTGGTTTAATGTAACCTCTATAGATATCAAAAGTTGAAATAGAAGAAAATGCAATCAATTCTGCAGACAAGGCACTTGTGACTGATAAAAACAAATCTAAGATTGCAGCAACAGCACCAGGGGTCCCCATTATTGTACCCATAGCATAAATAAGAGGTAAACCAGCACTAGCCTCGTGTGAAGTTAATTCATTAGGATAAGTATAGAATTTATCAGAGACCAACAAGGCCCTTGCAGTCAATCCGCCAATTATACCTAAAGCCCATGGAACTGTTAACCAACACACACCACCTAGAACATAACCAGCCAAAACACTTTTAGGTTCAGCTGCAATGGCTTTTTGTCCATAACTTGGATCACCAAAGACAGAAGCAAATCCACCAATATTGACACTCCATGTTGTCATAAACATAGTTTTACTTTTGAAACTCAGGAAACTTGTACCAGTTTTAGATGGAAACTTGGCTTCACTTTCAAGAATCATATCATAAAGTTTTCCTGGCGATCCAATAATATCAGAGCTTGCCAATACCTTGAAGCACATGATCAGAATGACTATGTAAATGATAACAGTGTGGATCCAGTCAGACAAGAAAGTTGCCTTTATACCACCAAACATTGTATAAACTGCAACACTTAAAGGAATCAAGAAGTTAGCAGCAATAACATTCATACCAGTTGCTGCGTTGAAACCTTGAGAAGCTCCTAATAATAAACATGAGGCAACCATTAAATTAGTTGCACTAACATAAAACATGTAGACAAAATGAGTTGCCTTATCATATCTAACTTTAATGATCTCACCAATTGTATGACATGCTGGTGCAATTCTCTTAATTTCAATAGCTAATAAGGCAAAGGCAAGGATGTGAAATGTTCCTGACATTCCATATAGATAACCACCACTTATACCCTGATAAAAGTTAGTCTATGAACATTAGCTGTTAAATTGTATCTACTTACATAAGTGTACCCCCATAAAGAACTAGTCAAGATAGTTGCAGGCCAAACCTTTTCATGGTGTTAGTCAAGAGCACAGTATCAATATTCACAATAGCACTTACCCAAGAACTAACGACAGCACTTGAAATCAACCCGCTTCCAACATTTCTTGAAGCTGTTGTGAATCTTTCAGAATTTTGAACTTGGTTCAAGTATTTAGCAAGAACATAGGTTATACCACACATGACTATAGCAAAAGCTGCCCCTAGCCCAACAACGAAGCCATACCCATATGATTGACTTAGAATAGTAGCACTTGTCATTTTTGATCAAAAGTAGCAGCGCGTATTTTTGGATGTTGAAACTTCAAATAGCCCTAATTTGTTGGTTATCTGGGGCACTTTATATAACCGCATTGTCAATTGACCTCATGATTCAGGGTCTAGAGGTTATCTCATGATTTGGAAGATCTTTGCCTGAATTGTTATATGGGATGTGCAACTCTTATCAGATAGAATTGTATCTAATCATGGTGAACGTTGTAAAACTGCACAATCTTATCATGTCGCTCTGCTAGCCGCTTTTAGAACACCATCAATCTTCGTCAAGCAAATGTTCGTGAAATCGATTGACAATCCTTGATTCTTGTTTCTTGATTTTGCTTATCTTTTATCACTTCATCTGTTTTGGTTTTGTTTTGTTTTTGGTTTGGATTTTGTGAGAATTTCGTAAGTGGGGGATTCACTGGGGGCCCCACGCTTTCGCGAATACGTTTTGAGTATTATCTTGACTCTTGAGTTAGTTAACTACGTAACAACCATTCAGTGGTCTTTGACAAACCTTTGGGTTCAGTATTAAAGCTTCAAAAATAGAGAGTGCATTGGATATTTTGGGCTCCATTAATGGGATCCTGGTGTAGTTGATGAACTAGATGACTAGCGTGTTGACACTTCCCTTTTGACAGTCGACATTTATAGAAGTCCTTTTCAGATTCGATTCTTCCCTTAGGAAAGTGAAGGTTCCAAGGGTGAGACTACGTGTTTGACAATCATAAATGTTGCTTAAGGATTCAAGTAGTCCCACATAATACTATAATTTTTTAGAACCCAGTTCCAAAGGAACTAAATAAAGCAGGGCAATTGAAGCTCAGCTAAGTAACCGATGGGCTAGCATCCAATGGTGATGATATGTTACTATTTTCATCTTCTCCTAATATCTCTTTTCTAAACTTTCTAAGTCTTCGTATATCTTCTTCCATATAAGGTAAGCATCCAGCGTACAAAATAAAGCAACTTGCAAAATTTGTGAAAAACACTTTTCCATCCTGAACAACAATATCCTCTAATTCCAATTGCCCATCAAAAACCATAAACAAGTTGTGCATCAAGTCAAGCTGCTTGGAAGCAAGCGACATCTCCTCTGGGGTTTTAATTTGACCTTTTATCTCTTCAATAACAATATATGCACCACAAAAAAACTTCTTCCTGTTCCTTGTCGAAAAAACAATATTACCATTCTCGTGAACCCTTGGGAGGTTTATTTTGGCATCGATATCAGACGTAGTGTTATTGTAAGAAGTAATCTCTTTGAATGCTGTTAGAGTGTCTTGATACTCCTGTTGACATAGTTCAAACATTGCACGGGGGCTATCCACAACATCTAAGAATTGACCACCAATTATTCTTCTGATTGGATCAAAAATCCTCAATATAACACCATGTTTACCTCTATCGTCAAGCGGTGTAGTGATTTGAAAGGTTTTCTGATATTGTTCATATGACATGCGAATTGTTTGGAAACTTTTCCTGCTGTCAAAATTTTCACCGCTGTAATTGAGTTTTCCGTGTCTTTTCGTATCGAAAATTACTCTCTTGAATCTTTGATGATGTTCCTGAATTTCCTGATCCAAATAAATCTCATCTGAGAATTTCTTTATTTCAAAAGTCAGTTCGTGGTAATTTCTCATAAAGAGTTTCTTTGCATCAGCCATAATTCTTTTATCTTTCACAAAGTCAGTGTCTCTTTTTATAAAATACCCATGATAAATTAAGGAAGCAATCACCATAGTGGCTGTTAATCCTGCAGTGTCAATATCCATAAATTTGTATCGAAGAGGCAGACGGACCTCTTTCTGATTCACTTCAATTTCATTATCAATTGCATCCAATTCAAAATAAAACATTTGGGAACAATCAATAATAATGCATCTGGGAGTATTTGTGGCAATCATAGAAACAAGTGCATTTCTGATGTTTTTTTTCAAAATAGGGTCAAAACAGATATCTGAATATAGTTGGCTTGTACAAGAATCAACAAATAAAATAGGTAATCTGAAAACTTGACCATCCTTGCGTTCCATATCCAAGCTACTTAATTCCCAGGGAAATGAATGAACAACCTTCCCACGCCTATCACAAATATCAACTGTCTCCTTCAATAATTTTAAAGGTTCACATTCAAACATTTTTTCCACTTTGAAAAATCCTTTAAACATAAACATGATTGGGCGCAAACAGGCTCTTTCCAAATATATACGAGCTCTATCTTTGAACTGCTTATTACCTAAAGTATCGGCATTTATACCATGATGCTCTGAAAAGTATTCAAACATACCTCTATAATGACCTCTGGTTCTTTCAGTTATAGCGTCCTCAAATCTTGCGGATGGTCTTCCCACTGGATCTGGAAATCCTTCAGTTATAGTTTTTTCAAACCTATCACTCATACTATTGAAAACCCTTCCGAAGAAAGAATCGGGGATCTCTGAGGAGCTAAAATGTGCAACAGAAATTGCTTTATTGAAAATCAAATCAGGAATCTTATTTTTATAAAGGACGTAGCGATTCCCATTATCTAATGGGGTGAATCTTAAGCATTGAAGGACAGAAATATCAGGGAAAATGAAGAACGTTCTGAAAGCAAATCTTTGATGCAACAAGGGTTGATTCGTCGTATCAGACCCTCTGATTAATATATCCTTGATCTCTGAAATCTTGTCATAAATTGTCTGTTGAGTAACACTTTGGGCTCTGTTTGAAGACCAAAATTCTTGGAACTCAAAATTTTGAAGAGATCTTGTGGATGCACCAATAAGTGCTGATTCAACAAAATCGTAATATCGATTCATCAAATGTGGCTCTGCAGACCCTGGCATGTTGAAAAAGTTCTCTATGGAGGTTGAGTATTAATTGTAGCATTCTGACAATGCATCGCTGTGAGGAAAAGATCTTTTTTATAGTAAATTTGAGAAACTTTTGTGTTTGGAATCCTGAATATGAGCAGAATTAATTGAAATTTTTCTGCTGGGTTTACTTGCCCGTTTTAAGATGACAGGCTTTCGCGAAATCAAAATTTGGGCACGTGACTACACTAACTTGTACGCTTGCAATTAATCACTTTATAATTATGGTTTAACCTTCTATGTCCATTTGAACGAATGCCCATAATGATCTTCATCTAGATGATTTTTTCCTTTCACTCTTGACAAGTTCTCACGAAATGTTCCACCAGGAGAAAAGTACTCATCATCTACATAACCTCTCTTGCGTAACTCTGGAATCAGATACTTGATCAAGTCTTCAAATGTATCAGGAGCAATAATGTAGTTAAAATTAAATCCATCAACACCAGTGTCTTCTATCCATTTCTGTAGCTTATCAGCAACAGTGGTTGCGGAGCCGATAACTTTGGGATAAACACCACCTAATGAAGAGTCTAATGAGAATTCTTGTTTAGTTAATGTCTTTTCTGGGCGAGTCATCCTTATGAAATCACCAATTGGACCCTCCAAAGTTTTTAAATCAACATTATCCGGTGCCTTTGAAAAGTCTAATCCAAACCATCCACCAAATAACGCGAGAGCACCTTCTGGATTTGCATACTTCTTGTAGGATTCATACTTAGCAAGGGCAGCTTCGTCGGTTTCATCAACAACAACGGTAATACCTAGTACAAACTTGATTGAATTAGGATCCCTCCCTTTGCTTTCAGCTTTTGATCTGATCTCTTGGACATTTGCCTTCACTTTTTCAGGGAAAGAACCAGTGATGAAAATAGCTTCAGCATGCTTTGATGCAAATTCTTTTCCTCCAGGTGATAAACCAGCTTGGAATAGGACTGGTGTTCTTTGTTTACTTGGTTCAGCAAGATGGACCCCATCAACTTTATAATGCTTACCTTCATGATGAATATAGCGAACTTTTGATGGATCAGCATATATGTTTTGAACCTTATCTTTCACAACAGCATCATCTTTCCAAGAACCTTCCCATAGTTTATAAACGACATCAAGATATTCGTCGGCTCTTTCATAGCGAATAGTTTTATCAATTTGATCAGGTAAACCATGAGCTCTAGCAGCACTGCGTAAATAAGATGTAACAATATTCCAAGCAACTCTACCTTCAGTCAAATGATCCAACGTTGAAAATCTTCTGGCCAAATCATAAGGATGTTCATAAGTGGTACTTACAGTTATCCCAAAGCCAATAGAGTTGGTGACAGCTGCCATTGCAGGAACAATTAGTTGTGGGTCATTTGTTGGTAATTGGGCAGCACCAACCAAGGCAGGAGTTAAATTATCTGGTCCTTTATAAACATCATATGGTCCTAAAACATCAGCAATGAAAATACCAGAGAATTTTGCATCTTCTAACTTAACCGCCAAATCTTGCCAAAACTTTATAGTGTTGTATTTTGATATTTGGTTGTCTGGATGCGCCCAAAGACCTGTATTTTGAAGGCCAGGAGTATTCATAAGAAAGGCATTGATGACCCATTTTTTAGGTTGTGATGATAATTTTACTCTTTTGTTGGTATTGGTTGTCATTGTATGTTAGTGACCCCCAAATTTGACTGACAGGTTTCTTGAATCATAGGATGAAGCTTTCTTTAAATAAAATTGATGTCAATCTTGAATACTGTGGCTTCTTCGTCGTGATGATATTGTTCAATCGGTTCACTTTAGAACTTTTGACATTTCAATATCATACCCGATAGTAGATTGTAATGTAGGTCCCTTTTGAAACGCCGACGCATCATTCAGTGCACTGGCTTGGTTGTTAAATGACTAGTGCTTTGGTGATTGGTTCAAAGTTGAAATTTCCATGTGTACAAGAACAATTGGTCCAAAGCTTCAACGGTGATAACAGGAAGCATGTTTCCGAAAACTTTGCAAAACAAGTTCGCGAATGAACAAACCATCATTTGCAATTTGGGCGAAAATACAGGTATATTTTTGTAAAAAAAAAAAAAAATTGGGCCTTGAATAAAACCTGAGGTTATTGGAACTCGAGAGTTCAAGTTTCAGCTTAGGACTTTTTGAATCGTATCAAGTATCAATGACCGATGGCCATTGTAACTTATAGGGAACAAAAACGACTTTAGCTTGGTTAATCTACCTTGATCTGTCCAAAGTCCTAATGCTTTGCTTGTGTCTCTTTCAATTTTGAACAACAATTAAGTACAGAATTCTTGATGAGCTTTCCTCATAGAGCAGCCTGAAGCTTCTAGTATACGATACGTATATACGCATATGCCATAAAAGTGACTGAAATGGACCCTTAGGTTTTTATTCCTTTTAAATCCACCAACTTTGAAATGATTTTTTTCAAGAAATCCGCCCTTTCCCGATTCAAAATGGCAGACTGATTTTTCAGATAAAGCTGCTCAGCTAGACACAAACTTTAACAAAAAACGGATTGGTAAGACATGACGTTTATCAACTAGAGGCAAAAATAAGAGTCATAATGCCCTTAATGAGCCTTTTACTCTCCAGACCTATTTTCATGATATTCTGTGGTTGTGCAATAACCCCTATACTTTGGAAATCTCTCACCAAAAATCTAACACCAGTTTTGGCAGAGTCATAAGTGACAGCGATTGAATACTCATCAATCAAACTTGAAGAAATATAGCCTTTAAATTGTGACATTTGTTGTTCCAAATCAACCAAATCCAAATCACTATCAACTGTGAATTTTGTAGTCTCTATCAACGGGCTTTGATTGTTCTGTGTAACTGTATCAACAATTTCAGCGTCAAATCCACAGTCTTCAATAGCATCTTTCAATACACTTGGATTCAAAGTCTTAAAATGCTTAACTCTAGCTTCTTCAGTCACCAAGGATACACTTGCATCTAAGACACCTTCAATATCGTTCAAAACATTTGTAACACTAGATGTGCAAGCTCCACAGGTCATACCTTTGATTGAAATTGTAGTTTCAGCTTGTTCTAATCCAGTTGGCTTGTTGGGTAGACTTCCAGATGTCCCATTAGTAATCTCTCTTGATTCCAAAATTTCAGCATCAAAACCAGCATCATCTATCCATTCTTTTAATTGTGAAGGTTTGATAGTATCATCATGCTTTACAACTGCTTCTTCAGTGACTAATGAGATATCAAACTTTTGTACACCAGCTTTTGGTTCAATCATTGATGTTATTGAAGAAGTACAAGCACCACAAGTCATACCTTTAACGCTCAACTTTGTTTCAAAAACTCTTGGAGTTTCATCCTCACTTGATATCACTATAGCATCAAATCCACAATCCTCTATAGCGGTTTGTAAATCAGTTGCGCTAACACTTGATGAATGCTTAACATTAGCTTCTTCGGTTATTAATGATACCGATGCATCCTGAACGCCATCTATGCTTGTTAGAGCATTGGTGACGGCAGAGGAGCAGGCACCACAAGTCATCCCAGAGACCGTGAGAACAGTGTTCACCATTTTCAATGAGTGTGGTTCTTATGATTTGAATATGTAGTTAGTTGGTTGTTTTGAAGGTTGTCTTTGAAGTGTAGTATATTTTTAAATTCTCATATGTTTTTTTTTTTTTTTTTTTAAAGCTTACTTGTTTGGGTGTTTTTGACTGCAAAAGCAGGCCCAAGCAAAAAACAAGCATCTGGGCCAGAAGATTGGTCCATGTTTTTTGATGCAACCTCTCAAATATCGTCTTTAAATAAGGTGAAAGAGATTGAATTTTGGAAATCTTCATTTATCAAATCTTTATTCATCGGTGTCCCTATGTTCATCGTCAATAATGTTTTTCCAGCTACAGACCTTGATTCCTCATGGCATATTTTCCATGGATTATACATGGAATCTTTAATTGAATGGGGGCTTGCTTCTTATATCCAATTTGGTGCCGGTAAATTTTTCTATATCAACGCTTATAATTCATTAAAGCACGGGTCAGGAACAATGGATTTGTTGATTTGTATTTCCACAAACATTTCATATTTCTTTTCGGTGCTAACCATTTTGATTTCATTCTTTAGAGGTTCTGACAAAACACCACCAAAAACTTTATTTGAAACTGCTGTTTTGTTGATCAATTTTGTTTCATTGGGTAAATGGATGGAGAATAAAGCCAAGAGTGAAACTTCATCTTCTCTCTCAAAATTGATTAACTTGACCTCAACTGAATGTACCATTGTTCAAGAACCTGAAAACTTTGATTTGAATTCAGTAAATCAAGTCATGACCATTCCAATCAACTATTTACAGATAAATGATATTTTGGAGATCAAAGCTGGTGAGAAAATTCCAGCTGATGGGTTTATCGTCAGTGGTGAATCTGAAATTGATGAATCCTTATTAACAGGTGAATCTTTGCCAATTTTTAAGAAAGAAAGTGATAGAGTTATTGGAGGTTCAATTAATGGTGTGGGTCACTTATTTGTTAGAGTTACTTCAACTTCTGAAAACTCACAATTTTCCAAAATCATCAAATTAGTTAAATCTGCACAAATGAATAAAGCTCCTATCCAAAGTTATGCAGATTACGTTGCTGGTATTTTCGTCCCAACCATTATCACGCTCTCCTTCTTGACATTTATTTGTTGGATCATTATTTGTGAAGTGTTGCCAAATCCTCCAGCAGTCTTCAACAATGTCAATGGTAAATTATACATTTGCTTAAAAATTGCCATTTCTGTTATCGTTGTTGCATGTCCCTGTGCGTTAGGATTAGCTGCTCCAACTGCTGTCATGGTTGGTACTGGTGTTGGGGCCTCTAATGGTGTTTTAATTAAAGGTGGTGAAGTTTTAGAAACTGCTAATAATGTTGATGTTTTGCTATTCGACAAAACTGGTACTTTAACAATAGGATCTATGATTGTTTCCAATTTCCGTGTTTTTGGTGATTGGGCCGAAAGTTTGGTTTTAGAATTAGTGGGTGCGGTCGAAGCTAAGAGTGAACATCCTATTGGGGTTGCTATTACTAAACATGCAACTGAGGTTTTAGGTCCATTGAATACTGTCATTGATTCATCTGAAGTGAAAATTGGTAAAGGTATAATTGCCAATGTTTCTCTGAATGGTAAAAAATATGAAGTTGCTATTGGTAATCTGAAAACATTTTCAGATGACTTTTTAAAGGAAAATACAGATAGATTAAATGTTGATTCAGATAACACAGTGGCCCATATTGCAATCAATAATCAATACGTCGGTTATTTGGAATTAGAAGATGCAGTAAAGAAAGATTCAGCTACCGTTATAAATTTTTTGAAATATGAAGGTTATGAAGTGGCTATGGTTACTGGTGATTCTGCTAAAGCTGCAAACAAAATCGCCGCTCAAGTTGGTATTCCTTACAAAAATGTTTATTCTGAAATTTCACCATACGGTAAAGAACAACTAGTTCGTGATTTCCAATCTCGTGGATTAAAAGTTGCTTTTATTGGTGATGGTATTAATGATTCTCCTGCTTTGGCACAATCAGATTTGGGTATTGCTATTGCTTCGGGTACAGATATCGCATTAGAAGCTGCTGATATCGTCTTTTTGAATAATGAATTGAAACTAAATGGTATCTCATCAGCTTTATCCATCTCAAACTCTACATTGAGAAGAATCAAATGGAACTTGTTTTGGTCTTGTGTTTACAATATGACAATGTTGCCTATTGCCATGGGTGTTTTAATTCCTTGGGGTATCCAATTGAGTCCTCTGGCTGCTGGTGCTGCTATGGCATTCAGTTCTGTTAGTGTTGTTTTAAGTTCACTGTGGTTGAAAAGATGGACTCCACCAGATATCTCCAAGTATGCAAACTATGATAGTGGATACGATTATGATTTGGAAAATGGAAAGAAGTCATCAAGATGGGATCTGAAGAGATCTGTCAAGAGAATGATAAAAGGTAATTCTAAAAATAGCCCGGGTGATATTGAGTTACAGACTGGGTTGCTTAATAATTAATTTTTGTACTATAGATTTGCCAATTGTTTAATATTTGATATGAAGTTTATGACTAGTCATACGTAATGTGAAGTTTTCGCGGTCTCTGTTTTTTTTTCACGCGAAAAATCGAAATGTAAACAAAAACAAAACTCAAAACATACCACTTGAAAGAAACCATTTATATGAACAAGAAGACCATAAAATGAGCGCTGATTCAAAATTGTCAATCGAAAGAATCTATGGGACCTCATCAAATAACCAGCTCAACTTTGCAAAGTCTAAAAACTTGGTCGCTTATATCGCCAGCGGTGGTGTTGTTGTCGCACCAATAGACAAGTCAACGGGAACGCTACAGTCAAATCAAAGATTCTTCTGCGCTTATAATGCTAACAATCAATCAAGCAACCAAACAGGTGCTAACTCATATCTCAACCTTTTCCAGAACCAACAACCTTCTGAAGAAAAAGATCAATATGGGAATCCTAAATTGCAGGGCACAATCACAATCAACAACAGCACCGATATCAACACTCAAATGAATGATCTATCGCTCAGCTCTTCGCCACCAAAACAAGCCCAAAAAATCAAAACTATAACTTGCATTGCCATTTCGCCTGACGAAAAGCTCTTAGCGGTTGGTGAGACCGGCTCACAACCAAGAATTTTGATTTTTTCATTAGCACCAGATTCAAATGATCATCCCATCTTGAGCTTGTCAGAGCACAACTTTGGTATACTAGCGGTGAGGTTCTCTCCTGATTCAAAATATTTGTTGAGTGTTGGTGTTAACCATGATAGTTTTCTTTATCTATGGCACTTGGATGGGGCCAATACTGCTATTGTGGGTGCTAATCGCTGCACTTCCCAAATCAATGGTTTACTATGGATAGACCAACATATCGTAACATTTGGTATCAGACACATCAAGATCTGGAAGTTTGAAAAATTTGAAACTAAGTCAATGATTGATGGTAAAAGTGTTATTTTAGGTGATTTCTTAAACGGGAATTTCGTACATGCTACAGGTGATGATATTGATGACCTTTTATTTTTAACTGCAACAGGTGAAATATGTCTTTATGACCCAGCAAAAAATGCACTAAGCTTGAGATATATTTTCAAAGATCAGGATGAAAAAGTTGGTGCAATTCTTAGAGATGCTTATAATAGTAGAGTTTGGTTTGGATCAGACAGCCTTGATTCACTAAGTCCAGAGTCTTTAGAGAAAGAAATTCAATACGAAACTGGAGGTTGCCCAGACTCACCAAGCAAAGTTAAGTTTTATTCCAAGATAGCAGCTATTTACGAGGTGAATGAGCAATTCCTTATTTATTTGACATCTGATGAAGAGATTCAGTTATTTGACAAAACTACTTCAACAACTAAACCGTTGATAGATACATTATCTAAGAGCATTACCGGTGTCAAATCTGTATCTAATGGGAAGATCGTTAACTGGACTAAAGAAGGTGTTGTGAAAGTTATTGGTCAGGATAATTTGGATATTGATTTCCTTGTGAAAGTTGATATCAATGATTTACCTAACAAGATTATTTCAAACCATGTCACTGCTTTAGATGTTAATGACTCCAATGAGATCATAATTGGTGATGCTTATGGAAACCTATCCACATTTGATGAAAGTGGGCAAATGACTTTCTCTACACCAACGCATGAGTTCACTGTCAATGATGTTTGTTACTTCAGATACGAAGGTTTTGAGATCATTGTCAGTATTGGAAGAGACCGTATGATTCAAGTTCTTGCCAAAAAAACTTGTGAAGAGGATGACACTGCCAATAACTCTGATATTGGCAGCCAATGGTCAGTTTTTCAAACATTAGATGATCACAAGGGAAACTTGTTGGATCTCAAACACCATGATGGAAGAATCTTTGTCAGTTCGGCTGATAGATCAATCACAATCCATAAATTCTTTGTCGATGAAGAAGGACTATCAATTGAAAAAGAAAAAACCATATCTGTTAAAAGCTCACCATTAGCTATGACCCTCTATAAAGAAGATCTTGTGGTTTCCACTAATGACAAGAATATAACAGTTTACAACACTACGACTTTGGAATCGACGAGGTCCTTCAAACTTTATGATAATGGTAATGAAAGTTTGTTGGTTGATAATGTTCAAGTCACTGATGATAACGTTATGGTCTGTTCATGTTCAGACAAGAGTATCAGATCTTTTAGCTACTTGACAGGAAAACAACTATCTGTAAATTGGGGACATTCTGAAGCTATTAAGCAGTTGGTATTGCTATCAAAGAATCATTTGATTACTTTGAGTAATAGTGGGTGCCTATTTACTTGGTCTTTAAATAACAAAAGTCCATTCAATCAAGATTCCTCAAAAAGTACGATTCAAAAGTATAGTGACTTTACTACTCCTCCCAAGGTCACCAGGAAGATCAAGAGACCACTAACAGCTTCACCATCAACTAGGAAAGCAGCCTCGAGCTCGGTTACAAGAAGTCCTGTCACTTCAAGATTACAAACAACTGCAAGATTAACGCCTTCAAAGCTAACAAACTCAACAAAAACTAATTTATCACCTTCATCAACAAAGAGCTCACCTAGACAGACATCGCCTAAGGCATCAAACACTCCCACAACACCAACCATCTCAAGATTCAATCCACGGTCCTCCATGTCAGTTAATAACAGATCAAGAATTTCTGAGCTAAGTGAAAGAAAATTGAGAGCTGAGGATATGGTAACATATTTGAAAGAATTTAAAGAAAATATTGGTACCTATAGTGTTGCAGAAGTTGAAACAGTTAAAAAAGAAATTAAAGAATTATTCAATTATGAAGAAGAGCTAATAATCAAATACAACACACAAATGATGGACAAACTTAATGAACTGATGAAAAACTAAGGCATATATCTAATTACAGCATGAACTTTTAAAGCCTATTTACAATAAATATGGAATAATAAATACCCTTCAAGACCTGAATGGTCTTTCTAATAAATAATGGATGAAGAAATTCACCTCCTCGGTTGGATCTTCGCAGCTTGTATTGGCGACTCTTCTTCAACTTGATACGGTGACTTTGGTTTCTGTTCTGACCTATTCTGAGATTCTATAACTTGATGAACATTCTTCATCTTCTCACTCATAATTCTCTTATCTTCCTCAACCACAGATTCTTGCTTCCATTTGTTATCAGCTCTTTGCGCTAATATCTTCATGACTTGTTGTCTTTGCTCTTCCGCAAGCAGCTGTTGTAAAGTGGGCATTTGGGGTCTTGTATGCCTCAACCACTGTAGCCACATTGGGGGTAGCTTATAATCAGTGAAATTACTCTTCTTTTCTCTATATTCAACTATTCTTCTTAACCTTCCCCTTGGATTGTTGTAATTGGAAAACTCCCAATATGTATTACCATCAAGATCATACCCCACAAACCATTTTTTTCTAAATGGAACATTCTTCAATGACTTCCATTGGTGCCATATCCTTTGGAAAGGAGTGATTTTGCCCTTTAACAGATCCATGTTGATTGTTTTCGTTAATAAATTGAGTTGTTGTGTTGATATTTCTCCAGAAATTGAAACTGTTAGATAAATTCGCGAACACGGTCTTCATCTCAGTGCAACTAACCATAAAAAAATCCAAGATCGCCTACATTTTGGAGGTGATGAGGCTGCAAAAAAAAATTACTAGTCGTTTCTGAAGTTATTAAGAGCTTCAAAGATCTTGAGATCCTGTGATTCGGTATTAATAAGATGGAAAATGCTGGTGCAAAGAAACAAAAGCTAAAGTATCTTCCCCCAGTCCCAATACAAATGGTGGACAATGAAGAGGAAGGAGAAGAGTGCACAAATAACGAGCAAGATGCAGCCAATCAACAACATTCTCAAGCAATTAATAATGGTAACACGAGTAAACAACATCTACATACATGGGCGTCTGATGTTAGGATAGGGGATTGTACAATTGTGACGGGCTCTGGAGCTGGTCAAAAGTTTGCTGTGTGGTCCATCAATATAGAGACGTCAAAAGGCGGGCATATCCATTTATTGAAAAGGTATAGTGAATTTGATGAATTGAGGAATAAATTGGTTCAAAGTTATCCAGATCATATCACAGAAATACCCAAACTTCCTCCAAAGAAGGCCTTCGGGAATTTAAAGAATGACTTCTTGGTGAAAAGAAGGAAAGGATTGGAATTTTTTATTAGTTGTGTCTTGTTGAATCCTGTGCTCTCAAATAGTGATATTGTGAAACGTTTTGCTTCGGAATCAGCAAAGCAATAGGCTTGCTGTTGCTAATTTATGAATTTATGTATGTGTGTGTTATACTGGAAATCGCTATTGCATGGTTAGCATATAAATTAACTAATGTTCAAAATAAGACTGTAGATATATTAAATCAGGATGAACTGCCATGTATATAGTAGAGTTAGCCACCTTTTACTCTAGAAAAGGCTTTTCTGGCTCTGTCTAGAGAACAGTTTGATAATGAGGCCAAAATTCTCGCATTTCGTAGATTCATTAAATGATGTGAGGCAATAGCATAATCCGTCAGCTTTTGTAACAGAACCATTAACGGTTCTCTGTGAGGGACAATTGGGAGATTCCCATATCAAGGAAGAACTGCTTGGTTGAATCTGGTTGCTCCCATACTAACAGTAATGATACCTTTTGCTTCTAAATCTTCACTTGTAACCCTAACCAACTTTAGATCAACGCTTTCAGTATAATATCAAATCATGCCATTAGAACCATCTATTAAGTGGCATATCCCATGCTACCTCTGAAACATCCAAGAAACTTAAACAACAACAGTCTGTATCAAATTCTTCAATGTTTGGGCTCCAATATTCTCTTTCATCTTCTAATTTAAGGACAACAATCAACCCAGTTCAGCACAACTAATTAGTTGAATTCAAATACTCATGCTACCATCATGTTTAATTCCATTGCCAAAACATCACTTGGTTCATTTGAATAATATGTTCAAAAGTAAGAGTCAAATTGGTGATTGACAAAAGCTGTCAACAGTTCAGATCTAACATCTTCGCGAATCCGTTCTGTGATTGATGCTTATGTCATCTTCAAGATTAAATCATGAGCCAACTTGTCTACGCCTTGTCAACCGATTTAATCTCTTTACAAGCTACAAAAAGCATCACTATAAAGCTATCCATCGATCGTTCTGATTTCAGTAATGTCCAAAGCATTTGATTATGTGAAATCGCTCAGCTCAAGCATCGTTGGGCTGGGCCTTCAAGGGTTTTCAAATCTTGATGAAAAGACACATATTGCGGATGACATGTACATCATCCAATTCGTTATCAAGAAGGCTATAGGACATGCTTATTCCATACTCACAGGCCAGGTATCATACTGGTATATATTTGAAAATGTTGTGAAGCAACATCCAAACAAACTAGCATTGGTTTACCCAAAACCTGTCCCGGGGCAAACTGGTGATGGTGCCTTCCAGTTAGAAAGCTATACTTTTCAAGAGTTGTACGATATCATTTTGAGATTATCTGAAATATTGGCTCACAGATATGGTGTTAAAGAAGGTGATACTATTGGTCTTGATGCTACAAATAAACCTTTGTTCATCTTTCTTTGGTTTGCCCTATGGAATCTAGGCGCTACACCAGCTTTCATAAATTACAACAATATAGGGAATCCATTAGTTCATTGCATAAAAGTGGCAAACATTTCACAAGTCTTTATTGATCCTGCTGCTGCTAGTCCAATAAATGAAACAAAAGATGATATAATTAAAGAATGTCCAGATGTTGCTTTACATTTCTTAGATGAAGATAAATTATTGGATGAGATTAAAGATCCAAATAGCATTAAATTTAGACCAGCCACTAGGAATGCCAATGATCCTGATTATGCTACTGGTGCTCTTATTTACACATCAGGGACAACTGGTCTTCCAAAACCGGCTATTATGTCATGGCGTAAAGCCTGTCTTGGTTCTGCACTTTATGGACACATTGTTAGAATCAAGACAAACTCTGTTGTTTTCACTTCTATGCCATTATACCATTCTACTGCTTCAGTGTTGGGTGTCTGTACAACTTTCAATCAAGGTGCAGCTGTTGCATTGTCACCAAAGTTTTCAACCAGTACAATTTGGACACAGATTAAATTGACGAAAGCTACACATCTTCAGTATGTTGGTGAAGTTTGTAGATATTTGTTGAATGCACCAATACATCCAGATGAAAGATCTCATTGTTTACAAGTTGCATATGGTAATGGACTAAGAAGAGATATTTGGAAAGAATTTAAGGATAGATTTGGCATACATGCGATTGGTGAATTTTATGCAGCTACAGAATCTCCAATTGCTTTAACCTCGTTTCAAGAAGGTGAATATGGTATCGGGGCTTGCAGAAATTATGGTAAATTGATCAACTATATTCTATCTTATCAACAAACGTTAATAAGGATGGATCCTGAAGATAATAGTGTTGAATATAGAAATTCAAAAGGGTTATGTGAACTTACAAGAGTTGATGAGCCTGGTGAACTAATTATGAAGCTATTTTGGGCAAAAAGTCCCGAAAAAGTGTTTCAGGGCTACTTGGGTAATAAAAAGGAAACTGAATCTAAAATCATAAGAAATGTGTTTAGAAAAGGTGACGCATGGTTTAGATCTGGTGACTTATTAAAAAGTGATGCCAATGGGTTATATTATTTTGTTGATAGATTAGGTGATACATTTAGATGGAAATCTGAAAATGTCAGTGCTACTGAAGTTGAAAATCAATTCCTTCAACTACATGATATACTTCAAATTGTCGTCGTTGGTGTTAAAGTTCCAAACCATGAAGGAAGAGCTGGATTCGCAGTTGTAGAATTGAAGGAAGGTGTTACCAAAACTGAAGATGAATTATTAAGTGAATTTTTAGAAGTTTTGCAAAAAGAGTTACCAAGATATGCTATTCCTATTTTCATCAAATTTGTTGATAAAATTCAAGAATCTGATAATCATAAGGTTCCAAAGAAATTGTACAGAGATCAGAAGTTACCAAAAGGTGAAAATGGTGATGAAACTATTTATTGGTTGAAAAGAGGAAAATATGAAATACTTTCAGAGTCTGATTGGAAGGAAATCATATCGGGGAAGGCAAAACTATAAGAAAAATGCTTTAATATATGTATCAATTACATCTAGCTATATATTTATAATGAATTACTGAAATAAACAATAGAGTTGATAAATGATTCTTCCCAGTAAGACCAAGCACATTGGGACCAGGAAAATTTTGAGAAAATCAAGTTTTGATACTCTCAAGACGGTATCCACCGTACTGTAACGATCAGGCTCTTCTGCATTTGTGATAAAAGATCCTGTTTTGTAATAATTATCCATCAATTCATCCTTTTCAGACCAAACATTAAACAACCAGTCTTCAAACTTCTTTTGTGCTATATTATACTCATCCTCTGTTTCCTCTTCTTTACCAATTGGAATCTCATCAATTTTAAAGCTCCTTATAAAAAAATCCACTCTCTCTGGATTTTTCCCTTGAAGAAAAACCTTTTCGATCTTATAAATGTCTTGACCATAATCAGATGCTTTTAATCCTGAATATGCCAAAGTTATATCATAAACTTCATCAACTGTATCTCTTAATTTCAACAAAGAGTATCTTAAACCTGTAGTTCTTGGTAATAATAAATGCTTGAAAGGGGCTCTACCAACTTTCCCAGCGTATGCCAAAGTTTTTCTTCTAGTATTTGCACTTAGATTGGTTCCTTCTGGAAAGATATGTAATGAATAAGGCCATGTTCTTGATTTATCCTCACCTGCTGGCCAAACATCTTTGGAAGTTGTTGTCTTCATTGGTTCTTTACCAGCAACTGTACCTTTTCCTCTAGCATTTGCATCAATTGAAGCTAATTGATTACCCATGACAACTTTATCAGTTTCCCATTTTCTTGAAAGGAAAATAAAATCATAATTCTTCATTCCATATCCCAATATTGGAAGTTTTTTCAATGAAGCTTTCAAAACAATATAAACAAACCCGCCTAATCTAGCAGTATAAGTTAACCACCATAAAAACACCCAATCAGTATATATTTGATGATTTGCAATGAATACAGTCCCACCTGGCATTGAACTTTCTAGTCTTCCCTTTGAGTCTAATCTAATACGTGATGGTGGGATCGATTTCGAATCAGTAACAATTCTAACTTTTATAGGGCTCTTGGAGGCAAAATTCACCACTGATGTTAACAACACAATGAAATGTTCTTTTGTCTGGGCCAACCAAGCTTGACGAAACTCTCTATTTCCACATGATAGAATGATACCAACTGTTTGAGATGTTACGATGGATAAACAACCTAGAAGGAACACCACAAGATTCAGCACTGTTTTCACAACACCTAGCGCGGTCATCTGAATGGTTCTTTCTTTGATTTCTGACTAACAGAGGATATAAATGAAAAGTCAGTGTCTTTTGAGCTCTTCTTCTTTGATTATTGCTTGATTTAATCAGTTGATAGTGGCTCAGATCTTGTTATTTAAGGCAATGGAGATGGTGGCCACGGAACCTCGCTTCAACTGTTTTTATGTTGAGAAAACCACTTTGGAAATGGGCCACTCCGAGTATCAGCGAAGGCCATCAGCTTTGACACATTTTCAAGATCCCAACAACAAAAAAGTATAGAGAAGTGGGCTACAAAGTATTTGGTTTCATCAATTATTGTGTATTTCTAAAGTAAGCTCAACCACCATAGATACCACCGTTTTCGAAAATACTCTTGATCTTGGAAACAGTGTAACCTTTTTGTAAGGCCAATTGTAACAAGATACGACATTTTTGTGGATTCAAATAGCCACCAGCAATAGCACCTTCATAGACTGCACCGTTATCATTCTTTGGTAGAGCAGCTCTTGGAACAGTACCATCCATTGATCTCTTTGAATAGACAACTGGGATGTTATATTTGTGCCAGATCCATTTCAAGATTTCATTAGTTTCATCAGTTAATGAACCAGCACCTGAACATGCAAAGACTAAAGCTTTTGAATCCATTTGTTGGACAGCTAGTTCAATAATTCGTGGGTTGAAACCTTGATAGTTGTATAGAATGGTGACTTCTGGGAATTCATGTCTTCTTGTTGATGAGGTTGGATTGGAACTGAATAGTAACAATTCTGTTAATTTTAAAGAATCAACATCAAAGAATAATGAGTTTGTAAAAGGTTTTGAAGGTGGATAGTAGAAATGAACTTCATTATCAACAAAACTACCAAGATAACCTTGACCTATAGATTTGAAAGTATCCAATGAATTAGCATTTGATTTTGTAATGTAGAAACCTGAACCAATACTATCATTCAAGACAACTAAAACACCTCTACCTTTTGATTTTTCATTTGCAGAAACTGCAACAGCTTGATATAAATTGAATGAACCATCTGATGAGATTGATGAATGTGGACGCATAGAACCAGTTAAAACAATAACAATATCTGGATAATTTATGGTCAATTCTAAGAAGAAAGCAGTTTCTTCCAAGGAATCAGTACCATGAGTGATAACAATACTTTTGATACCTTCTTCTTCATAAGCTTTTTTAATTTCTCTATGTAATAATAAAAGATGAGTTGAATTTATTTCTTTTGAATCTAAATTAACAATTTGTTGATATTTCAAATGGGCAATTTCAGCCAAATCTGGGACAGAATTGATCAAATCTTCAATGTTTAAGTCAACTTGATAACCTGCAGTTTGAGTGTTTGTACTACCTTTGGATGCAATGGTTCCACCAGTACCAAAAATCTTGACAACTGGTAATGAGCTGTCATGTGAATCGATATCGATTTCGTTATTAGTCTTTGTGGTGATGGAGATATCTTGGTTAGGCATTATGATGTTATTTGTATTAAATGGATGAAATGAAAGGTAACAGCTTAGTTAACTGTTTCTATAATACTTTTCAGCCTTTTCAAATACGTTGAAAATTGACGTGATGACAAGTTCTTGATGATTATAAGGTTTTTCTATTTTTTTTAATTAAACGGCTTTCCAATTCGCGAAAATTAAGAACCAGCAAAAGAAGTCCAATTTATTTTCAACTTTAAACCTCAATTAGCCTTTATAAATTTGCTCAAAAAGCCTTAGCTTTGATTAGTTTGTTACTGAACTTAACCAATGTGATTTCTAGTCTGTTTTCGGTTACTTTATCACTATAAAACTGGTGTTTTCGAGGCTAATACAAAACCCCGATAGTTAATATGAAGGAGTCAAAAGGACCTGCAACGGCCTTGAAGAAAGCTGTCAAACGAGCCAGTAAAAACCTCTCAAAACACAACATAAAAAGCCCATTTCAAAGCTCAAAGTTCCTAGATACTAACTTTAACAACCTCATGTTGCTTTACTTATACTTTTAGCGCAACAGAACACGGTTAACAGGACGAATCGAGCAAGTGTCCGATGTATGGTCTAAAATGAGTCAAGTTTCCGGAACTAGTCTCCTCTTAACTATGAGGATATTTTGCCAGTCTTCTTCTTTTTAGACTAGCCTCTATAATCACAAGGACTAGGTCCCTTATCTTCGGAAGCATACTTCCTCGACATACTAAACGCAAAAAAGCTTCAACTCTATGAACCAAATGTTCTGTATATAAATGACTTTCTCCCCATCTCAACCTAGATTGGACATTCAAGCTTGTTAAAATCAATACAAAAGTAAGATGGGTAAAGAGCTGTTCTTTGTGGATTAAGTGAAATAGAACCATCAAAAGAGAAGCAAAAAAGCATTATGCCAAAGACTTTACCGAATCAACCAACTCTGGAGGATTCAACTTCATTATCAGCTGAAAGCCTTAATTCAACCGATGCTGACCAACAAGTCCCAACATCAAAAGAACCACAACCTTTAACAAGTGGTTCTCCAACACATAAACAAGAGAGACAAAGTACTCATAGCAGGCAAAACTCTTTCCATGATTCATTTTCAGCTGTATCGTTAAACTCGTCAGCTAGTTCAGCTAATGACTATATACCACAGTCACAAACCAATGAACATGACCCAATTGCATTAACGTCGCCAATTGCACAAAAGACACAAACGAATAGTTCTTCATTATCAAACAAATCTCTGAGAAGACCACGGAATCAACGTCGTGGATTACTGGCTCAATTCTCATTAATCCCTGAATTCAAAGATGCTAGACAATATCCAGAAAAACTGAAGTATACAATCGTGTTTATGATTGCATTTTCTGCAATGATTGGACCTATGGGAACTTCAATCATCTTACCAGCTATTGAGGATATCAAAAGTGAATTAGATACAACTACAATGAGAGTTAATATAGCTGTTGGTATTTATCTATTATCACTAGGTGTTTTCCCCCTGTGGTGGTCCGCTTTCAGTGAAAAATTCGGAAGAAGATCAGTCTATATTGTTTCATTCACATTATACACTGCATTTGGGATTGGATGTGCACTAGCACCAGGTATTAATTCGTTAATTGGGTTTAGAGTCTTGTCTGGTGGTTGTTCTGCAAGTGTTCAAAGTGTTGGTGCTGGTACTATTGCAGATATTTATGCGCCTGAACATAGAGGAAGAAGTCTTGGTTATTATTATTTGGGTCCATTAATGGCACCCCTTGTGAGCCCAATTGTTGGTTCATTACTTTTAACAAGATGGAATTGGAGGTCTACCCAATGGTTTTTAGTCATATTGGCTTTTGTGTTAGATATGATGATCATATTCTTATTACCTGAAACTTTAAGGTCACAAGATAATAAAGCATTGATTAGAAAGATTTTAGCTGAGAGAAGGATGAACAAAGTTAAAAATGATGAAGAATCAAATAACCAAACATCATCACCACCAGACTCGGGTTCTGAAAAAGATCCTGATAATGAACAACAACAACAACCAACAGATTCAGATGAAGAAGCAGCTATTGAAAGAGTACTTACTAGAGTTTCCATGAGAAACGAATCAACATTCGATGTCAATGCAGAAAATGAAGATCCAGAAACTTTAGCTCCAGAATTATTTAGAGTTAGAACAAGTGCAAATGATCCAAGAATTGCTGAAATTAAACAAAATGATTTAGAAAGAATGAAGACAGAAATCGAACAAGAATTAGACTCAAAACCACTAACAAAAGCTCAAATATTTAAGAAAAATCTTTATGAATACACTTTAAAACCTCTAAAAGCTCTCAACTTCCTCAGATATCCACCAGTTGCATTAGCTATTTCATTTTCAGCCATTTCATTCGGTGTTTTATACTTGGTCAATATGACAATTGAATATGAATTTGCTCGTGCTCCATATAATTGGAAATCTTTATATGTTGGGTTAGCATATATTCCAAATTCAGTTACATATGTTTTGGCATCTATATATGGAGGGAAATGGACAGATTGGTTATTGAAGAAAGATAAAGAGAAGAATGGATTTTATTCACCAGAATCAAGAATCTCTTGGAACATTTTTTCAGCTGTTATTACATTCCCAGTGGCACTTTTAATTATTGGTTGGTGTTTTGATTTCCATACACATTGGGTAACTCCGTTAGTTGGAACCGCATTGTTTGGTTATTCAAGCATGATGACAATTGGTCCTGTTGTCACGTATTTAGTTGATTCATTACCTGGTCGTGGTGCTACTGGAGTTGCCTTGAATAATTTTGTTCGTATGATTTTAGCTACAGTGGCTGTTTTCGTTACTGAACCATTGATTAAAGGTTTGAATACTGGGCCAATGTTTACAATTTTTGCTGGGGTTGTTGTCTTGTGGGCAGTGGTTTTGATAATTATTAGAAAGAAGGGTACTTATTGGAGAGAGAATTATGATTTGCAAAAGTTGTATGATTCTTTGGATTGAGGAGTTGTTTTATCATTATAGAGGTTGGTTTTTCTTTGGTTTACGGTTAATAATTTTACATATTCAACATTCTATACAGCATTATTTAATATATTACGAACTTTAGTTCTTGGTCATAATAGTAGTTTCAAATGTAGTTGGAAGTCCAAAAGGTCCAGATTTGAATAGTTTAATTTTCTTCCAAAATCATTCCCTTCGACACTTAGGCAGTAGAGCCAAGGCTTGAGATTTTGTTTCAGGTTTCACCATTCAACTTATTTCAAAGAACGGCTAATCAAAGAGTTTTTCATACTTAGAAATTTCTTTGAGAAAGATTCATGCAACAGGTATAACCTTGAGAAATGGTTCGCGCCACACTGAAACATTTACATGACACAAATTTATAACAAACATAAAGATAAAACAAATCACCCTTGATATTAGATTTGAAAAAGAGACATATGTAAGAAAGATTGAATATATAAACCGGTATGACCTCCTTCGAGTTGATGTAATTTTGTAGTTTCCTATTCTTTAACTATACAAATCCACATTACTTACAAAAATGTTTTTAACAGCAGCTTGGTTCACTTTCAAACGGATGCCACGTATTCTGATGTTGATACTATTACTAATATCAGTGTTTTTATTATCATTCTTATTATTAGGCTGTTCATCAAAGGCGTCAACCTATTCTTCAATCTATTTAATCCGTTATCAATTCAATAAATCATCATCATTATATCCATTAATCAAATCATCATACAAGAATAAAAACTTGACAAATTATGAGAATTTAAAAGTCACATCTGGTTATCTTGGATTATGTATCCATCTAGATGATGAAATCACGTGTACTTCAAAATCAGATCTTTCACAATTTGGCTCCACATCAATTCCATTATATACAAGTGGTTCAAATTCAACTTCAACTCAACTTGATCTAGTTAGTTTAGGTTCACATTTTTCAAATAATATTAATCATCCATATATCTTGATAGCCACCATTGTCTTGACATTGATCCTTTTATTATCATTACTATATGTTGCCATACCAGGTTTACCAGCAAAACCAATGGTTAATAAATTCAATTTAGCATTAGCACCAATAACAACATTAATTTGGGGGCTTGGTTCAATGTGGGCACACGTTGCACAGCGTGCTGGTAAACAACTTGTTGAAGAGGCAAGTATGAACATAGTTATGGCACATATTGGTAGGAAGGCAGGGGCAATGACATGGACACCATTCACATTTTTATGTATTGTTGCCATAGGTGTAATGATGTTGCATTTGAGAGATTTGAGAAGACAAATTCAAGAAGTTGATCCAAAGGTTTAAATATGTTGTAAAATCCATGATGTTATATGTTGTGCTGAGATTGTAGGTAAATTTGAAACTTTCATTGGTGGATAATCTCCAGCGATTGCGAATCCATGAGGTATGGTTTTCTTTCTTGATGACCCCAATTGAATGTATTTGAAATCTGGGTTCTTTTTGGCTTTTAGATCATGTTCATATTTTTGTAAGTCACTAGCTGAATAAAATGAATCTTCAGGACCTGTTATGAGTAGTGTTGATTTATTCACAAATTTGAAAACGTTATTCGGTATAAGTAAAGGATGAACAACAATAAAACTTTTAATTCGATCATCACTGTCTTCATTTTCGATAGCAGTTCTTAATACAGCATTACAACCAAATGAAAATCCAATCAATACAGCATTTGAAACTTCATGAGTCGTTAAAAGCTCATCAATTGCCTTTTTAACAATTTCCCAATTTGAAGTTGATTGAAATTTACCTTCATGGAAGGAACCAAAAATTGAATGAGATTGGATCCAATAATTAACTTTGACATTTGTAGCCACTTCCACAGTTAGGTTCTTAAACTTATCAATGAATGATTGTTGTTTTTCTGGTGCAGGTGGTGATGGGATATCTAAAACATCATTAAAATAAATATCAAGTACAGCAGTAACACAACCAGTTCTAATTGCATAAGCATCTGCTAATTTTTGATTATTTACGCTAAGACCTTTAGAATTTGGTATTATAACAACCATTGCGTGATCTTTTGTATGTAATTCATAATCAATCTTTCCATAATTATCAATCTCAATATTTGTAACAGGATAAGTTAAATAAACCATACAGTTTGAATTTTTCAATTTGAATTCATAACCTCTTGGTTTTGGAGGCACCAGTTCTTTGAAGATTGAGTTATGTCTTGATGAATTTGGAGATTCCAACAAGTCATCAAATGAATCATCATCATCACCATCAGTAATTGAATTTAGATCCTCTGCACTTGGAGCTGTTATGCTATTTGAACCAGTTTCAAACTCCCTACTCAGCGAAATGTCACCCTCAATTGAATCGTCTATGAATGATGAATCAAAGTCTTTGAATGCCTTTGGATACGCTGACTTAGGCACTTTGACATTGTCTTTGGGAGACATTGTTTTAGTGTTGTTGTTGTGGTTTAGTTTGTTGATGTTGATGTTTATGGGTCGTCCTTTTTCTTTTGGTTTTCCTTATTAGAAAAAAACCTTAATTATCTCAAAAACTACAAAATTCATTTTTTTAAATCATGAAATTCATTTTATTATTTTTATATATGATAGTAATGTCATCATCATTGTATAACTTTCTGAGGCACTCTAGCCCTTTTTTCTTTTTATTTCCTGTATAATATGATAATTTGTTGTTGTTGTTTTTTTTTCTTGTTATTCGAATATTAAACCTAATCCAATGAAGAAGCACCAGTAATAATATCAACCAATTCATTGGTAATGACAGCTTGTCTGGTTCTGTTATATAAGATAGAGTATCTAGTGATCATATCACCAGCGTTCTTGGAAGCGTTATCCATAGCGTTTCTTCTTGCTGAAACTTCAGAAGCATAACCATCAGCTAATGAAGTGTAAATAGCATTGGCTAATGAGAATTCAGATAAAGTTTCTGGGACTTTAGCATCTTGGTCAATTTCATATTGAGATAAAGCTGGTGATTGTTCAATTGAAGCTGGATCATATAATGGTTTAATGGTTGGTTCGAATGAAACACCTGAGACAAATCTGTTGTAGAAAATTTCATAAGATGAGTATTGTTTGTTCAATTTGAAGATTTCATCAGAGATTAAAGCAGATTCAGTGAAAGTTGGTGGTTCTTTACCAATACCATTGAAAGCTAAGACTAAGTTATCTGGATGAGTTCTGTTTAATTGAGTTCTAACTTTATCACCAACGGCAATGACATCAACTTTACCATCTAATTCAGCAATTCTCTTTCTAGCAGCCTTGGCGATTGAAGAGTGGATGGAACCACATAAACCTTTATCAGATGAAACAACAATTAATAAACTTCTAGCTTCTTCAGATTCAATGGCTGCAGTTTCAGCATTTTTGTAAACTTCTCTATCAGCTTGATCATAAACTCTAGCAGTGTTTTTGGCACGTTCAGCTTTTGACAATCTAGTTGAAGCAACAATTTTCATGGTGTTTGTAATTTTTTCAATGTTTTTAATTGATTTTAAACGAGTTTCAATATCACGTAAAGTGGCATAGTTTCTAAGAAATAGTTAGTATTTAAACATTCATTATAAAAAGCTTGAAGGAAAAATGCGTATCAAAAGAGGTCTATATTCAACCAATTGAACTCGAATCGAATCAATTGAGAAACTTTTTATCCGTTCCATTGACATTCACTCTTTTGGTTCTTATTAAACCACCCTCTTTCCCTTCAACAGCAACGCCAAAAAAAACACGATTTCACAAAAACATACCTAGCTTGACGGGTAGCTGAACGAGCAGCATTGGAACCGATTCTTGAGAACATCTTTGATACTTTCAACGATACTGTTTTCTGTTTCTGATCACAGTTGTTGAAATGTTTCCTTTCACTGTTTTTTTCAAGGGGGTTTTTCGTCAATTCGAAAACTTCAATTTTTTTTTGGGCCAATTGAAAAAAACGTGTGGCCGAACCAGATAAATACTGTGCTAGGGGCAACACCATAATAGAGATTTGATGGAATTTACATAAAATTGAATAAATTAAATTGTATATTTTTAGTTTAAATCATGTGTTTTATGCTCTGTAATACTTTGGAGCAACAAATGGCTGTTTGGACACTGTGGCCTCTTTTTTCTTGTTTCTGATTTGGATCAATATTGGTGTACCTGATTTATGATAACCTCTATCGATATAAGCTTGTCCAATATTGACTCTACCTGGTAATGAAGGACTTGGACTACCAGAAGTGACAATACCGATCTTCTTTTCAGGTTCTTCGGCACTGAAGATTTCAGCTCCTTCTCTAGCAGCTGGTCCTTTAGATGTGAATCCAATTCTTTGTTGTTTAACTAATGAACGATCAGCCAATTGGGCCAATATTTTGGAAGAACCATTGAATTTAGAAACATTTGGATCTCTTCTGTTCTTAGCAATGACCCATGAAAGTGAACCTTCAACAGGAGTGATTTTATCATTCAAATCATGTCCATATAAACACATACCAGCTTCTAATCTTAAAGAATCTCTAGCAGCTAATCCAATTGGTTTAACTTCTTCATTACCCAATAATTCTTGTGTGAAGTCAACAGAAATCTTGTTTGGAATTGATAATTCAAACCCATCTTCACCTGTATAACCACCTCTTGCTAAATGGATCTCTTCATTGTTGAAACCTGGAATCTTTATAAATTTGGAATTACCAAAATAGATCTTGCTCAAATCTTCATTTGTGAAATGTTGTAAAACTTTAGCAGCTGCTGGACCTTGTAAAGCAACTAAAGTATTATCGATTATATCAAATTTAACATCAAATGCCTTTGCTTCTTCTTTGAAAAAAGCCAAATCACCTTCTCTAGTACCGGCATTAGTAACAATATAGAAATGTTTATCATCGTCATGTTTTGTAATAATGGTATCATCAACAATCCCACCTTCATTATTCAATAAAACACTCAATTGATTAGTCCATGGCTTCAAACTTTTGAAATCTGAAGGGGTTATCTTATCCAAGAATGGGATAACATCATCACCACTTAGGTTTTGTTGTAGCATATGACTGACATCGAATAACCCAGCATGGGATCTGACCCAGTTATGTGATTCGATATGAGTTTGACCCTTGTATAAAACAGGCATGGCATAACCTGCAAAATCAACGATATCTGCACCTAATTTGACATGGAGATCGTACAAGGGGGTCTTTAACAGACTAGACGAGGCAGCAGCAGTGGAGTAGGCTCTTCTCAACATGGCTATGAATAAATGAATAAATTGGATCCAATTGAATTGTTCAAAAAGAAGAAGAAAAGGAATTTTCAGCCCTTTTGAGTTTATTTAAATCCCCATTGATTGGTATCAAGAAAACAGAGTCAACTAAAATGGGCCAGTTCCAGAGTCAGAAGCAAAAATTCGCGAAATTCGCGAACTCGTTTTGTTTTCAATTTGAAACTTCATGATTTTAACTAATATTAAAACGCTGGAAACTCAAAGAAATCATGGCCCAACACTGGAAAAAATCATCTATTCCTTATTTTGTCATTGTCCAGGATCAATCTGAAGTCAATCAACAAAGTTTTACAAACGCTAGAAGAAATTCATCACTTTTACAAAACAATTCAGATTCTCATATAAATGCAAGTAATTCATCATCATCTGGTAATGTTTTATCATCTTCTAAAAACTATTATCCAGAAATAAAATATGTGTTCCAAGATGACCCTGAATATTATGATTTAGAGAATGTTATTGAGGAGAATGAAGAGGCAATTGTACTTGAACTAGATTCAAAAGGTGAACAAGTTGAAAGTTTTAAATCATTAACTCCTGATTTACAAATAACTGATGTTTCACTTAAAGATAGAGATATGACTAAAACAATCTCTATAAATACAACAAGGTCTGAATTGAAAAAATTTGATATCTTAAAACCTGATAAAAATTTAAACTACATTAAACAATTGGTTGATCTTTACAGAGTTAGAAGTCAACAATTAGAATCACTTTTATGATAATATAAAAACTAAACACATCACATCATTTCATTGATATTCACAGGCATTTCATCAATTTGGGTACTATAATATTGTTCAATATCATGTAATGGTTGAACATCTTCAGTTGTGACAAAATTGATGGCAACACCTTTTCTACCAAATCTACCAGATCTACCAATTCTATGAATATAATTCTCACGGTCAATTGGTAAATCATAATTGATAACTAATGAAACTTGTTGAACATCAATACCTCTTGCCCAAACATCAGTGGATATTAAAACTCTTGAATTACCCAATCTAAAATCATTCATGATTTGATCTCTTTCATCTTGTTTCATATCACCATGCATTGCCACCACTGTGAAGTTTGATTCCTTCATCTTTTCAGATAACCAATCAACTTTTTTTTTAGTATTACAAAATATAACAGCTTGAGTGATTGTTAATGAATCATATAAATCACATAATGTATCAAATTTCCAATCTTCTTTTTCCACAGCAATGAAATATTGTTTAATACCTTCCAATGTTAATTCATCTCTTTTAACCAAGATCTTTACAGGATCCGTAGTAAATTTTGAAGTCATATCTAAAACGTCTCTTGGTAAAGTTGCACTCACCACAACAACTTGAGTTCCAGCAGGTAATTGTCTATAAATATCATATATCTGTTCTTTAAAACCTTTACTTAATAATTCATCAGCTTCATCTAAAATCAACATTTTAACATTTCTTGTATTTAAATTTCTTCTTTTAATAACATCCAATACTCTACCAGGTGTACCACTAACGATATGTTGACCTTTAGCCAAGGCTTTAATATCACCACCGACATTAGTACCACCAATACAAGCATGACATTGAATATTCATATAATCACCCAAAGCTTTAATAACATTTTGAATTTGAATAGCTAATTCTCTTGTAGGACTTAATACCAAAGCTTGAGTTTCACGGTTTTTAGAATCAACAACCTCCAACATCCCTATTGAGAAAGTGGCAGTTTTACCAGTCCCTGATTGCGCTTGAGCAATTGTATCTCTCCCACTTATGATTTGCATAATAGCTCTTGATTGAATGGCTGATGGTGCTTCAAACCCATATCCATATATACCTTTTAATAAATCATCCTTTAGGTTCATTTCTTCGAATGAAGAAACGACTTGGACATTTTTGGATGTTTTGAATTCTAATTCTGCGTCTCTTTCTTTATCGAATTCCATTATTTCCTGGTTGCAATTATACAATAAAGTTTTAGAATATTACAATCTAAATACTTTTTTTGACATCTTTTTTTTTTACCTGAGGAAAAATAAATCGGTTTGGGCAGATTTTTATTTTGTGGCTCCTACCATTTCTATGATATTTTTATACGTGATTTTTTTGAGTAGTAAACTTTACAATTTTTAAACCTTTAAAAGAGATATTTCTATTGGGAAAAGATGTCAGAAGAGAATAATACAGTCGTTATCCTAGTTGGTGGTGGTCATGCTGCTGGGAAAGTGAGTGTTTTTTTGAATCATGTTGTATCAAATGTCCTAACTCATGTCCATAGAAAACAGTTTGTGAAAGAATAAAGTCAAATTTTTTAGAAAATTTAAATGCAAATATCGAAATAGAAATATTTGATCTAGATGTTTATATTAAGGATCAACCCGAAATTCCATATGGTCCAACGAGGTTTGATTGCTCAAAATTATTAAATGAAATTGAACTTTTTGAAAAAAAATCAGATATCAAGAAACTTATACTAGTTCCTGGGTTATATTCTTTATATGATAGAAGGTTAAGAAACATTGCATCCATGAAATTGTTCATAGATTGTGATGCTGATACAAGACTGACTAGATGGAGTGAGTTTTATGTTTAAACCTGTGTTTTCCTTTTACTAACTTTTCAATATCAGTAACAGCAGAAACACTAAATGGTGAAACCAAATTAGAAGATCTTTTAGACAACTACGTGAATAGAGCTAGGCCTGAATTCAATGAATTTATTCAACCAACTAAAGAATTTGCAGATGTTATTCTACCAAATGATGAAGAAATTAATGGTATTTCATTGATTTGTGATGGTATTCAACCTTTATTCAATCAATCATCTTTATCAAAATCAGGTAAAACTTTATATCCAAGATTTGGGTTTGATTCAGAATCATCAAGTACTTTAAATCTTCAAGCTGAAGCCTTTAATGGTCAAAAAGATAGATTTTATGATTTGACCTAACATCTTGAATCTGATTTACTTTTTTGTCTTTCTATTATTAATTGTTCATTCAGTTTACCCTTAATTGCTGCATCTCTTAATCTTTTAATTGTAGTTTGTGATATTTCAATTCCGCTTTTTTGTAATGAATCTAAAGCATTCCTTATGGAACCACCAATAGAATCTGAACCTAATGTTTTAGACTCTTTATGTTCTCTCAAGAGTCTTTTACCAGTAGCTGAGTTTTTAGCTTGTACTCTAATCACAAATAAATCAGTTTCATCATTTTGTGAATCTTCTTTAAATTCAAATTTTAATTTATCTTCAACTTTGGTCAATACTAATCTTTTCTGGCCATTCCATATTCTAAACCAGACACCTTCATCTTTTATAGCTACTCTTTCTATCTCAAAGATTTGATAAGGACCAATTGCTTCACTTTTACAATCAATATCACCATCTCCAGTCAACGAAAGGAATTTGTCAGAGGGAGTCTTAAATGCTAATTTGGTTCTATTAGGGTTGACATCATTACTTCCAGAAGTGGCAAATGATACAGAGACTGAAATGAAAACTTGTTGAATATCACCAGGTTCTGTTCTATGAATTGCAGCATGGAACCCAAGAGGGTTTATATCATCATTTTCAAAATTCACAGTTTGTGAAGAATCAACAACATGAAGTTCCTTTTTAGGATGGATAGCACCCAGCATATCTGGTGTTAGCACTAATGGCTGTTGATTCAAATGCTCATAGCCTTGAGATCTTTCATAAGTGGTTATTAGAACTGGACCATTGATATCTGAAAATGTTGTTGCAGATGTCCAGCTTGATTCTATTAGTGCTGGATCAATTTCCGGTTTTGATGAAGTTGGCTTTGGTATTCTTTTGACTACTTTCTTTCTTTTAGGTTTATCACCTTTGAAACTTAGCTTGGAGACCATTGTTTGAATAGCCTTTGATGGTCTTGAAGTGGTTTGTTGACGTTTGGAAGCATATTGCCTTTTGGCACTTTTCTTTCGATTCGCGAAACCTATGGAATTCAAATATTGAGGATTCAATTCAAGTAAATAGAGGAGTTCTTACACTGATAGACTGGATACTACAATATTGTAACTAAATATTCATCAATCTGAATTGGTGAATCAAGTGTTAAACTTTGGTTCCATTTGCGATGATATTGCCCAATTAAAAATACCCAATTAAGTATCCATACCCAATAATGCAAGGTATAACTACATATCCTACACAAACAATACATACATATACACCCTGTTATACTACTAGCATGGACACATTCTTGTCCAGCCAGCCCTTAGGACAAGGCCATCTTAATCTCTGCCATTGGAATGATAGTTATCTTTTAGAACTAAATCCATTGGAAAACCAGCACAAACGCAATAAAGTGCACAAAACATCCCCAATTGGACAGCTCCATTGCGTCACGACACCAAATCCAATTGCTTCAAACAAAGAAAATCAATCAGAATCAGCAAAAAAAGGCATCATTTTGAAGAAATCTCTACATAAAATTCGTTTTTGTGGTTTCAATTTAGTGCCAAATTTTCTGAAAATTGCGAAAAAATCAAAAACGGGAAAAAAAAGTCATCGGTTCCGGCAACAATTTTTCGAATCTCCATAGAAAACATTAGAAAATGATTTGAATCCTTTGAAGAAAACCATCATCAATCAAAGATCTAACCAGTTCAAGAGATGCTACGTTTCCAAAAATCATCAGCAGCACTTGGCAGAAGAGGTATCAAGACAATCCACAAGGATTTGAAGTTCTCAAACAGCGCAAGAATCGCAGTTTTAAGAGGTGCTGAAAAAGTCTACAATGCAGTTTCAGTAACATTAGGTCCAAAAGGTCGTAATGTCTTGATGGAACAGAAATATAATTTCCCAAAGATCACTAAAGATGGTTATTCAATTGCTCAGGAATTGACTTTCAACAATAGATTTGAAAATATGGGTTGCCAACTGATTAAAGATGTTACAAATAAATCAAATCTTGAATCTGGAGATGGTACAACAACTTCAACTGTTTTAGCTTATAATATTTTGAATAGTTCTCTAAGACATGTTAGTGTTGGTGCTAATCCAACTGAAATTAGAAATGGTGTTCAACTAGCTATCAATAAAGTTATTGAATATCTAGAATCTCAAAAGCAAAGCATTACATCGAGTACTCAAATGAAACAGATTGCAGTTGTTTCTTCAAATGGTGATGAAGAACTTGGTGGTTTGATCGCAGAAGCTATTGAACAAGTTGGGAAAGACGGTATTGTTACTATCGAAAACGGAAACAAGCTTGAAAATGACTTGGTTGTTTCAAAAGGTTTAAGATTTGATCAAGGTTTTATAAATCCTCAATTTGGTGATGTTTCAAAACCAAGTTCCAAAGTTGAATATGAAAACCCATTGATCTTGTTATATAAAGGTGAATTGAAAAACTCTCAAGATATCTTGCCACCTCTAAATCATGCTCAAAGATCAAAACGCCCATTGTTAATAATAGCTGAAGGTTTAACAGGTGATGCTCTTGCCATTTCAATCTTGAACAAATTGAGAGGTCAAGTTGAAGTTGTTGCAGTGAAAGCACCAGGTTATGGTGAACATAGAGCTCAATATTTCCAAGACTTGGAAGCTGCAACTGGTTCAAAGATCTTGGATCCAGAAACTGGTGATGTTGCAAGCACTGCTACAAAAGAAGTTTTCGGTTCTGCAGGTTCAATTGTCATTTCTCCAAAGGAAACCATAATCATTGATGGTAAAGGAGAAAAGTCCAAAATTGATGAACGTATTGAACTAATTGAAACAAAATTGAATGATCCTGCAACATCATTTTCAGACTCTGAACAATTACAAAAAAGATTATCTAAATTGAAAGGTGGAGCAGCCATTATTAAACCAGGTGGTGCTACTCATTTTGAAGTTAAAGAGAAAAAAGATAGATTAGATGATGCTTTAAGCTCAACCAAAGCTGCTCTAAGAAGTGGATTCTTACCAGGTGGTGGTGTTGCCTTATTAAAAGCAAGTGTTGAATTAAATAATGCTGATTTTGGTAATGTTTCTTTTGATACCAAAAGAGGTATTGATATCGTGAAAAAATCTCTAGCTTCTCCATTCAATAAAATTCTTTCAAATTCAGGTCTTGAAGGTGATCAATTGAAAGGTAAACTTGAAGGTAAAGCCTTCAGCTATGGTATTAATGCACAAACTGGTGAATTGGTTGATCTGTACGAAGCCGGTATTATTGATCCATTTAGTACAATTAAAGGTGCATTGGTTAATGCCTCTGGTGTCACCAGTTTATTATCAACAACTGAAGTTGCAATTGCTAGTGTTCTCGGTGAAAAAGAAGGTTTTTAGAGTGTAAATAGACGATAATACATGTAAATACAGAAATTAAATGTTGTATATAATATATCCCTAAATCACATACCACGGAATGCATTTTTACTGGCCCTTCTACGACCTTCAAATCTTTGTCTGGTTCTACCATGTTTAGATTCACCATCACCATTCTCATCATCACTTTCACGTCTAAATGAAACCTTCTTCTTTTCAGATTTCTTTGGGATAAAAGTTAATTCAGCTTCACCTCTAGCATGTCTATGTAGAACTTCATTCTTCTTGACAAAATTTTCTCTCTCTTCCTTATTTCTCAATTTTGCCAATTGTTTATCGAATGAAACTTGATTCTTTTCAGCATTTGAATTATTATCAGTTGCATAAGTTCTCATTTCATTCAAGAATTTATCGGATTTATCTCTAGCTTCCTTCTTTCTCTTTACTGCTTCCAGTTGTTTCTTGATCTTTAATTGTTGTAGTTTATCTAATTGTTCTTCATCTTCATCTTCTGATTCTGATTCACTTTCAGATTCACTTTCTTCACTTTCAGATTTTTCAGAATCACTATCACCACCGTTGATTCTTTCTTCATCTGATTCTTCAGCAGCTGTTAAGGCTCTAGAACGTTTTGAAGTAGTAGAATCAGTAGTAGACTCCACAGGGTTAAGTTGTTTATATTCAAAGGATTCTTTATTAACTTGGAATTCTGGATCTTCAAACATTTCTTTGAAACGATCATCATTAACAATACCTTCTGTAGCTTTAGAACCAGATTTCTTGGTTAATTTATCAACCAAATCTTTATTAACTTTAACTTTAGTCTTTTTAACAGCACCAGTTGTTCTAATTCTTGATTCTCTTTCTTTCTCGATTCTTTTTCTAATTTCTCTTTCTCTTTCATCCTTGTATGAATTAGGATTAGCAATCAAATTAACCTTATCATAAAGTTCAGTATTGATAAAGAACCCATGCATATAACTTCTTAAAACCTTTGTACCAACTAAATGGGCAATATTTAATTTTGAAACATCTTCCTTTGTGATGAATCTGTAATTTGAATAAATTGAATCTGTTGGTTTTTGTTCCAATTCTTCTGTGAAATTATCCAAGTATGAACACCATTTTGGAGCTGGTCCCAAGTTCGGTATATAATACATGTGCATTTGAATACCTTCATTAGCTGTGACAAACATACCAGAATCTGGAATATAATCAATATCATTAATATCAACACTTGGTTCCATTGAAGCATAAACTTTACCATCATTAACATTATAAATTTTAGCAATTCTTTTATCTGTTGCTAAGAATTGATTTTCATTAAGATATGTGATTTTTTTGATATCAAATCCATAACCTTGATCTTTAACTAATGTTGGGATTGAACTTCTTAAATCATATAGATAAGAATAACCATTTGAGGTACCGCATGCAAAGCCTAACCCATCATTTTTGAAAGCTGTAGTTGTTATTTGGAAGTTATTAGTAAGTGCGTTTGATGAAGGTAATGATAATTTGGCAATCTTTGATTTTGCTCTTGAATCCCAAAATTCAACAGTTCCATCTTCTAACCCTACTGATATTAGACCATTAACATTATTGAAACTAACGTGGTTTGCACCTGACCCCTTTTCTGGATCTATATCCAATACAAATGGATTCAAATATCTTCCTTGATCCAAATTTAATCTGTATAATTCATTCCCACTTGCAGAAATGTATAAATCACAGTTGACTGAATTGTATGCTAAATTTCTACCAAATTTTGGTATCCTTGTTTTATAATGCATCCCACCTTTATTTTGGAATTCTATGCTTCTATCATTTTGCAAATGAACAGACTTGGTCCAATCATTTGATAATATTTCAAAATCAACATTTTCTGTATCAGTATGTCTAGCAAATTTCAACGAACTATTCTCAAGATCGTAAACATGGATTTGAGGTTTATAAGTACCAGTAGCCATGATGAAATTACCATCTGGAGAAACTTTGATCTTATTTGAAGCTTCACTAAATTCAAAATCTTGAACTAATTCAATTCTATTTTGATAATCTAAATCATTCTTTAAAGATCTTTTACGCTTTTTAGCAATCCAGTCTGGTAATGATCTTGAAACATTTGCACCGGAAACTTGATACACTGAGATATCTCCTGCTCTAGTAACGTGCAACATGGTTTATAGTCTTTATTATCAACTTTTCAAGGAAAGAACTCTTTTAATTTTAAGAGATGAGCTTATACTAAAAAAAAATTTAGATTTTTTCAAACAGGGTAAAAATTTCTTTTCCTGTTCGCGAATTCTGCCATTTCGAAACGGTTATGGCGAAGAAGCACAATAAGTGAACCCATTTCAAAGGGATTGAAAGTTGAAAGGATTCAGAACAGGTTGAAATGGCTAATGTTCGTGTTAGGTAGAGAATCAATTGTTTCAGGAAAAATTACACAATGTTTACTCATTCATATGCTTAATCTCCTATAAGTATTCATTGAATTGTTCGGACAATAAGCTGCTATGAAATAACTACTCCTACTAATTCTACAAAGTCAAAACACTATCTCTACAAAACCCTTAGGTCCATAGAACAGTTCACTAATGGTTACTAACTTCTAGTATTGATGGACACGGTTTTATTACTGTACTTACTTTTGCGGATGTTGATTTTTGAACTCGGCCGATACGGGTTTTTTGTAAGCCACTGACTAAGCGTCGATATTTTTCCCTAACAATAGGCAATTGATAATCTTTGTCAGAAACTTCGGAAGGCTAAATTGGTACGCAGCCACCGAAACATCATCAAAATGAGTAGAAATGAAATGAACAGCTGCTCTATACAGCTTCAAGACTATATAAGTCCAGAGAAGTCACCTCTTGAAATTTTGAATCAAGTGCTGTTTTCTTGTGTATATCATTGATCAAGAATATCATTAAAGCTTAGTCAAACTTCAAGCGTTCCAAATTCGAACTTCATAATGTCCTCAGATATTGCTATTGTCTTTGGTGCCGGTGCCAGAGTTGGAAATGCAGTTGCCAGAAAACTTCTATCCAACAATTACAAAGTTGTTACTGTTTCAAGAAAAGATTTCAAAATTGATGAATTTCCTGGTACTCACTTCCATTTCCAAGGTGACTTGAAAAACCTTGACCTTGTTCCAGCTGTTTTTGCTAAAACTAGGGAATTATTTGGTGAACCAAGAGTTATTGTCTATAATGCTGCTGCTAACACCAAATTGACCAAAACTGTTGATGAATTCCTTTCAGTCACAGGTGAAGAATTTAACACTGATCAAAATATCAATGTTAGTAGTGTCTTTTTATCAGTCCAAGAATCAATCAAATCCTTTGATAAAATTACATCCACTGATAAACCAAAAGCTTTCATCTTTACAGGAAACATGCAAAATCTAGTTCCTATGCCACTGTTAACAACCCTAGGTATTGGCAAAAGTGCTACTTTCGCAACTCTTTCAATTGCTGATAAGTTGGTTGGCTCAAAAGGCTACAGATTCTATTATGCTGATGAGAGAACTGCTCAAGGTACACCAGCTTTCCAAAACTTGAGTGCTGAAGCTGCAGCTGAATTTTACTTTGATCTTGCTGAAAACTCAAACGAAGATATTCCAGTTGAAGCCACATATGTTTTAGGTAAGGGCTATGTTAAATTTTGAATGAGCTTTCCAATATCATTTGATTAGCTAACCGGATAGAATTGATACTGTTTGGTGGAGAAATTTTCTAGTTATTGTTTATTTGGCTATTAAATACATTATCCATTCGCGGTATATTTGCAAACCAGTAGAACCCCCATTTAAAACCAAATATCTCAACGCCCGTTCAATAAAACTCTTCCAAATGGCTACTATAGAAACTTAACCCAGTTTACAACATTAATATCGTATCAAACTGGTAAAAAATGGGCTGTTAATGATGAAAATGAGCAAAAATTTTTTTTTAATGGTAAAGTTACTTTATTCTAAAATCTTATACACTTTTACACTTCAACTTTCAATATAATAATTCCAATATAACACTGTTCCAAATAAATTTCCAATATTAATCAATAGCTCAATTTTATAGCTCTATCCTTCTTTCTTTCCTTATAGAGCAACCTTCTTAATAAAGTCAAAAGTCA